ATGACCAAGAATGGAGTGACCATGCATATATCAAGCAGTGGATCATATGCGTCCTTAGAAGGATATCCTCATTATCACCGGATGTTCTACAAGGTGTGGGCCTCTTCTTTTTTTTGTAAACATGTTTGAGGATGATGTTGGTAGCATTCAGCATATGATGGTTAATTTTTATATTCTACACATCCTCTTTTCCGCTTTACTTTCAGCCATAGATACTCTTCTGAATGATCTCAAGACGTATGGAGACATCAAGAAGCAAGAGCTGTACAGAAAATGCCTCCAAGAGCCAATGATCCAGTATTCTTTCATTACCACAATCCGCCCACCTACATCCTCACATCTACTTGACTGTGCGCAAAAGAAGCCTGATGTCGAGGATAGTCTACGGCGACTAAAGAAACAGCGTATCGGGGTTGGAAATGATCAAGGGTTCTACATCCCACAATATGCAAAAGCAAGTCCTCAAGCGAGCGATGACGAGGTGTTCTTGCTAATGGACAAGGTGAACCACTTCCTGAATAGTGACCAGAAAGTGTTACTTGTCCAAGGAGATTCAGGGGCAGGCAAGTCTACATTCAACCGCACACTGGAGCGCACACTCTGGGATGCATACCAGAAGGGACATGGCCGGATTCCACTGTTTATTAACCTTCCAGCTATCGACAAGCCAGAAAAGCAGCTGGTTGCAAAGCAGCTGCGAGACTATGGCTTTACAGACCCACAGATCAAAGAACTGAAGATGAACCGGTCATTCATTCTGATCTGTGATGGATATGACGAGAGCATGCAGACCAATAACCTGTATGTAGCCAACCGGTTGAACCAGCCTGGAGAATGGAAGGCTCAGATGGTGATCAGCTGTCGCAGTGAGTATCTTGGATTGGACTATCGAGATCGGTTCCAGCCTATGAGCCGTAATTACCAAGTAGATGTTGTATTGTTTCAAGAAGCTGTGATTGTGCCATTCTCTGAGGCTCAGATCGATGATTATATCGAACAATATGTCGATACCATAGACCCAATGTGGCAAGTGGAGGACTACCAACGAGCATTCCAGATGGTCCCTAGCCTACAAGACCTTGTGAAGAATCCATTCATGCTATCGATGTCGCTACAAGTACTACCACGGATGGTGGATCCAGATCAAGACATCTCCAATACCAAGATCAAGCGTGTCATACTGTATGATCAGTTTGTTGAGCAGTGGCTCGAACGAGGCAAGAAGCGACTAGGTGAGACACTAAGGCCAGAAGACAGAAGGATGTTCCACAGACTACTGGATGGAGGATTTGCACAGCATGGGATCAAGTATCTTACAGAGCTAGCTGTAGCGATCTATAAGTATCAAGATGGCAATCCAGTGGTGGAGTACTCATCGTACAATGACAAGGGTACGTGGAAAGAAAAACACTTTAGCAAAGAGGATGGAAGGAACCTACTACGCGAGGCTTCCCCGCTGAACCGTACAGGCAGTCAGCATCGGTTCATTCATCGATCTATCCTGGAGTACAGTCTTGTACGAGCGATCTTTGAGCCACAGCTAGTAACGAATACTTCCGTAAAGGATGAGGAAACTAAGGTGGCAACTTCAACTTCTCGTCGACAGAGTATCAGTTCAGTGTTTAGCTTTGAAGGCATAGACATCAAGGAAGATGAACAAGGAATCGATGCAATCAAAGTTGATGAGATGTCGCCTTTAGTATGGAGGAGCTTTGTGGATGAACCATCTATCCTTCAGTTCCTAGAGGATCGCGTTCAACTTGAGGGAGTGTTCAGACAGCAGCTGCACATGTATGTGGAGCTCTCGAAGAGCGATAGCAAGTGGCGAATAGCAGCAGCCAATGCGATGACAATCTTGGTTCGAGCAGGCGAGTCATTCAACGAAGCAGACTTGCGAGGTATCCAGATTCCAGGAGCAGATCTCAGTCGCGGTCTTTTTGAGTATGCTCAACTCCAAGGAGCAGATCTGAGGAAAGCTAAATTACAGAGCTGTTGGCTTCGCGGAGCAGACCTAAGTGGAGCAAAGATGGCAGGAGTACAGTTCGGAGAATGGCCGCACCTTAAAGTCAATGGCGAGTTAACAAGAGGGTCATATTCACCTGATGGGAAGACACTATCTGCAGCTATCAGAGATGAATTACGCAGATATTCAATTACGGTGTATGATACATCAACATGGGAGGAGCTTTGGACTCTGGAGGATAATAGACTCTGCGAATGTTTTATATACTCGCCTGACAGCCGATATATCGCCTCCTGGAGTTATTATGGTGATACTGTTTTGGTTTGGGATATGACGTCAGGAGTATTGATTCACAAGTTGATAGACCATGGACAGGAAATTAGACGTGTAGTATACTCGCCAAGCGGAGATCATCTTGCTTCAGCAGGTAAAGATGGGCCAGTGCGAGTGTGGGACACCCATTTAGGCATACTCATACACAGATTAGAGGGCCATACCGATGCTGTGGCAAGTTTGGCATATTCGCCAGATGGGAAGCAAGTTGCAGCTGGTAGCAAGGATGGAATATTACGAGTGTGGGATGCAGCATCAAGGCAGCAGATACTGATACTCGAGGTTCAGCAGATTGTGTATTCACCTAATAGCCAGGAAATCATTTCTCGCTGTTACGATGATTGCTCCCTGCATGTGTGGGATGTTGCATCTGGTCAAAAAAGAATGGTCTTGACGCATGATGACCGTGTGAGAGACATTCAGTATTCACCTAAAGGGAGATTCGCTGCTTCATTCACCGAGCAGAAAGTATATCAGTGGGATACGCAAACAGGGAAACTTATCCATATCTTTGAAGGATCTACTTATTATATCGCCAACCTTAAGTATTCACCAAATGGGGAGCAAATAGCCACTTGCGACTATGACCACACAGTACGGGTTTGGAATGCAAGGTCAGGACAACTCATGAATACCTTCTATGGCCGCGCTGTGGTATTTAAGGTGGCATACTCACCAAACAGCCATCAGATTGCATCCTTTGACGAATGTGATACAATATGCCTGTGGGATGCACGCTCACAGCAATCTAGTCATGACTCGTATGGTACTTTGGGACCGATCCGTGGCATTAGGGTCTCACCGGATGGAAATCAGATAGCTTCACGCAGTGATTATGATGGGACAGTGCGTATGTGGGATGCATGGACAGGGCAGTCCATTCATGTTTTACAGAGAAGTGATGGATATGCATCCGATATAATGTATTCACCCGATGGTCTGTTGCTTGCTTCGCGCCGTCATGATTCCCCATGGGTCTACCTTTGGGATACTCGAACAGGTCAAGCCGTCCATTATTTGGGACTTCAAAGCGAACAAGGCGATGAGACCTGCGGGGATTTTGACTTCTCGCCTATTGGGGATCAGATTGCCTGTGTCCATAAATCTGGAGATGTAACCATATGGGATACGCAAACAGGAGAACTCACCCATACTCAACAGAGTAATGATGGATATTTCCATTATGTGGCATTCTCGCCCAATGGCCGCCAGATCGCTTTGTGTAAATCAGGCGGCGTTCTCATGGTCTTGTCTATTGAATCGTGGAGCCTTCAGTATGAAGTAGAATCTGAAGGATGTTACCCTTTTATTAGATACTCGCCTGACAGTCGTAAGATCGTGTTCTACGACGGAATTATGGAACACCTGCAAGTACTGAACGCAGAAACAGGTGAACGCTGTTACATAGTGCAGAGTGAGGAACGTGCAGTATTTTCACCATTGGCTTATATTTCAAGGATTGAAAGAGATAAAATCACAGTGATCGATTTGGAATCGGGAGCAGAACTGCATACGCTTGAAGGACATACCCAGGCTGTCGAGGAAGTATCTTATTCGCCTGGTGGGAAGTATATTGCCTCACGCAGTAAGGATGAAACAGTGCGAGTATGGGATCCAGAGACAGGTCATTGTTTAGTTGAAATTCTACCTGAAGGTGGAGAAGTTCAGGCGTTTGCATGGAATACCTTCGAAGAAGATTACTTTCTGATCACAGGATGTTGGGATGGTTCTATTCGGATGTGGCAGATTGTACAGAAGAACAATCAATATAAGTATCGCCTGAAATGGAGCACCAACCAAACGAATCTCAATGCTCACAACATGTGTATTCAAGATGTGGTTGGATTGAGTGAGGTCAACAGTAAGCTCCTGGTGCAACGAGGAGCTATAGGCGAGCACTCCCTTCCATTGGTCATAGAGGAGGCATCTAAGCAAGCTGTAGTCACACCATTAATGACATCCGAGTCCAAGGCTCTCTCCAGTCAAGTAAACCATCGTCAAGGTCCAGTAGAGAGAGCCTCAGATGCAGTGGGTTTGAGAGAAAGAATGCGGTTGACTACAACAATAGCACCAAGTAGGTCGATCAAAGACTACCAGTTCAAATACAGCATGTGCAGTGAATGTAGTTTTGCACATGTCATTTCATGTAGACCTCGCGATTGAATAGATCAATAAGGACAGCATGAGTACTATGGTGAATAAATGCCAAAATAAAGGAATGTTTCCATCTTTTTTTGAATAAGAAAACACACCCAATACGTCCTGAATGGTGATTATTTGTTGTTCTAAAAAAAAAAAAAAAAAAAAAAAAGTAGCAACTATGATGGTAATCTCGATCTGTGATAAAAGGCGACATGAAAGATTTGTGATACTGGCGTTGTCTTCTAGAACAAGGCTGATTGATTCGAGACAAAATATGACTTTAGGACATTTCATTTGATGGCAACTATCTTTGTTGTTTAGAGACAGCTTCTTGTGCCAAAGTGGACAGTAAATTGTAATAAAAACATTTTCTTTAGCCTCTTTCTCTCTTTCTTTTTTATTTAATTTTTATTTTATTTTAGTTTTTTTTTAAAAATGTCTACTAAAACGTTAAAAAAAAAAAAAGCATGCTCATTAATGGAGTAACCTCCAAACGCGTTTTATTTTTTTTATGTATATTTTTTTTTTTTTTTTTTTTTTTTTCTCCTTAGGTTTATATTATTCAGCTATGCCATCCCCATCCTTGAGCTGGATTGCCTTGGACAATAGGAGCCGAGATATTCCGCTTCAAGTCTTCTTCTCTTTGCTTCTTCAGACTCTTGTTGCGATATTTTCTCACCACCAGCATCGCAATACCAACATAGGCAGCTGTTGCCAATCCAACAAATGCTCCAATGATCGCTCCATTCGATACTCCTGACTTTGTATCGTTTCCAGGCGTGACTGCATTAGGATCCCCTGATCCATATTCACCTCCTGCCAATGGGTTACCATGGCTACCGTTTCCATTGCCACCTCCATTGCCACCATTACCGGTTCCGCCACCTCCACCACCGTTCCTTGAATTATTATTACTATTATTATTACTGCTGTTATCCGATGGTGGGTTCTTGCTCAGAGGGAACGATGGATCCACATACTGTCCAAAACTATCCTCACTTGGCTTATACAACTCACTTCCTTCATCCTTTACCATGGTACTCAAGGCCCAATAGCTTGATCTTGGGATTGCAATTGTTGCCAAGATAGAGTCATCCACATTATCAGAGGTCACGATATCGCGTTTCCTTCGATTGCCGCTGTTGTTGTTGTTGTTGTTGTTGTTGCTATTTGTTTGTGACCCATCTCGGATGGCAAGCACTAGGATCCGGTCACTCTCCACATGAAGCAATCGGCTCAGTTGTGCAGGAATGAATGAAACCAATTGAGCTGCGAGGACACCATTGTTGATCACTTGGTAATAGGACACATGTTTGAATCGCAGCTGGACATTGAAAGAGTCCTTGGGGATTTCAGGATCCAAGTTGGGGATCACCACATCAGGAAGGGATGTGCCAGGTGAAGGGATCTCTGTTTCCTTTGGTGGAGCTACAGGCTCAATGGTGGTAGGTAACCAAGGGGTTGTTGTCTTGGTAGGTCTTCGGCGTATTGTCGTAGTGGTGCTATCCGTGGTTGTCGTTGTTGTTGTGGTAGTAGTAGTGGTAGTGGTAGTGGTAGTGGTAGTTGTGGTTGTTGGAATTGGGATTGAAGTGATAGTTGTCACAGATCTGGCGTTGGTCCTAGTCGGGGTCACAGTAGGAGACGAAGGAGAGGTCTCTGAGTTGGTGGCAGAACTAGATTCGGATGGAGATGACGTTGGGGTGGGAACAGCCTCGGTATCGGTGGGACTGACGATGAGGGTGAGTGAGAGGGAAGGCAAAAGATCATCTAATGGTGTCGTAGGGCTCTCTATCGGGCTCGTATCCGTAGGTGATGGCATAACCTCATCACTCGGGCTTGGAACTTCAGGAGAAGGCGACTCTGGTGATGGTGACGCAGGAGACTCTGGCGATGGTGACGCAGGAGAGGGAGAGGGAGAGGGAGAGGGAGAGGGGGATTCAGACGATTCTTCTGGTGAAGGTGAAGATGAAGGTAATGATGAAGAGGTTGAGGGAGAGGGAGCCAATGGGAGAGTAACATCGATGATTCCAACAGGCAATGTGATTCCTGGGTCAGGGCTTGGGCTCTTTCGAGCTGGGATAGCAGTTATAGAGGCCGTGTGGGAAAGAGTGGATGTTGGAGTAGGCTTATCATCATCATGATCTTTTATGGTAGTCGTTCTGGCTCTGGTTCTGGTTCTGGTCCGAGGAGACTGAGTCTTCCTTGGCCTGCGTCTAGAAGAAGTTGTGGTAACGATGGCGGTGGTAGTTGTAGGGCGGCGAGTCCTGGTTCTTGATCGCGAAGTGGTCTTTTCAGGCTTCTTTGAGTCGGGATCGTCAAGTGGATCAAGGTCGATATCAAGGGGCAATTCAAGGCCTCGAGCAGCGATTCTGCCATGTGCGAGATGGTCAGCGACGGCCTATTGGAATAAGAAGGACAGGGCATGAGAGGGGTAATTGTTAGAAATGATATTTAAAAAAAAGTTTTTGTGAAGTAAAATTATGCGCTTTGATAATATGCAAATTCAATTCAAATGAAGGTGTGGAGGGTGATATTTGGATGGATTCAATTTAAATGAGATCCGAAATATCAATTGGGTGGGTACATTCATTAATCGATGTCCTCATCCCACAAGATTGGAAAGGTTGGGGGCCATTCATTCATTCATTTGTCCATATAAAGCAAGATATTGTATTTGTGTATTTTCACTGTAGGAAAGTGAAGAGAGCAAAGGGCAATCTATATACCTTTGGACAGCATCATATCTTATCCAAAATAAACTACAATCTACTACTACAATCTAAGCCGACAGTTTTTTTTTTAATTTGTTTTTTTTTTTTTTTAAAAAAAAGAAAAAGAGAAGGGGACAAGGGAAAAACTTACCATTGCAGAAGAGGTTTCAAGATCAGGAGCAGTAACGGCAGCAGCATTGACGAGAGCCATCACTGCAGTGAGGCCGAGTAGCCAAGGTGTCAGTACACGCATGGTTATTTTAACAGATGAAGCGTTCTGATTGGCTGAACTGTCTAATCTTTTATGCGTTAATATCGCTCTTCTTTTTTATCTTTTCTTTCGTTTTGCCGGTGCTAAAAAGTATTCAGGGCAGAAGAGGAAAGAGAGCTTCTTGGTCAGATTCATGCATTCATGGGAGAATAAGAATGTTAAGAATGATAGGATAACGACGAATTAAAAGATCAAGTTTGAATGTCAAGGAGAGTCAAGTTGTGGATATGCAAGGGCGAGATGGATTTGATAAGCCCAATTGAAAGGAGGGGGGGGAAATATTCGCGTAATAACGGTCCCATTGACCAAAAAAAAAAATTCATCAAGAATTGACTGAATTACATGAGATCAGAGCAATGTCACAGGAGTATAGGCTGAGAAGAGAGAAAGGAAGAGAGAAAAAGGTGAAGGAGAAGGAGAAAGGGGAAAAGGAGGGGGTCGTTACAGGGTGGGAATGAATTAGGAATTCAAAGCACCGAGAAGGAATGGAAAGGAAAGGGAAGGGGGATTGTCTCAGGAGTGTGAGAGAGTGAAAGAGTGAGTAAGTGAGAGATGAGAAGGGGGAGGAGTGGAAAAAGGGGGGGATGGAGAGAAAGGGGAATGGAATGGCACCCGATGGCCAGGTTGTCAAAGAGATTGATTGAGAAAGAGAGAGAGAGAGAAAGAGACACGAAGGAGAAGATTAGAAGAAAGAGAAAGAGAAAAGAGAAGAGAGAGAGAGAGAGAGAGAGAAAGGAATGAGCATTGGGACCATTGGGACCATTGACCTGTTCCTGATATTACCAGATGGAAGACATTATTCACCAACACACACACACACACACAAAATTCCCATTGATTGCATGCAAAAGCATTTATTTACTCCATGTCATGTCCATCCATGTCCATGTTCATGTCTCCCATGGGCCCATGGGATGGATATACAACATCGTCTTGTTTACCCCAACGCAGTAACACTGTGGAAAGGTAGCCGTGGCAACAATGAAATCTCATTTCAACCTTAAAATAAAATAAAATAAAATAAAATAAAAACGAAAAAAATGAGAGCAAAAGAGTATTTTTATTTTATATATTTTTGGGCGCATTGAAATAAGAAAAAGAAAAAAAACTCTTTTCTTTTCTTTTCTTTTCTTTTCTATTTCTTTTCTATTTCTTTTCTATTTCTTTTCTTTTCTCTTCTTTTTCTTTTTTTTATTTTCTACATCTCTAATAATCAAGGGGAAACAATGAACAGTTCAAGAAGAGATAATAGCGAAAGGATATCTTCTTTGTCTTTTTACAGACCTGTTCATCTTCATTCACTACATTCTTGACACACGCACTGATAACCAGCTCGCATTGGGCCGTCTTTTTACGGCGATATAAAAAATAAAAAAAGAGAGCACTTTTATTTTACGGTGGCGGATCAAAGTAAAACGTTTTTTTTTTTTTTTGCTGAACCTGAACCTTGCCTACTTTTGGGGGCCATCTTTATCATTCACGTATAATGTTATATATATTTATATTTATATTTATATATATATATACAGCAAATGAAAATCAAAATGAAATGCCATTGCCATTCATATTCATATTCAACTCGATCCTCTTCCCTTTTCCTTACAATCACTTTGTCAACAACTCGCTTGTCTCGGAAAGAGAAAAATAGAGCAGAAGAGACAAAAAAAAAAAGAGAGATAGAAAGAGCGGATGAATACAAATAAAAGACTTGAATGCACGCGAAACATTACAGATTACGCATTTATATTTATATTTATATTTATTTTTGCTTGTGTACAAAGAGTCTAAGGCGCCATCTCCGGAAAATAACGCCACTTTTTTTTATTTGCTTTTTGATCACTTTCACATTACAAAAAAGGGTTCTTTGTCTAGAACGTGTTTTCTGTCGATGTAAAGGTAAGCAGTATCCAATATCCAGCACCGAGCTGGGCTGGGGGGTAAAGAGGCTGAGGGAAGGGAGAGCGGCGGGAGGAGTGAGGGGAGAGGAGAGGGTACCCTAAAATGGGCGCGTATGGTCCAGCCATTTCGATAAAATGTACAGATACATGTTTATGAATATGTATTGAGTATTTACATGGATAAAAAGGATAATTGAGAGCATTCAACAGAAATTGCAATCAAACGGCTTCTGTATGTCTCGCGTCGTATTTCTAAGCAGAAGCATATCGAATCTCTCCCAGGCTGTACACACATGTACATGTACTCTGCACATCCCGTCTGTCTGTCTGTCCATCTGTCTATCTGTCCATTACTTTGTCTGATATCTCTATCTATCTGTCTGTCTATCTGTCTGTCCATCTGTCTGCCTGTCTGCCTGTCTGCCTGTCTGTCTGTCTGTCTGTCCATCTGTCTGCCTGTCTGCCTGTCTGCCTGTCTGTCTGTCTGTCTGTCCATCTGTCTGCCTGTCTGCCTGTCTGCCTGTCTGTCTGTCTGTCTGTCTATCTGTCTGTCTGTATGTCTGCCTGCCTGTCTGTCTGCTCGATATCAAAAAAGAACAAAAATGAATGGCTTTTTTTTAATAAAACGCTATAGACCTATAGAACGTGCAAAAATATACCGCGGAGAATGCAAGGGAAAAAAAAGACTCATTTCAATCGGGTAAAAAAAAAATAAAAAAAAAAAGCTATGATAATCCAATCCACAGTCGACTTTGTTTGGTTCTTTTTTTTTTTTTTTTTTTTTTTATCTCTCCATTCTCCATCGGGACCATGCATGGCATGGCGCCTTTTTTTTTTTTTTTTTTTTTTTTTTTTTGCCCTATTTTTATACACCCTTTTAGCATTCTTGCTTAGGAAATGAATTAAAGCAGTAAAAACCTATTGGACCAAATCCTCTTTTCCTTCTCTCTCTCCTTCTCCTCTCTTCTCTCTCTCTCTTCTCTCTCTCTCTCTCTCTCAATAGTTGTATGTATTAACAACTTGCAACTTTTTTTTTTTCTTTTTCTTGTCTCGCTTCATCGTTTTTATCTTTTACTCAACTTGCGACTGATTTACTTTCCAGGCTCACATTGATTCATTTATATAGATATAATATATATGTTATACGATAACTAACTTTCAGAATAAATATAATATTGCCAGAAATCACTTGAGTTTGAATCGTATGAAGAACAACTTTTTGTGGTGATATATATTATATATTTATATGTATCTCTTTGAAGTTGGACGCTTGCAAGTTGCAGCTATTGCAATCTTAGGGATAGAGAGACCCTTGTAAGAAAAGGAAAAAAAAAAAAAAAAAAACAAATACGCACAGCTGAATTAACATTAATATGTAAAAAAAAAAAGATCAAGTTGAAACTCAATGGCTCCGTGCCTCCTGGACTTGGTGGCGGAATCTACACGTGATCATATCTCCACATCACAATCCAACCCTACTTTCTACTTTCTACTCTCTACTCTCTACATTGCATCTTTCTTTTTTACAACCCTAAGAAAAAAAAAAAAATATTTAATGAATATCTGATTAACAGATATATTATATGGAGCAGATCAGGACGATTAATGACCAACAACAACATGACATGTTCTACACTAAAAACGATCTTTTTTTTTTTTTTTTTTTTTTTTTTAAATTGTTTTTATTTCATTAAATGCTTTATATGTTTTCTTTTTTCTTTTCTTTTCTTCCATAAGAAAGAAAGAAAAGAAAGAAAAAAAAAAAAAAAAAAAAAAGGTGAGGCGTCTTGCTTTTAGTGGGCACGACGAGACTCGGCAATGACATTGGTCATCTCCTCGACCTTTTTCTTGGCACGGAGGAAAGTTCCAAGCTATTATTCGTGAAGAAAATAACATTTAATGAAATGAAGAGAAAAGAAAGGGGACAAGAGGTTAGCGACTAGTGCATCTTTTTTTTTTTTTTTTCTTTTTCCTTTTTCAAAAAAGAAAAAAAAAAAAAAAAAAAAAAGGCTCCAAAATAATCTCAGTTTGTCGTAGAATAGTAGCTAATAACTTGTTGTTGGTATTGTTGTTGTTGCTTAGTTTGTCGCTTTGTTGCTTTATAAAGTTGTTTGCAACATTGCAACAACATACATTCCAGATCCTTTCAATGACAGTTTTATCCAAGCTGAGAACTGCTCCTCTCCCATGAAGAAGATCATGAAGACAAAATAAATAAATAAATAAATAAATCCATGCTCTCGCTCCTATGATCCACCTGCGTCTTATTATCGATTCAATTGATCGACAGTGATCAAAAAGGTGATTGATTGGTATAAAGAATATACAAATAAAAAGAGTGAAAGTTGAATGCTGTCGAGAGTTCCTAGTCCATATTGTTTTTTCCTTTTCTTTTTGCATCATTTGAATATCGTCGAACAAAAAAATAATGAAGAAAAACGTTGGGAAGTTGCTGATTTCCAATTGATGGAGTATTTAAAAAACTGTACACTGTTCAGAATAATAATATACAATCGAATAATAATAATAATAAAAAAAAGTCGCCCTTGATTGACGCATAGTAAAAAGTAGGGGGAAAAAAAAAAGAGTCCTGTCAAATAACAAACTGGTGAATGAAAAACCAGACTGCTGGTGCTGTTGTCGTTAACTTTTAACTCCTCTTGTCCAACAAAAAAAAAAAGAGTAGACATTTGTTTGCTGCGTATAAAGAGCTGGTCTGTAATGACTCTTTCTTTCTTTTTTTTTCAATATATCCGGTTCTAATGCCCTGCTATTGATCAGATGCATCCTGATGGAGTGTTCATGAAAAAAAAAAAGAGCTCCCTGTGATCCTGTTCATCCATTAATTGTTGTTTCGCTCTGCAAAATAAAAAAAAAAAAAAAAAAAAAAAAGGCCCCGTTTCTACTATCACTTTGGTTGCAGCCAAGTAGTCCTGTTTGCTTTTTTTTTTTTTGTTTGTTTGTTTGTTCGTTCGTTCGCTTGTTCGTTCGTTTAGTTGTTACGTACTCTCTTCTTAGCGAGCTTACGGGCACGCTTATCCTTGGAGTTCTTGATCAATTCCATGATGCGGCGCTCATAAGGAGCAAAGCCAGCGACCTCACGAATGATCGAGCGGACAAAAATGACACGCTTGCCAGCCTAACAATTCATCAGCATAAAAATGAATAAATCGGCGATGGGCGTCAATTAAGTGATTTCGGACATGATTTTTTTTTTAAAAAAAAAAAAAAAAAAAAAAAAGAAAAGTCGTAATGACTGAAGACTGATTGATGTTGGGTTCGGAATGAATGCTGGTGGATGATGGTCATGTCCTGCTAATGATTTTTTTTTTTTTTTTTTTTTTTTTCCTGAGTCTTTTTCCATTTTTGTTAATTTGTTGCTGTTGTTTTTTGGATATACTTTTTTCTGCAAGTCGATCCATCCATCGATCCCTTCTTCTTATATTATATTATATATCCACCCATCCAACTTACAACACCCTTCTTGTAGGAGATGGGAGTCTTCAACTCACGAAGAGTGGTGATGTGTCCACGGTTCTGACCCGATCTGATTCCGGTTTTCTGGGTTGCGGCCATTTTGCTTAACAAAAAATAGTTTTAACGCAAGAGAAGGGAAATCTCTTCCCACTCTGTCACATTGGCTTAGCTCACCCGTAAATTTTTTTTTTTTAAATCAGGCCCCTTAAAGCACACATTGTCACAATGATTTTTACCCTTCAATTTTTGTGTGCAACACAACATTGATGATGATCCATTCAATTTGATAATTGATAATGTCAACAAAATTTTATGTAGATACTTTTTTTAATTGACAAAAATGATATATGCTACAATGTCGTAATGCAGTGTTGATGAATATGAGGGATATACTAAAGGATTGGGGTAACGAAAGAAGTTGACGGTTTTGTAATGGTATCGTTAACAAAAATAATAAAATGAAGGAAAGGAAAGGATACAAAAAAAAAAAATTAAGGAGAACCAGACGCAGTACTCGAATAATCAGGAGGAAGATGAGGTAACGGTTCCTCTGGAGGCATGGAGACATAAGGCGGTGGCCCCTGACTTCGGAGTCTACTCAAGATTGGCTGCAAGATACCAGATCGGCTTACTCCTCCTCCTGCTCGTTCAGTCATTACTGGAGTAGGCGTCAATGCTGCTGTTGTTGTTGTCGTGGTAGTGGTGGTGGTAGCAGTGTTTGTGTCTGGAGAAGGAGAAAGGGAGGGAGAAGAAGGTGGTGGAGCGGCAAAGGAGAGGATAGGGACAAGCATAGTGTGATCTGATACAGACGCTGACATGGGTGTTGATAAGGCAGAATGAGAATAAGAACCGGAGGGGCTTGAAGATCGAGAATCAATAATAGGGGGCAGAAGCGTTGATGAGGACATTGTTTGTGAACGACGTCCAGAAGAACGGGTATTGTTACTGCCTCTGCCCGTAAGACCTGCTGCTGTTCGAAGGATGGACATGTGTCTACCACCATTGAGCCTAAATACTGGTGACGGCGCACTGATGACAGATCTAGACCTAAACCTTGGTCTAGACACGTTACTGTCTAGGTCGTTGTTACTGTTACTGTTGTTTCCACTGTTATTGTTGCTGTCGACCATACCAGCCTGTTCGACATAGTTTTGATCTGTCACGTGGTGGGAATTGGGCAAAATTGTCAATCGAGGGGTGATATCAATAGTTGAGGATGAGGATGAGGATGAGGATGAGGATGAGGATAAGGACGAGGATAAGGATGAGGACAAGGGCGAGGTGGGGGAGCATGTGGTGATGGTGGTGGTAGTGGTAGTGGTAGTGATGGTGTGAAGAATAGGCCTATTACCAGCGGCATTATCAACGGCGGTAGGAATCGTAGGGACTGCAGTGGCATTAGCAGGTCCATTTGTGTCAGTGAGAAGACCCGTTCGTGAAGATGTGGAACCGGATGCAGTATGACCACGGAGTTGTTGCTGTTGCAGTGGATGGTGACAACGAGGGATGTAATAGACATGGTCCGGATAAACCACAGCCATGTCTGCCTCAACAAGAGGCTGATCTAAACTGTAGGCGCGGTATTGCGGAGGAGGACAGACTAAATAAACAAAAAAAAAAAAAAGTTCTTGTGTAAGCGTTTTGTTATTTTCCGCGCAAGTGCCATTGTTATTTGTCATGGTGATGTCAATTTAACATTTGGACATTTGGAGGGTAAAAAAAGTTGAGAGCAATTACGACAAAGTGTGGAAAATAAAAAAAAGGACGCAGGTACATCAATAGTAGCAAAAGGGAGAAGAGAACTCTCGAAAAGAATACTGATAAGGAAAATCTTTTTTTTCTTAGTCTTACCATCGTCATCCTCGGGACGGTAGGTGGAAGTATATTGAGTACCGCCCATACCATTGGATGTACCTGCACCTAATTCTGCATCTCGATCTTCTCTTTCGAGTCTACGACGACGACGATCTCTTCGAATCAAATGGGTGATGTAAAAGACTGCAATCACAAACCCCAAGACTGCAATCGCATAGAACACTGTTTGTACAGAGACACCGGTATCGCTGTTGTAGGGTGGCTGTCTGGCTGAGCCGGTAGAGCCTGGTCTGAAGGGATATGTTGGGGTAACGGTGTTGTTCCAACTGGGGTAGCCATTAGCAGGTGGTGTTGGTAGTAAAAGTCTTGTTGAAGTTGGCCTTGGTGTTGCTGTATCTGTTGAAGGGATTATTGATGAGGATTCTGATGAAACATTGGGTGTGCGTGTTGCTATGGCTATTGGGCCCGAGTCGATAGTTGTTACAGGAACAGCGTGGCTGGACATGGTGATAGGGTTATTCTAGTATTATTATTTTATATACAGTTTACAATTTACAATGGTTCCAAATGGAGAGTGAAAAGAAATAATAATAATAATAAAATAAAATAAAATAAAAAAAAGTCCGCCATGCGGTGTTCTAGAGTCTGAACGTGTTGATCAGCAAGAGGGAAGAGGATAGGACAAGTTCAAAGATGAGAGGATTGTGAGGAAGTGGAAGTGGAAGAAAGAGTAAAAGTGAAGAGTGAAGAGTGAAGAGTGAAAGATAAGAGGAAAGGAGAGTGAAAAGGGAAAAAGTAAATAAAAAGTAAATAAAAAGGATAAAAAGGGAACAAAAGAAAAGACTGTGCTTTTGCTGATCAATCAACCCATAAAAAAAATAAAAAATAAAAAATAAAAAATAAAAAAAAAAGAAAACAAAAAAGTGAACGGACCAAGAAGGAAGAAAAAAAAAGAAAAAAAAAAAAATGAGACAGGGACAGATCTTTATGGAAAGTACGCATTTGCATTTGTTTGTTTGTTTGCAAATGTGCGTATCGATGTTCGATATTTAAACAATGCCAACACACATCCTATGCAAGGAAGACGTGTTGTTTGTGTCATCCTTTCTTTTTTTTTCTTTTTCTTTTTCTTCCTTCCTTCCTTTTCTTTTCTTTCCTTCCCTTTCCTTTCTTTTCCTTCTTTTATTCTTCCCAGCCCATTTATCAAGGCGGAATAATAAAACACACCTTATTTCTGTCCCTGCTATTCATGGAGGGATCTGAGAGAGTGTGGAGGCATTGACGTCCGTGCAGGGTCCCTTTTTTATTTTTATTTTTATTTTTATTTTTATTTTTATTTTTATTTTTATTTTTATTTTTATTTTTATTTTTATTTTTATTTTTATTTTTATTTTTATTTTTATTTTTATTTTTATTTTTATTTTTATTTTATTCTTATTTTAATTCGATGTCTCATTTTATTTTACTTTTTTATTTTTAAACCCCTGCCTGAATTAGTACAGCACGTACATGGCACATCACCGCCACTTGCAATCAGAAACAAACGGCAAATCGGAACCCTATCCTTCGGACCTTCCTATCAATCGGACAAGGCGAGGCTTTATTTGTAAAGACAACTAGCTGTGCAGCTTAAAGATGATTTCTCCGTGTCATCTAAAATAAATAGCATGACGACTCAGCAAAGCCCTCCTTCTTTATACTTCTTCATATAAGAGATAGATATGCATATACGTAGGCAAAGGGCGCGCGGGGGACGCGGTCCTGTCATGATATTTATAATTCTTTTGCTCAGTTTCGGATCATGGTAGATATAAATATATACAAATACACCATACACAGCCATTTGGAATACGAATCTTCTACTTTTTCCTGTTCATTCACCTTCATAGCCCTTCCTTTTCCACCTAAATATACCCCCTATTCAGTAGTCATCATCATATTCTGTATCTTCTTCTAAATATTAACCAGCTCAGTCCCTAACCAGCTCTTCATTAATCACAGACACTTTGTCCATTAAACAAGAAAAAAATAGAAGCTTTTATTTTATTAATTCTACAATAGTTGGGGAAAGGTATTTTGATAAAACTAACAACCTATTGCTTGAAAGGTGAATCAATATTCGAACCCGCAAAGAGAATTGTAATCCAAATGACTATTGATCGAAAAGAAAAAAAAAAAAAAAAAAAAAAAAAAACTTCTGAATGTCCCTGATGGTCAATCATCTGCGCGATGCCGCCTCCTAAAGCAATACCCAAGGCCATTTCCATCCGATCGAAACGACTCTTTTATTTCATTTTATTTTTCATTATAAATGGTGGTGGAATGCTGATACACTTGACCTGTTGTCCCAAAAGTAATCAGGACACACATGTCACACCATGATTCACATAAAACTATGTATTCGTATCGAAAAAACGCATTGGTTGATGCTCGTTTAATATTGAAGAGTAAATTATAGTCGTCCCTCTTGGGCATATTGACTGCATCTCCTGCTTATTCAAAAATTACACAAGCATGCCTTCGGTTATAACCTTTATTCACAATAATACACATCCTGCTTTTTTTTTATCTTCTCAATCGCAAGGTCCACATGAAATGACATGTGCAAAACCACATTCATTACACATGCTGTATTTGAACTGGTAGTCTTTGATCGACCTACTTGGTGCTGCTGTTGTAGTCAACCGCATTCTTTCTCTCAAACCCACTGCATCTGAGGCTCTCTCTACTGGATCTTGATGATTCACCTGACTGGAAAAAACCTTGGACTCGGATGTCATTAATGGTGTGACTACAGCTTGCTTAGATACCTCCTCTATGACCAATGGAAGGGAGTGCTCGCCTATAGCTCCTCGTTGCACCAAGAGCTTACTGTTGACTTCACTCAATCCAACCACATCTTGAATACACATGTTGCGAGCATTGAGAATCGTTTGGTTGGTGCTCCATTTCAGGCGATACTTATATTGATTGTTCTTCTGTACAATCTGCCACATCCGAATAGTACCATCTTCACATCCTGTGATCAGAAAGTAGTCTTCTTCGAAGGTATTCCATGCAAACGCCTCAACATCTTCACCTTCAGGTAGGATTTCAACTAAACAATGACCTGTCTCTGGATCCCATACTCGCACTGTCTTATCATAACTACGTGAGGCAATATACTTCCCATCAGGCGAATAAGATACCTCCTTTATCCAATGGGTATGTCCTTCAAGCGTATGCAGTTCTGCTCCCGATTCCAAATCGATCACTGTGATTTTATCTTTTTCATCCCCTGAAATGTAAGCCATCTCTCGATAACATGGTGAAAATACTGCACATTGCCCACTCTCCGTTATGTAACAGCGTTCACCTGTTTCTGCGTTCAGTAATTGCAGAGGTCCATTAAATTTGTAGTAGAACACGATCTTACGATTGTCAGGCGAGTATCCAATAAAAGGGCTACATCCTTCAGATTCTACTTCATACTGAAGGCTCCACGATTCGATAGACAAGACCATGAGAACGCCACTTGATTTACACAAAGCGATCTGGCGGCCATTGGGCGAGAATGCTACATATTCAAAGTATTCATCGTTGCTCTGCTGAGTATGGGTGAGTTCTCCTGTTTGTGTATCCCATATGGTTACATCTCCAGATCCATGAACACAGGCAATTTGGTCCCCAATAGGTGAGAAGGCAAAGCCGTTGCAGATCTCATCGCCTTGTTCGCCTTGGAGCTCCAAATAATGGACGGCTTGGCCTGTTTGAGTATCCCAAAGGTAGACCCATGGGGAATGAAAACGGCGAGAAGCAAGCAACAGACCATCAGCTGAATACATGATATCGGATACATATCCATCGCTCTGTAAAACATGAATGGACTGCCCTGTCCATGCATCCCACATACGCACTGTCTGATCACCATTGCTTGAAGCTATCTGCTTTCCATCTGGTGAGACTCTAATGCCATGGATCGGCCCCAAATTACCATATAAGACATGACTAGATTGCTGTGAGCGTGCATCCCACAGGCATATTGTATCAGATCTGCTAAAGGATGCAATCTGATGGCTGTTTGGTGAGTATGCCACCCGATATATCGCAGCGCGGCCATAAAAGGTATTAATGAGTTGCCCTGATCTCGTGTCCCAAACCCATACTGTGCGGTCGTCACTGCAAGCGGCTATTTGCTCCCCATTTGGTGAATACTTTAGGTCGGTGATATGAGTTAATCCTTCAAAGATATGGATAAGTTTCCCTGTTTGCGTATCCCACTGATATACTTTCTGCTCGGTGAATGAAGCAGCGAATCTCCCTTTAGGTGAATACTGAATGCCTTTCACATAGCCAACATGCGTCAAGACCATTCTTTTTTGACCAAATGCAACATCCCACACATGCAGGAAAAAAGTATCGTAACAGCCATACACGATTTCCTGACCATTAGGTGAATACACAATTTTCCAAACATCAGACTCATGATCTTCGAGTAGTAACATCTGCTGTCCTGATGCCGCATCCCACACTCGTAATGTTCCATCAAAGCTACCAGCTGCAACTTGCTTCCCGTCTGGTGAATATGCCAAACTCGACACAACATCGGTATGGCCCTCTAATCTGTGTATGAGTACGCCTGAATAGGTGTCCCACACTCGCACTGACCCATCTTTACCTGCTGAAGCAAGGTGATCTCCGCTTGGCGAGTATACTACACATCTAATTTCCTGTTCATGGTCTATCAACTTGTAAATCAATGCTCCTGACGTCGTATCCCAAACCAAAACAATATCACCATAATAACGCCAGGAGGCGATATATCGGCTGTCGGGTGAGTATATCAAATCATTGCAGAGCTCATCCACCTCCAGAGTCCAAAGCTTCTCCCATGTTGATGTGTCATACACCGTAATAAAACTTTGTGATTCATCTCTGATAGCTGCAGATAATGTCTTCCCATCAGGTGAATATGACCCTCTTGGTCCCTCGCCATTGACTTTAAGGTGCGGCCATTCTCCAAACTGTATCCCTGCCATCTTTGCTCCACTTAGGTCTGCTCCGCGAAGCCAACAGTTCTGTAATTTAGCTTTCCTCAGATCTGCTCCTTGAAGTTGGGCATACTCAAAAAGACCGCGACTGAGATCTGCTCCTGGAATCTGGATACCTCGCAAGTCTGCTTCGTTGAATGACTCGCCTGCTCGAATCAAGATTGTCATCGCATTGGCTGCTGCTATCCGCCACTTGCTATCACTCTTCGAGAGCTCCACATACATGTGCAGCTGCTGTCTGAATCTTTCTTCAAGTTGCACGCGATCCTCTAGGAACTGAAGGATAGATGGTTCATCCACAAAGCTCCTCCATACTAAAGGTGACATCTCATCAACTTTGATTGCATCAATTCCTTGTTCATCTTCCTTGATGTCTATGCCTTCAAAGCTAAACACTGAACCGATGCTCTGTCGACGAGAAGTTGAAGTTGCCGCCTTAGTTTCCTCACCCTTTACGGAAGCATTCGTTCCTAGCTGTGGCTCAAAGATCGCTCGTACCAGGCTGTACTCCAGGATAGATCGATGAATGAACCGATGCTGACTGCCTGTACGGTTCAACGGTGATGCCTCGCGTAATAGGTCCCTTCCATCCTCTTTGTCAAAATGTCTTTCTTTCCATGTACCCTTGTCATTGTATGGTGAGTACTCCACCACTGGATTGCCATCTTGATGTTTATAGATCGCTACAGCTAGCTCTGTAAGATACTTGATCCCATGCTGTGCAAAGCCCCCATCCAACAGCTTGTGGAACATCCTTCTGTCTTCTGGCCTTAGTGTCTCGCCTAGTCGCTTCTTGCCTCGTTCGAGCCATTGTTCAACAAACTGATCATACAGTATGACACGTTTGATCTTGGTGTTGGAGATGTCTTGATCTGGATCCACCATCCGTGGTAGTACTTGCAGTGACATCGATAGCATGAATGGGTTCTTCACAAGGTCTTGTAGGCTAGGGACCATCTGGAGTGCTCGTTGGTAGTCCTCCACTTGCCACATTGGGTCCATAGTATCGACATATTGTTCGATATAATCATCGATCTGAGCCTCAGAGAATGGCACAATCACAGCTTCTTGAAACAATACAACATCTACTTGGTAATTACGGCTCATAGGTTGGAATCGGTCTCGATAGTCCAATCCAAGATACTCACTGCGACAGCTGATCACCATCTGAGCCTTCCATTCTCCAGGCTGGTTCAACCGGTTGGCTACATACAAGTTATTGGTCTGCATGCTCTCGTCATATCCATCACAGATCAGGATGAATGACCGGCTCATCTTCAGTTCTTTGATCTGTGGGTCTGTAAAGCCATAGTCTCGCAACTGCTTTGTAACCAGCTGCTTTTCTGGCTTGTCGATGGCTGGAAGGTTAATAAACAGTGGAATCCGGCCATGTCCCTTCTGGTATGCATCCCAGAGTGTGCGCTCCAGTGTGCGGTTGAATGTAGACTTGCCTGCTCCTGAATCTCCTTGGACAAGTAACACTTTCTGGTCACTATTCAGGAAGTGGTTCACCTTGTCCATCAGCAAGAACACCTCGTCATCGCTCGCTTGAGGACTTGCTTTTGCATATTGTGGGATGTAGAACCCTTGATCATTTCCAACTTCAATCCGCTGTCTTTTTAGTTGGCGTAGACTGTCCTCGACATCAGGCCTCTTTTGCGCACGGTCAAGCAAATGAGAAGGTGTCGATGGAGTGAGTGTGACAATGAAGGAGTGTTGGATCACTGGCTCTTGGAGGTACTTTCTATATAGTTCTTGCTTCTTGATGTCCCCATCCACCTCAAGGTCATTCAAGAGACCAGTAGTGACTGAATATAAAAGTGGAATGAAAGATGTGTATGGAATAAATGAATTAATCACCATATACAGGATGCTACCAACTCCTTCATCAGCCATATTTGCAGAAATAGAAGAAGTACATACCCTGTAGAACATTCGGTGATAATGAGGATATCCTTCTAAGGATGCATATGATCCATTGCTTGATATGTGCATGGTTGCTCCATTCTTGGTCATTCCTGTAGATCTCTCCTAGGAGTGTAATGGCATCTTGTCGAGTATCCATGGCCCACTTTGTATCAGACGCAATCTGTCCTAGTCTCTGACATAGACCCCATTGGAATGCTGCATCATTTCGACAAGGTACTTCACATACAAGAGTCTTGAACTTGATAAACTCGTCTGTCTGGAGTAGTGCATCCGCTCCACGAAGTGCTGGATACCATGCTGACTTTCGACTAAAGCTGAGCCCTTCTTCCATGCATTGTTTGAACATTGCTCCGCTTTCATACAGCGAGGCTGTACCCTCACACACTTGCAGGCCCATATCAAAGGCTTCTGTTGCAGAAGGGAGCCCTTTCTGGATATTGCTTATCTCATCCATAAAGCCATTTAGATCCAAGCCTTTGGCCGCACTCACAACTCCAAACACTCCTCGGAGTACTGCTGATGTCCGCCGAAGCATGGCTTGCATTGTTGATTCGTCGTCTGGAATATACAGCAGAGCTTGGAAGGCATAAGCTGCTTGATAGACTAGCTGTGGATCTGTGCTATCTCTCAAGCCTTTGAGGTATGCTGCAAGTGGTTCATGGAGTTGTTCTCGCTTCAGACCCTTGACTTGGCTGTTGACCATGGCATCAAGCACATGTGAGACTGTAGCAGACAAGCGATAGAGATGTTCGGTAGATTGAGTATGTGTGCCTTGCAAGCGGGAACTGAGAGTGTTGAGAATTGAGACAAGATCATCCGAGTCGAGATATTCAGGAGGGGCATGTTGCATCAACTGAGCCAATCCTTCCAGCAAATGAGCCTCCAACATGATATTTTGACTAATTCCATTGACTAAAGCCATGAGTAGTGTCCTGAACTGATTCTGATTGAGCACTGGAGCGAGAGATACAGCCTCAGTGACAATTGCCTCGGTCTTGGTGTCATTGCTGATGAACATTTCAATCACATCTGATACCAGTTTGCACAATCGCTCATGCTCATCTTGATCGTTCGATATGGCTTTGCGCCACTCTTTCTCGTGGTCATTAAGATCATTTGTGGGGATGGAAGCGGTAGAGAGTAGACGAAGACAATACACAAGCTGATGGATGTCATTTAGGTAAACTCCAGGTTCTGGTAAGGTGTGTCTGATGACAACTGGAGCCTCATTGTGATTGAATATGTCCTTTGCAATTGTTGCAATTCTCTGTTCTGGTATCGTTTCAACGATTTTATTCGACCTACTGCAACTGGTTGCATTGATTTCTTGTTCGGTGCTGTTATTGCTGTTATTGCTGCTGCTGTTATTGTTTCCTTGGATGTATCCCCATTTCTCTGCTTTCTTGTCACGTCTTCGAGCATCATCTGAGTGTCCCAGTTGTTCGAATAAGCGAGCAAGCTCATTGTAGGCTGTGCCAATGCCTTGATGTAATCCCATGTCTCCATTCGAAGCTGAAGAAGCTGCAGACATTGAGGCGAGGGACTTTCGTGTAGGCCTCTGAATTCGAGACAGTACAGAGTCTGCATCAAGACATAGCTCCATCACTATGTCGCTATCGTCGTCTAGAGTGCGAGTACCCTTCATATAGAAATCGAAGAGTCTCAAAGCCTGTGTTGGCGAGAGTGCACTTCGTGATGGGGTTTTTGTCGAGCCAAACATTGGATTATTGCTTTCCTTTCTACCTTTGGATTAGATTATATCCAGATTCGTGAAAGAAGAATGGTTTATAAAGGGCTGGTGAGCGGAGGTAGCATTTTTTGTGGGTTTCAAGCATGTTTGCAGGCAACTTACAGATATGATTCAAAGAAATGAACTTGAGCTGCTGCAATGAGATTGTGATGTTGATGGAAGAAGAAAGTATGCATGCATGCAATGCTACAAGGCGGAAGAGGCGCTTTTCAAGAGTGTCTCTTTTGTGTTGCACAATTGGATTTTGGACCTGCGCTGAGTCCAGTTCCCTTTTCAAGTTGATTGACCATTTCTTACTGCGGATTAACCTTTCTTAATTGTGATGGTTAAAGAACAGATTCAGAGTTGCTTTTGGCACGTTAATGAAGAGGTTCATAAGGTCATTCTTGAGTACCATTAACAGCTCTGCTCAATTTCCTCCCATGTGTAGGAATTGTTAATGCTCTTCAGTAACATTTACTTGAATCAGTCATACCCCTCATTCTAATGATTATTCCTTCATTCTCCTCTCAATGGCATGCTGCACATGCTTTTTGTAATTAAAAATAAAAAAAAGAAAGATAAAGGACTATGCTAATCAGCGATTCAGTCCGAATCAATTCCTGTCTGTTATTGGGAGAGCATATTCAAGTACACATGTGCCTAGGGAGAAGACCTAAAAGGATCAAGATCGGTGATGTTCTTGTTAATTCATACTTTGGTGGCTCTGAATTCCTACTTGTCATTGGTAAGGTGGTAAGGAGTCAAAAAGAAGAAGGAAAAATCCGTATGAATACCCCATTGAAAAACTGATCAGTAAGATCAAAGTCAAGCAACTCTGATTGACATTTTTTCCTTTGCTTTGTACCTTACTTCTGATTGTGATAAGGATGTGGGATTGATACTACACATCCGAACCCAACGACGTCCATCAATCATCTTATTCGATACCATAATAAGATCAGAGGCAAGGATCTGGCACTCCTTTCGCAAGAAACAGTGTTAGCAGAGGTGTTGATTAAATTTGAACGACTCTACAAACAGTTTTTAGGAAGGAATGGACAAGGAGGTTCCAACAGTTTGAACAGATGTTATATAAGCAGTGTTTACATTCGGACGCAAATGTGGTGTTGACGACGTTGAAGCCTTATAAGCGGGTACGGATCCAGGGCATCACTTTGGATTTTGGACACTTGAGGACAGTGGAGGTGGATGATCAAGGGAACCGTCTCACAGAAATCATAAAGAGGGAGAAAAAAGACATAGATTATTTAAACCAACCCCAAACCACAACAACCCAACATTAGAAGTGGCTGCCATTACACCACATCAACCATTGATGCTTTGAGCGCGAAGTGGGTGAGCCACATGGCCATTAGGAAGGAGGAGAGAGAGACGATTTTCCTCATAATGCAACGACAATCGCACTTACACCCACACTATTTTTTGCGATAGCCGATAAGTGTTATTCATAAGTCTTTTGCCTGCTCCATCCTAGAGCCACTAATAAAGGAGGCATCTACTTGCCTTTGACAGCTTCAATGATGTGATTGAAGGCTCAGCACTGACCCGGATTCATATCGTCATATACGCTTCTTACTCAAACCTCTCATGCTTGTGTATATGATAATGATCTGTATTTATCTCTGAGAAACGAAGCTTTACCCAAGCTATGAGGCATCTCCGCAAAGCCAGCTAGGCTGGGCTAGGTAAGCTCCGACCCCTTCAGAAGTATGTTCAATTTGCTGGTACGCTTGATCTGTTGTCCCAAAAGCAATCAGAACACACATGTCACATCATGATTCACATAAAACTATGTATTCGTATCAGAAAAACGCAATGGTTGATGCTTGTTTAGTATTGAACAGTAAATTATAGTCGTCCCTCTTGGGCATATTGATTGCATCTCCTGCTTATTCAAAAAAGACACAAGCATGCCTTCGGTTATAATCTTTATTCACAATAATATACATCCTGTTTTTTTATCTTCTCAATCGCAAGGTCCACATGAAATGACATGTGCAAAACCACATTCATAACACATGCTGTATTTGAACTGGTAGTCTTTGATCGACCTACTTGGTGCTGCTGTTGTAGTCAACCGCATTCTTTCTCTCAAACCCACTGCATCTGAGACCCTCTCTACTGGACCTTGATGATGGTTCACTTGATTGGAGAAAGTCTTGGACTCGGATGTCATTAATGGTGTGACTACAGCTTGCTTAGATACCTCCTCTATGACCAATGGAAGGGAGTGCTCGCCTATAGCTCCTCGTTGCACCAAGAGCTTACTGTTGACCTCACTCAATCCAACCACATCTTGAATACACATGTTGCGAGCATTGAGGATCGTTTGGTTAGTGCTCCATTTCAGGCGATACTTATATTGACTGTTCTCTTGCACAATCTGCCACATCCGAATAGTACCATCTTCACATCCTGTGATCAGAAAGTAGTCTTCTTCGAAGGTATTCCATGCAAGCGCCCCAACGTCTTCACCTTCAGGTAGGATTTCAATCAAACAATGACCTGTCACTGGATCCCACACTCGCACTGTTTTATCCCTACTGCGTGAGGCAATATACTTCCCATCAGGCGAATAAGATACTTCCTCGACAGCCTTGGTATGTCCTTCAAGCGTATGCAGTTCTGCTCCCGATTCCAAATCGATCACTGTGATTTTATCTCTTTCAATCCCTGAAATATAAGCCATCTCTTGACAACATGGTGAAAATACTGCACATTGCCCACTCTCCGCTATGTAACAGCGTTCACCTGTTTCTGCGTTCAGTACTTGCAGGGGTCCAGTAATATCGTAGTAGAACACGATCTTACGACTGTCATGCGAGTATCTGATTAAAGCGCTAACTCCTTCAGATTCTACTTCATACTGAAGGCTCCACGATTCAGTTGACAAAACCATGAGAACGCCTTTATACAAAGCAATCTGGCGGCCATCGGGTGAGAATGCGACATACCCAAAATATCCATCGTTGCACTGTTGAGTATGGGTGAGCTCTCCTGTTTGTGTATCCCATATGGTTACATCTCCAGATTTATGGACACAAGCAATTTGGACCCCAATAGGTGAGAAGGCAAAGTTCTCGCAGGCATCTTCGGCTTGTTCGCCTTGGAGTTCCAAATAATGGACAGCTTGACCTGTTCGAGTATCCCAAAGGTAGACCCATGGGGAATGATAACGGCGCGAAGCAAGCAACAGACCATCGGGTGAATATATGATATCGGATGCATCTCCATCACTTCTCTGTAAAACATGAATGGACTGCCCTGTCCATGCATCCCACATACGCACTGTCTGATCACCACTGCGTGAAGTTATTTGATTTCCATCTGGCGAGACTCTAATGCCATGGACCGGCCCCAAATTACTATATGAATCATGACTAGATTGCTGTGAGCGTGCATCCCACAGGCGTACTGTATCATATTCGCTAAAGGATGCAATCTGATGGCTGTTTGGTGAGTATGCCACCCAGTCTATCATAGAGCGGCTATAAAAGATATTCATGAGTTGCCCTGACCTCGTGTCCCAAACTCGTACTGTATGGTCATAACTGCAAGCGGCTATTTGTTCCCCATTTGGTGAATACTTAAGGTCGATGATATCATGGGTAAATCCTTCAAAGACATGGATAAGTTTCCCTGTTTGCGTATCCCACTGATATACTTTTCGCTCGGTGAATGAAGCAGCGAATCTCCCTTTAGGTGAATACTGAATGCCTCTCACACGGTCATCGTGCGTCAAGACCATTCTTTTTTGACCAGATGCAACATCCCACACATGCAGGGAGCAATCACCGTAACAGCGAGATATAATTTCCTGACCATTAGGTGAATACACAATCTGCCAAACGTCAGACCCAGGATCATCGAGTATCAGTATCTGCTGCCTTGATGCCGCATCCCACACTCGTAATTTCCCATCCCAGCTACCAGCTGCAACTTGCTTCCCGTCTGGTGAATATGCCAAACTCCGCACAACGCCGGTATGGCCTTCTAGTATGTATTTGAGTATCCCTGAATGGGTGTCCCACACTCGCAATGGCCCATCTTTACCTACCGAAGCAAGACGATCTCCACTTGGCGAGTATACTACACTGTTAATTTTCTGTTCATCGTCTATCAACTTGTGAATCAATACCCCTGACGTCGTATCCCAAACCAAAATAATATCATCATAATGGCCCCAGGAGGCGATATATCGGCTGTCAGGCGAGTATATCAAATCTTCGCAGAGTCTATCATCCTCTAGAGTCCAAAGCTCCTCCCATGTTAACGTGTCATACACCGTAATCGAATATCTGCGTGATTCATCTCTGATAACTGTAGATAGTGTCTTTCCATCAGGTGAATATGAACCTCTTAATGCCATGCCATTGACTTTAAGATGCGGCCATTCTCCAAACTGTACTCCCGCCATCTTTGCTCCACTCAAGTCGGCTTCTTGAAGCCAACAGCTCCGTAAGTTCACCTTCCTCAGATCAGCCCCTTGAAGTTGGGCATACTCAAAAAGACCGCGACTGAGATCTGCTCCTGGGATCTGGATACCTTGTAAGTCTGCTTCGTTGAATGATTCTCCTGCTCGTACCAAGATCGTCATCGCATTGGCTGCTGCTATCCGCCACTTGCTATCACTCTTCGAGAGCTCCACATACATGTGCAGCTGCTGTCTGAATCTTTCTTCAAGTTGCACGCGATCCTCTAGGAACTGAAGGATAGATGGTTCATCCACAAAGCTCCTCCATACTAAAGGTGACATCTCATCAACTTTGATTGCATCAATTCCTTGTTCATCTTCCTTGATGTCTATGCCTTCAAAGCTAAACACTGAACTGATGCTCTGTCGACGAGAAGTTGAAGTTGCCACCTTAGTTTCCTCATCCTTTACGGAAGCATTCGTTCCTAACTGTGGCTCAAAGATCGCTCGTACTAGACTGTACTCCAGAATAGATCGATGAATGAACCGATGCTGACTGCCTGTACGGTTCAACGGTGACGCCTCGCGTAATAGGTCCCTTCCATCCTCTTTGTCAAAATGTCTTTCTTTCCATGTACCCTTGTCATTGTATGGTGAGTACTCCACCACTGGATTGCCATCTTGATGTTTATAGATCGCTACAGCTAGCTCTGTAAGATACTTGATCCCATGCTGTGCAAAGCCCCCATCCAACAGCTTGTGGAACATCCTTCTGTCTTCTGGCCTTAGTGTCTCGCCTAGTCGCTTCTTGCCTCGTTCGAGCCATTGTTCAACAAACTGGTCATACAGTATGACACGTTTGATCTTGGTGTTGGAGATGTCTTGATCTGGATCCACCATCCGTGGTAGTACTTGTAGCGACATCGATAGCATGAATGGATTCTTCACAAGGTCTTGTAGGCTAGGGACCATCTGGAATGCTCGTTGGTAGTCCTCCACTTGCCACATTGGGTCCATAGTATCGACATATTGTTCGATATAATCGTCGATCTGAGCCTCAGAGAATGGCACAATCACAGCTTCTTGAAACAATACAACATCTACTTGGTAATTACGGTCCATAGGTTGGAATCGATCTCGATAGTCCAATCCAAGATACTCACTGCGACAGCTGATCACCATCTGAGCCTTCCATTCTCCAGGCTGGTTCAACCGGTTGGCTACATACAAGTTATTGGTCTGCATGCTCTCGTCATATCCATCACAGATCAGGATGAATGACCGGTTCATCTTCAGTTCTTTGATCTGTGGGTCTGTAAAGCCATAGTCTCGCAGCTGCTTTGTAACCAGCTGCTTTTCTGGCTTGTCGATGGCTGGAAGGTTGATAAACAGTGGAATCCGGCCATGTCCCTTCTGGTATGCATCCCAGAGTGTGCGCTCCAGTGTGCGGTTGAATGTAGACTTGCCTGCTCCTGAATCTCCTTGGACAAGTAACACTTTCTGGTCACTATTCAGGAAGTGGTTCACCTTGTCCATCAGCAAGAACACCTCGTCATCGCTCGCTTGAGGACTTGCTTTTGCATATTGTGGGATGTAGAACCCTTGATCATTTCCAACTTCAATCCGCTGTCTTTTTAGTTGGCGTAGACTGTCCTCGACATCAGGCCTCTTTTGCGCACGGTCAAGCAAATGAGAAGGTGTCGATGGAGTGAGTGTGACAATGAAGGAGTGTTGGATCACTGGCTCTTGGAGGTACTTTCTATATAGTTCTTGCTTCTTGATGTCCCCATCCACCTCAAGGTCATTCAAGAGACCAGTAGTGACTGAATATAAAAGTGGAATGAAAGATGTGTATGGAATAAATGAATTAATCACCATATACAGGATGCTACCAACTCCTTCATCAGCCATATTTGCAGAAATAGAAGAAGTACATACCCTGTAGAACATTCGGTGATAATGAGGATATCCTTCTAAGGATGCATATGATCCATTGCTTGATATGTGCATGGTTGCTCCATTCTTGGTCATTCCTGTAGATCTCTCCTAGGAGTGTAATGGCATCTTGTCGAGTATCCATGGCCCACTTTGTATCAGACGCAATCTGTCCTAGTCTCTGACATAGACCCCATTGGAATGCTGCATCATTTCGACAAGGTACTTCACATACAAGAGTCTTGAACTTGATAAACTCGCCTGTCTGGAGTAGTGCATCCGCTCCACGAAGTGCTGGATACCATGCTGACTTTCGACTAAAGCTGAGCCCTTCTTCCATGCATTGTTTGAACATTGCTCCGCTTTCATACAGCGAGGCTGTACCCTCACACACTTGCAGGCCCATATCAAAGGCTTCTGTTGCAGAAGGGAGCCCTTTCTGGATATTGCTTATCTCATCCATAAAGCCATTTAGATCCAAGCCTTTGGCCGCACTCACAACTCCAAACACTCCTCGGAGTACTGCTGAAGTCCGTCGAAGCATGGCTTGCACTGCCGATTCATCATCTGGGATATATTGCAAGGCTTGGAAGGCATAGGCTGCTTGATAGACTAGCTGTGGATTTGTGCTATCTTTCAGTGCCTTGAAGTATGCTGCAAGTGGTTCATGGAGTTGCTCTCGCTTCAGACCCTTGACTTGGCTGTTGACCATAGCATCAAGCACATGTGAGACTGTAGCGGACAAGCGATAGAGATGTTCGGTAGATTGAGTATGTGTGCCTTGCAAGCGGGAACTGAGAGTATTGAGGATCGAAACAAGGTCATCCGAGTCGAGATATTCAGGAGGAGCATGTTGCATCAACAGGGCCAATCCTTCCAGCAAATGAGTCTCTAGTATGACATTCTGGCTGATCCCGTTGACTAAAGCCATGAGCAGTGTCCTGAACTGGGTTTGATTAAGAACTGAAGCCAGAGATATAACTTCAGCTACAGCTGCTTCGGTCTTGGTATCCTCGCTGGTAAACAATTCAATCACATCCGAAGCAAGCTTATGCAGTCGCTCATGTTCATCTTGGTCATCCGATATAGCTTGGCGCCATTTCTTTTCGTTATCATTGAGGTCATTTGTGGGGATAGAAGTAGTAGGGGACAGACGAAGACAATATACAAGCTGATGGATATCTTTCAGGTGAGTCCCAGGTTCTGGTAAGCTATGCCTAGTAACTGTTAGAGGTTCATCGTGTTTGAATATATCCTTTGCAATAGTTGCAATGACTTTTGCTGGAGATGCTTCAGTTCTGGTGCTACTTATTTCAGCGCTTTCTTGCTCGCTGTTATTGTTATTGTTGTCGATATTGATGTCATCACTGTCATTGTTGCTACTATTGATGTTATCACTGTTATCGCTGTTACTGTTGCTGCTCTTTCGAATGTATCCCCATTTCTCAGCTTTCCTATCGCATCTCTGTACTTCACTCGAGTATCCCAGATGCTCAAACAAGCGAGCAAGCTCATAGTAAGCTGAGGCTATGCCTTGACGCAATGTCATGCCTTCATTGGAAGCTGGAGAAGCTGACGGAGCTGAGGAAAATGAGGCAAGGGCCTTTCTTTCAGACTGCTGGATTCGAGTCATCACAGCGTCAGCATCGAGACATAGCTCCGTCAACACGCTGTTGTCGTCACTCATGGTGCGAGTGCCTTCCATATAGAACTTGAAGAGTCTCAGAGCCTGTGCTGGCAAGAGTGCATTTTGTGATGGAGTTTTTGTCGTGCCAAACATGGCTTCCTTATCTCACCCTGTGGACTGGGATCTATTCATTCCAGAGGAAGAAGAATGATTATATATGGCAGTGTTTTTTAGTATCGATATTTATGAGGGAAAAGTGTTCATTTCGCTTGTCCTGAGTGTGTGTGTCTGTGTGTCTCTTACATGTATTGAGACTTGAGGGCCTGAGACTGGAAGAAAGAAAAAAAAGAAATGAGACTGTGTGGTGTAAGGGATGATGATGGAGAATAAAAGAATAAGAAAAGAGAGAAAGAAAGACACTTTATGCATGGAAGGACAGATGTTACAGTTATTGACTCTTTGAAGAGATCAGCTCTAAGGAAACACCTTCATTTGGCTCCATGGAACGGATTTTTCGATCGACCATTCAAGTGCATTCAAATAAGATTATAAGATTGCACTGCATATCAGAGCGTTGTCAAAGGAAAAGCATTAGAAGAGTTGGGTTAAATAATCAAAGAACAAACCGATCGATTGGCCATGTTTTTTTTGTTTGTTTTTTTACCCCTGAAATTCTTTTTCTCTTTCTTTTTCGCTCTGGACAATTGGTTCCATCGCTCTAGAACACACTCTCTTTCTCTTTGCTCTTCTTTCCTTCTCACCATTCTTATTATCATCCAAAATGGGAGCAGGATACATCATGATGGTCATACTGTTGGTGATCTGTACGATCACAACAACAACTACTATTGTTGTTGTTGTTGCAGATCCACTTCCTCATCTACTGATGAAGGAACAGCGACAGCCACAACAGCTACAGCAACAGCAGCAGCATCAATATAGGCAACAGCAACAACAACAGCAACATCAACAACAGCATCATCAACAACAGCATCAACAGCAACGAGAACAGGATGCAAACTCTTTTTCTAGTTCATATGCATTTTGTTCAAAAGGACATAAAGACTGTCTACATCATCTACGTGAGGAACATCGTGTGGTAGGATCCGCTTTACCGTGGGAAAATGGACATGAACCCATTGAAGAGAGCTTTGCAGGACATTTCCCAATCCGCTCTTGGAAACAAAATGGATACCATGGTGAGACGAGCATGTAAAGTCCTAGACAAACAATAACTATTACGGGAAAGAGAAAGAAAAAAGAAAAAGAAAAGAAAGATCGAATTAAAGTGGATTTGAATCTAATATGAAGCGCTCTAAAAAAAACCTCTTACTACTGCTTCTGATGTTTTGATAACTGGTCTCGAATCCGTTTACTTTGGTTTTGCTCAAAAGGTTTTATTGGTATTTCCCTGCTGCCAAACCCAAGACGAAAGATCCCCCGTTGGTCCTGTAAGTCTTCTACAATCCCCCCTTCATTCCATTCTTTCTAAAAAAAAAAAAAAAAAAAAATGAACATGCATGTGTGTGACTGCATTACAAACATTTTTTCTTTTACACCAAAAAAAAAAAAAAAATAGCTGGCTCCAAGGTGGTCCCGGAAGTAGCTCGATGATCGGACTCTTTTATGAGAATGGACCTCTTCGCGTGAACAACAGATTGAAACTGGAGCGAAAGCCTCATAGTTGGTCAGATGAATATTCAGTCCTTTTCATCGATCAACCTGTCGGCACTGGATATTCCTATGTCACCCGTCTTCAGGATAGCAATAATCTTGAAGTGAAAGACCCAAATACAATCCAAAAGATCCTGAACGATCTTGAGCAGGAGCTCCATCAGGACCAAACTATTGAACAACAACTATTTGAATCCTTATCAACACCAACATCATCAGCAAAAACTTTTGAACATAAATGCGCAGCCAGTCGACAGAACAGAATCAAATCTCAAGCATCATCCTATTTAAACGGTTATGTCAAAGATGAACGTGGGGTCGCTGCAGATTTGATCATCTTTCTGGATCAATTTTATCAACGTTACCCCGAAGTTCAAAACAAAGATCTCTATTTGACTGGTGAGAGCTATGCTGGCAAATATATCCCTGCACTAGCCTATGGGATCATGGAAAGCAACAAGGATCGGAGTAAAGACAAGAGGAACAGGGACAGTAAATGTAAACAGATTCTATTCCCTCTCAAGGGTATTGCACTCGGAAACAGTCTGACAGATCCTATCAGTCAAGTTCAGGTCCATGCAGATCATGCCTATTATATGGGTCTCATTACAAAGAAACAGGCTGACAAGATGAGATCTCTTCAGGATCAATCCGTCCTTGCAGCTAAACAAGGTCGATTTTTGGATTCCAATCAACATCGTCTTCATGTATTTGATCTCTTCAGAAACGCAACAGGTGGTTTAAATATGTATGATATTCGCAAGGGCTCTGTTCCCAACAATTGGTCTGTGATGGAAAGCTTTATGAATCTGCCCTCTGTAAAGGATACTTTGAATGTCTTTGGTCCTCGCACTGCGTTCCTCAAGGAACATAACGTTTCTAAAGAAGAGATCCAACGGATTGAAGAAGGGCGTGCCAAAACTCTGTTCTTCAAGGACCCGTTGGTCTATGGTACTCTGCTAGGGGATATTATGAAGAGTGCTGCTTGGATGGTATCAGAACTGTTACAGCAAGGGATCAGAGTCCTGGCTTACCAGGGCATCTTCGATTACAGAGATGCTGTTACAGGTTCCACCTCTTGGATCGAGCATCTGGACTGGCCTGGTCACGAGGCCTTCCTGAAGGAGGACAGAAAAATATGGTTGAATAATGGGACGTTGGCAGGGTATGTGACTGAGGTACCGGGCTTGGCCTGGGTAGTCATCCTTGGGGCTGGCCATTTGGTTCCCATGGACCAAGGCGCCAACAGTCTGGCGATGCTCAAGAGTTGGATTGATGGGTCTAGCATGCACAGCATACCACTACAAGAAGGTTATGTTGTACCTACAATTAAGAAAATAGAGGAGCAAAGTTCATTCTTTCCTTAAAGCATAGAGCATAGCCTTTTCTTTTCTTTTCTTTCTTTCTTTCTTTCTTTCTTTCTTTCATTTTTTTTTGCAAACTCATTCTGAACAATATCATCTAGATTTTAGAAACATTTTGTTCATTTTTTTCTTTTTTAGATGCTTTGTAATAATAATAATAAAAAAAGAGAGAACTACTCCAACTCCATCGCCATATATTCAAAAGTTTGTGTGTGTGTGTGTGTTTTTTTTTTTTTTGTGCTTCTTATCCAATCCAATTCCAATCCTATCTTATCTTATCAAATGTAATGTGTCTAGTTTGTTTAGAATCTGTTCCAGGACATGGAGTTACGGACGCGAACATAATCGGGCAAGCACTCGATGGGACCGAGACCGACCATGGCGATCTCACGATCCCAGAGGTACTGAGAGGCAACACGGCGGACATCATCAGCTGTGATCTTGCTGATCAATTTCTCAACCTCCTGAGGAGAGGTGCGCTTGCCAGTTGTGACCAATTGACGTCCAATATCCTCAGCAATGGCAGTGGTGCCGTCCAAGCCCAAGAGAAGGGATGACTTGAGCTGTTGCTTAGCACGCTCGACCTCGGCAGCGGTGACGGAGGTAGTCAAACGAGCCCACTCCTTCTGAGCAAAGTGGACCAAATCATCCTGGGAATCCTTGTTCTCGGTGATGAAGTAAATACCAAAGAGACCAGTATCAGTATAGGAAGTGTTGAAGGACATGAAAGAGCTGGCCAGCTTGTTCTGGTGAACAATGGCCGACAAGCGGGATGAGGTGTGAGCAGAGGCGCCGAGGGAGCGATCCCAGGTACCGATGATGGACTGCATCACAAGCATGGTATAGTAGTCTGGTGAAGTCCAGCCGCAGCCCTCGACAGCGATGGCAATGTGAGCCTGGGTCATGGTGTCATCCTGAAGACGGATCTCGGAACCAGTAAAGTTGGGGGCGAAGGTGTAGGTCTTGCCAAGGCCAGTGGGGTTGGCCGAGACAGGGAGCTTGCTAAAGTGCTGTTCAGCCAACTGGACAAGAGCATCGTGATCAACACCACCAGCACCGACAAGGACCATACGATCAGCAGTGTAGTTGGTCTTGATATAGTTGGCAAGATCATCGCGGGTCAAGGACTTGATGTTCTCCTTTGGTCCCAAGATGGTGCGACCGAGAGCCTCACCTTGGAAGGCGGTGGCGTGCAAATGATCAAAGACGACTTCCTCGAGCTGCTTCTCAACCTCCTGCTGCTCACGAAGAATGACATCACGCTCACGCTCGATGGCAGCGTTGTTCAAGGTGGAGTTTTGAAGAATGTCAGAAAGGATTTCAACAGACTTTGGAATATCAGACTTGAATGACTTTGCGTAGTAGACAGTCTGTTCGCGAGAGGTGTAGGCGTTCAAATGAGCTCCCATGTTTTCAATCTGCATCTCAATGTCGTGCTGGCTGCGAGTTGCGGTGCCCTATAGAAGCAAATATTACATGTATAATGTAAGGACAGTCAGCTCAATTATACTGGTCAACAGCCTTTTTTTTTTTTTTTTTTTTGTTTTTTTTTTTTTTTTTTGTTTTCCTCCTCTGTTTCCTTTTTCTTGCTGCTTCATTATCGTGCAAAATAAAATAGGGTATAGTAACTAATGTTCAATCCGTTGATGTCGCTTTGTTTTGAATAAAAGTCGAATCCATGCCTTTTTCAACTTTGTCGCCTGAAATCCAGAGTCAAGTCAATGCTGTCATTTGAGGTCTCGTTTTACATGTACACTCTTTTCCATCCTATCCGTCAATTCTTTTTTTTTTCTTTTTTTTTTTTTTTCTGGACTTTTCCATATCCTTGATCATGTCCAGTTGAGAATAGGAAAAATATCCGGTCGATTGATACCTTGAAGGCCATGTGCTCCAAAAAGTGGGCAGCACCGTTGTTCGCGGCAGTCTCAGCACGACTGCCAGCATCAATGAAGACACCAACGGTAGCAGTCTGGGCGGAGGGGTTGGATTCGGTGGCGACTGTTAAGCCGTTCTTGAGAGAGGTGATGCGAGTACCAAACTGGGTGGCAGCTGTGGCAAGAGGACGGATGGCCTAGAATAGCAGACCAAAAAAGAAAAATAAAAAATAAAAAATATATTAGAAGTTGTAAAGTCCGTTGTAAGAAAATAAAATGTCGGCTGATTAATTAATTAATGTAGTCGTTAATAATTATTCATGAGCATTGAACGGAAATGTAATGATGTTTGAGGCGTGTCTTTTTTTTCCTTGCAACTTCATATCTTGTTCGCCAAGTTAAAAAAATAAAATATAAAAAAAAAAGGATAAAAAAATGAATGACATCTTGTATCCACTGTTACAGGTTCTAGCCATTCTTGTGCACATTGAAATTGTTGAATAGGTGACCGGATACCAGGAAGGTGATCTGACGCGCTCCACGAATAAAATATAAAATAAAATAAAATAAATAAATAAATAAATAAAAAAGTCGAGAGTAATGGGATGGTATTTCTTCCAAGAGTCCAAGGATCTGCGATCATGACACTCGTAATGATAATAAAGTGTATAGAGATAAAGCAATGAAGAAGTAAAAGAGAGATAATGATGTCGGAGCATATTTCCGAGGCTAGAAAGAGGATTCCGAAGGGTCGGAAATGGCAGGAAGGGGGATGGATCCGATTGAGAAGAGAGTGGGTAGTACCTGGCGGGCCAAGGAAGGACGGCCAAGGCTGAAGGCGTTAGAGAGGAGTAAGCGAGAGGCCATTTCTATGGGGAGGAAAGAAGGAAGAGAAAAGGGAAAGGGGAGGGATAAATGGAGCGAGGATGAAGTTGAGCAAAGCAAAGCAAAAACAAATTCAAATGTCTTTTTAATTATCCTCTCTCTTCCTCTCCTCTTGACCTTTTTGCTCTGTGCTTCGGAACAAAAACAAATCCCCATGCACGAAAAAATAGACTCGAGTGATAAAATCACGTGTTGAATACAAGCCACTGAGCAATCTTACTCTTACTTTTATCGCTTTTCTGAAACGTGGAAAAAAAAGAAAAAAAAAATCATTCCACTTGCCATGAATAACTGGTAAATCCATCTTTATTCAATGTCAATGGATTGTCCTCTGCACGAGGGAGGTTGCGAGGGTATAAATTTTGTAATATGAATAGAGTACTGAAGACATTTGGCGAAATAAGCAGGATGATCTTTATTCTCAAAGCTCGTCTCGTTTGTGTCTTTGTCGTAGAGTTTGGACATCCACCTGGATAACACCTTGAACTGCCGAGATTGCCTCGACCACTTGCCTGTTCCTTTGCTCTTCTAATTGCTCTTCTGGGCCTTGTGCCCTGTGTGGCCCATGTGTTGCTGCGGCGGGAGTAGATATATGGCTGTTGTTGCTATTATTATTATTATTATTATTACTATTGCTGTTATTGTTACTGTTACTATCGTCCTGATGAGATGAAGAGACCTTGGGTATCCGATAAAGCAGATGATTTTTGAGTTGGCCCACATGACCCAGGTACTCTATTCCCGCAAGAGAGCCATTGCTTGTTGCTGCTGCCGTCTGTGTGGAGGTCACGACCTGATCCAATGCCTCTGGATTGATTTTGACATCAAAATACGTATATAGGTTGAGGTCATATGTATGTGCCATGGTAGCAGCAGGAAAAATCCAGTAGGAGACAACAGATAAAACAACGATGAAAAGGCGCGTGGAATGAATGGAGAGAATGGTGGGCAAAAAGTATATGATGGAAGAAAAGAACAGGAAGGAATAGAAGAAAAAAAATGTTGCCAAGGGGGAGACAAGTAGACAATTTGGGCGAAGATGTGTTGAAGTAATGGAGTCGTCGAAACCAGCCACATTTTTATAGAAATTAATTATGACGATAATCACATGTGATACGCCAAGAAGCAAGTTCGTTGACCACAATCGTAAAATAGGACGCGCACAATAGGCATCTGTAGGGCATAGTCTACAGGGAAAAAAAAAAAATAGGCAATGATGAGAGAAAGAGGAAAAGGAAGTTGCCATGAGGAAGGGTATACAGTAAAAAATGAGGGAAGGACCCCTCGTTATTCATCTACGACAAAACAAATCTTTGTATATTGATAGTAAATAATGGCATTACAATTCAGTCCTCTGGAACCAGAGACCAAAGACTATTGCACGATAGAGTTTCGGCTCGGTGCACTGGCGCCAAGAGACGGAAATGGTTACTTTTGGAGAGGAACGTCAGAATGGAGCGCTCCTTCCTTGAGGTATTAGGTTGCAGCAGTAGAGGTGGCTTAGATCCTTCGGGCTTGGACTTGGAGTCGCGGGTCATTTAGTCCGAAGACGGACACATTTGTCTCTCCTACTGTCCTTTTACTCAAAGTCAACTTGTCTACAATGGCTCTCCGTCTTGCTACATCTCCCTTGGCGATGAGCCGCTCATCCCCAGCTATCCGACTTGCTACATCTCTCCGCTCCTCAACATCGTTGAACGGTCGCATCTATTTCCATGCCTGTATGTTTAATTATTAAAAGTTATTTTTCTGTCCATCAACATTCTATATGGAAGACGATAAGCAGTAATGCTGATAATGGAAAGGGAAAAGAAAAAAGAAAATACTTCAACAGGAAACTTTTTTTTTTATCGCGAATTGAACAAGAACCGTCAGGGAGAACAGCTTTTGGCAATACAACAGTACGAGGTTTATAATGACACCAGGAAAAGGGCATTTTCTTATTACAGGACGAGCTCGCCAGCATGTTGTCAGAATATGTGCTTATTTTTTTCTTTTTTTTTTTTGTTTTTTGATGAATTCTTGGGAGAATAGCACGTAGTGCAGCTGCTGCAGCACCAGAACAGACTCCGCCTGATGTGACTGAAGTCTACAAGCCAACTGCTTTCAAAATCCCTCCACCTAATTCGGTTCATGGCTCCAAACATTGGGACTTTGAGCGTCTTTTGAGCGCCTCTTTGGTCCCATTGTTTGCAGTCTCTGCTATCAATGGCGCACACCCCATTACGGATGGTCTCTTGGGTGTTGTTGTTCCTATTCATTCCCACATTGGTTTCGATGCCATGATCACAGACTATCTTCACCCTGGCAAGGTCGGTGTCTTTGCTAACAAAGCCATCAGCTGGACTCTTCGCGGTGCCACTCTCCTAGTCTTGGTTGGGTGCTATCAATTCAATGCCTCGGACGTTGGTTTGACCGAGTTGGTCAAGAGAGCTTGGACAGCATAAGGCTAAAAAGTAAAAGAAGCGCGAATCAATCCAATCGAATAAAATAAAGAGGAAAACGACTCTTTCTTTGCCATCATTTTTTTTTTTTTTTTTCCTTTAAGAAATACACATCTTTTTTTTTTTTGCTCAGCATAATAACCCCATGCTCTCGTACTTACACGCTCACCTATTATTTACACAACTTCCTTTTGTAGGATGTTTTCATTATCATTACTTTACTTTGGCTTGTTTGTCCTTGCCCTCTGCTTCACTGGAAGCGTCTTTGAAGATCTATTCCATTGCAGACTCTTAGGTGAACTCCTCATCGGTCTCCTCTTTGGCAATCTCGGGCAACTTCTTCCAGTAGACAAGACTGTCCTTTATTTGGCAGGCGAACTAGGCGTGCTCGCACTCATCTTTGAAGCAGGAATATGTACACAACTTCACAAGGTGGCTCGTGTCGGTTTGCGTGCAGCCCTGATTGGATTGATCGGTACCATCATTCCACTGTTGACAGGATTTGGCTTCATTTATCTTACCCATCATCAATACAGTCATCAATTACCAGATGAATCCAACAACAGCAGTGGATCACCGCCAGCAGCAGCCGGTGTTGATTTGGTCATTGAAGCCCTTGCATCAGGAGCAGCATTAGCGTCTACATCGATTGCAATTGCAGTGACAATGATGAAACAGCGTGACATCCTGGACACCTTTGTAGGCACTTTGATCACCACCGCAGCCATGTTGGACGATGTGATCAGCTTGATTCTTTTGGGAATCATTTCAGCCCTAGGAGGAGGAAGTGGTGAAAGTGGCAGTAGGGGCAAGATTCGTCCCATGACTATTCTTCAACCTGTTCTGGCGAGTCTTGGAATTGTTATCGTCGCCCTAATTGCATGTTTTGCTGTATGGAAACTACAAGGGCAAAAGCGACCAACATCATCTATTGAAGCAGAAAACCCTACTGGTACTGAGATGCAACATGTAACACCTTCACATACATTAGGACAAACAGTAAACACACCTGAATGTTCCAGGAGGAATAGCGCTAGGAAGGACGATGTAGGCCAAGAAGGCCAAGAGGTTTCCTCTCAGAGTACAACATCCCAGCACACTTCACCTCAACCCAATTCATTAATATCGCTTTATTACCGTCGATTCTCACCAATAATCTTTTTCAGTGCCATGATATTGATAGGATTGGGATACAGTATCTTGGCTGAATATATTGGGAGCTCCAAATTTTTGGGTGCATTCATGGCAGGGGTCTTCTGTTCCACATTCCCAATCCTACGACAGCTTCATCATGAAAGAGTTGCCAATACTGTCCAGCCAGCACTCAATGCGATCTTCTTTGCCACCATTGGGTTTTCGATTCCATTGGAAAAGATCCTGGAGCCTACATTATTCGGATGGGGCGTCCTCTACGCTATCATTGCCTCCCTCTCAAAGCTTGCGACGGCTGTTGCTGTGCCATCGAATCTTGCAGATGTCGCTCAACAAGAATCAGATGGGACACAAGAAGAAGAACAACAACGGGAAGAACAACTAGACGCACAAGATCATCATCGTCATCATCAAAGGAAAAGCAACTCGATTCATGATCGCTGGATGGTCGGTACAGCCATGATAGCACGTGGTGAACTAGGATTATTGATTGCACAACAGGCAATGCAGCAGGGTGTGATGGGACAAGCTGTCATGGTCATCAGCACCTGGTCCATCGTCCTATGCACATTAGTAGGCATAGCTGCTCTAGGCTTCATTATGAATAAGGTCTGATTATGAGTTTACAATTGGAATGGTGCCTATCTTGTATTTCTTTTTTTCTTTTTCTTTTTTTTTTTTTTTTTTTTGTCAACATTATATGGAAAAAAAAAAAAAAAAAAAAAAAAAAAAACTTCATCAGTACATCTCTACCCCTCTAATGCTACTTTAAATCCTAATCCCATTATGATAAATTTTATATTTATTAAGACCAAACGTAATATATACACTATAATTTGGCTAGCAAAAAATAAAAATATTTAATAATAAAAATAGTGACTTGTGCAATGCCATAGCTAACAGCTAAATTATGAATTACATTAATACATCATATCTGCGGCATGTAGCTATACAAAAAGAGATATATACCCTTTTTCCATTGCATTCCAAATTTACTATCAAGCTTGATTCTTCGTTTCGCACCACTGCTGACTGACAGTAGTGTGGTGTATCAATGTCTTCGATCTTCTGTAGATCTTGTATTGTGAAGGAAAACGTCGTATGTTGTAGAGGAAGCTTATTGCAAAGAAAATAATAATAATAATAATAATAATAATAATAATAATAATAACAATAATAAATCTACAGAGAGCGATTGGAACGTTCATTTTTGCCACTAATGTAAAACCAACCACACCGTCACCGGTTAAACATTTTTTTTACAATGGCTTTCACCGACTTTAATCAGTTTTCAGCGGTTTAGTCGGTTTTTAACCAGTTTAATTCGGTTTTTACCAATTAAAACTATTAATATTTTTTGTACCATGAAAATAAAATAAAACAAAATAAAAGTCATGGTTAAATTTACCAGCTCAAATCACTGAGTTTGGGGAGAGTTCATCGTATGAAGGAAAGATTATATCACAACCAATGTAATCCACCTTAATGGAGCTGGCTAGGTTATATAGCTTTCATCTTTCTCGCTAAATTTTAGCCACCCTTTCAATATGTAAAAGATTTATGAGCCACCCTAAAATGACAAAGGATAGAACCGTTCTATTCTAACTGCTATTGATCAGTAAGACACTTTATCTCTATACTCTAGGTAAGATCTCTCCACTCCCCTCCATTCCGTACTATTATAATGGATAACGCGAGCTTCTACAAGAGCCGCACGCTCAAATCAAACGCTTAAGAAGCATAGTTGAACGCACTTGTATCCCATCAACTATCATCACCTCAATTCTTCTGATTAGTTTTTTTTTTTTTTTTTTTTTTTTCTTCTTCATTCGCAGTCAATTGTTGTGAGTTGTGTAATCAAATATGGCTTGACGGTGTGAAATATCTAATAAACATGGTGCAATGCTGCGATACTGTCTACCTTTTCTATCGCAATCCTAACAATCCTGACAATCCTGACGATCCTGGCAATCCTGACAATGCAGTTCCTCAAAGCAGTAAGACAGGCAAGACAATGTGTTTCTCGGGATAGTTTTGTTTAAGGTTGCGACTATGCACATCTACATCTCTGTGTCATAGTGCAGTAAAATATATTCACCCCACTCCGCCCACTCTCTGCTCTCTTTGTTGTCTTGCAATCTTACCAAAACAAGCAAACAAACAAACTCTGTTGGTATGAGAGCACAGACCACGCAGCAAAGAGCTGCAAACGAAAATAAAAATAAAAAGAACCAGGATGCTGTTGATTGTCAAAGGCAGATGGGATTGTAGCCAGATGGATGCTTGTTGGATATTTCAGAGGATGAAGAGAAATTAAATGGGTTTTCATTCAATAGCATTAGAGGGGAAATGGGACTGCACTTTGTTGAAAAAAGATGAAAAAACCTCCAAATTGCGAAGCGCTTTTCATACGGAAAAAAGGTCCCACAATCGATCGACCATGTCAAAGGTTGGTGACAGATGAAAAGAAAGCAAGCCACTAGGTCCTGACAACGTATAAAAAGGCCTCTCTTTCCTTTCTCTTTTGAATCTGTAACGGTGTAACGGCCTCCAAAGCGTTGAGTTAGTGCGCTCGAGAGTACTAGCCAATGTCCAACGGACTCCATTTGCAGCCTGCAGGACGCTGTAGGTTGGATGGCGGGTTGGGCCCTGCGACGGGCGTGTCGGTAGACTGCTCTAGGGTTTATGGACCGGGGGGCGCGCAACCAGACCACCTCCACGTGGTGCGCCCTGGGCTGTCTGCTTCGCGGCAGACAGGCGAAGAGTCTGGTGTCTTTTTGTTATTTATTTATGCACAGCTACTCATCAACACTCTACTGTCCATTATGGGAGTCAAAATGGAAATAGAAAAAAGATCTTTCTGGCATCGTCATGTTTATATGGCAATAGTGACTTCATAGTGAGAAAGCCGCAGCTTTTATTGTCCTTTCTCTAGAGTCCAAGTCTTTGTCGCAAGGCCAGCATGCTGTGCTTGCCGGGGATCGCCTTTTTCTGCCCACTTTCTTAGACCTGCAGAACTGTGCATCAAGCTCGTTCTTGTCCTGTCTTGTCTTGTCTCGTTTGCCTTGTCTTGGCAAGTGCGCCACCAAATTGAAACATGTGCATTCAAACCATCAAAGCAACAGCCTCTTGCAGAACAATCAAACTCTATTTCGACAACATGCAAAACATGCAACACATTCATCATGACATGCAACTTACTTCAGCGTACATTCATGACTTGGTCGAAAATACAACACGAGCAGCTTCCTCGACAAAATAAATAAATAAAAAGTTGTACATCTGTATATTACTATGTCTTGTGAATTGGAGCAGGTATAAATACTCGTCTCAAATAGGACTCATATTTAACCAGGTCATCTCATATGTGTTCTACAGGTAAGCGTTTGTAGCATCCTCGTCCAGCAGCTACGTTAATAAAGTATCATTGGTCAGCAAGCTGCCTTTGTCCAAGGAGTTGCAACCCTTTCTTCATCCTATTACCATGGTTTGAATGCGCTTCTGAAAAAACGGCAAGTATCTAAATACTCGCCTTGGCTTTACTCTCTCCTTCGCGCATACACTTTTAGTGAAGGAAATTACTAAGCTCATGTAATAAAGCACGCAGTATTTTCAAGCTGTCGCAAATGAGATAAAGACGAGAATAATAATGCTTTGCCTTGAGGTTATTAACGAACGTCGCCATTGCAACGGAGACTAAAAAGCTTAAGATTCAAAAAAATAATGTATCGGCAAGAATGACAAACTCGAAATATTGAATATGTAGCACCTTTCGTTCATGTTAAGCTATTGATTGCATCATTTCGAAACATAATGGGTGACTTGAATAAAAGAAAAGGGCATATACATGTATATCTAAGCATGATTGTGGGCTACATGTGTTTTGTATGATTTTAGAAAAGTAAAATAAGCGACTTTTGATTCCAGCTAAAGTTGTCTTTTAAACAGGGTGCGGGTCACGTGCGCTACTTCCGCAGAGCCTATGGCTAATGTTCAAACCATTAATTTCTTTTTTAATTCACATCCACTCATCACCGTCAAAATAATCGCCGCCATCTATTCTTCAATTATATTATTATAAATAACAATCCTTGTACACGCGCTTCAATCTTTACTTCTCCTTATTTTAGTTTAGGGTAATTATAATAATCAATTGATTAATTAGAGCGCATTTTTTTCTCTGCCTTCATTAATCGTGTTTAACTCTATTCTCTTCCTTCTGCATTTCTCGCGTTTTTTTTTTTTTTTTTTTTTTTTTTTTTCTCCCTCGCTCCTTGTCCACTCTCAATTACCTCTCTCTGTTCCTATTCACTTTCATCGTGTGTTTCTCTTGGTAGAGGATTCTCTCTTTTTATCTTGGATTGGATGTCTAGATTTTTTCACTCTTAATTTAATGCTCATTTCCCTTTATCGTTCTCAATACTGGAGGTCAAACTGATAGGCCTAGCTGTTAGTTGTAGCTGTGTTTATCATCAAGGTGGGTTGATCATTCCTCAATATGAACGTAGCCCTTCTCATTTGCTTTTGTTGCCTGCCCTCCCTGCTCCCCTGGCTTCTGCTAGTCACGCATTTATTGTTAATTTGCTGGTTGGTGGAGAGTTCCAGGCCCCCCAGAGGATGGTTAGTTTTCGCGGCCATGCACGACTACAGCACGTAGGTTGACTACCGGTTGTATTATCCGGCATGGTTCCGTCACTATGTTTGCAATCTATGTGAGCATTGTGATAGTAGCGACTGGTAACAGAGAGGGTTTATCTTTGTTCTTCTGTCTGCCCTTCTCTGCTCCCCTGGCTTCTGCTTGCCTGACAATCTATTACTGGTTGGTGGAGAGATCTAGGCCTCCCAGAGGAAGGGTTAGTTTTGTGGTCATTGCACGACTACAACACGTAGATTGACTACCGGTTGTATAATCCGGCATTGACTGTGTCATTCTGCTCGGCACTTCGTCGGAGCATAATGACACTTGCAACTGACAAGAAAGGACACATGTGATTGGTGGACAAGTTGTAGATGAAAGCCGGTTATACATTCGACTTTCATTTATTCACACATCACTTGTAATTCTCTAGTATCATGATGAAGAGGTTTAGTTTCCTGTAGTTCTGTAGTTTAATTTTTTTTTTTTTTTTTTTTTTTTTTTTTTTTTTTTTTTTTTTTTTCGAGTTGAATAACTAGATGACGAACTGGAAAGATGATATCAATGTTGAGCGAAGTGGTGCAGTATATTTCCTTTCGCAACCCTCACGTCCAAAATTTAGCCCATCTGAATACATTGAGTCTCGTGGATTAAGACAAGAGGATTCACATGTGATATTGAGGGAATGGAATCGTTGGATTAAAGACCTGATGAACAGCAGACACTCTTTTATTCGAGAGGCTGCCAAGGCAGCAGGACTAATGAAGGCAGCAGATCTGGACAAGTTCTATGAAAAACGAATCGTTGCAAAGCGAAAACTCGACGTACTCAAAAGCTCTTCCGAACAACTTAAGGATGCAGATCAAAATCTGGCACGGCAGATTAAAAAGGGCGTTGAGGAGAGTCTGGACAGTACTGAGACCACAGATAAGCATGGTGATGCAAGCGATGTGGCTGTTGTGGACCGACCGAAATTTATCTCAGAAGTATGCTCATTGATACAAAAGGAAAATGAGGTAGAGTACACGCAAGTGCTGTATTTGACCCCGACTGATCTGTGAGGCCCTTGATTAAACATCTTTCATTATAGGAACAATCCGTGTCTCTCCCACCAACCAGAGTGCTACTGAAACGCGGCAGGACGTCAAAGTCGGGTATTGCTTCAATTACTGCAAGGCATGGTGGCCATCAACCCCCAGAGCACGATGTCAATGATGGAGCCAGAACACCACCACGTAATGTTCAGGGATACTGTGAGGAGATTCCTCTTGCAAAAGAGTAAGTGAGATCCTCTTTAGATCTTGAGTTTATATGACTGCCGCACAATCTCTAACTCATGGCTTCCGTCTCAATTTTTTCATAGCCTTGAGGCTGTTTTTAGACACGTTGATATCTCCGCAAATTTCCTACTACGTGAGGCCGACCAACGCCTATATGACGATGCCAGCAAATGGTTCAAGGCAAAAATTAAGACATCAACCGAACTGACGATAGCTGAGATGAGAACAACACGTTTTCAAGAAGATTGGATTCACGATCTGCTCTACTACAGGTAACGACCCATTCTTTGGTATTTATAAAGTATTCGACATGTGTGCAGTACGTTATTGATTATTGTCCTTACTATCATCATCAAAAGACTGATACTCCTACGTGCAGGACTCAACCCAAATGTCGACGAAAACACATATACCTCGTTTTGGGTCTCACCAGATTTTTTCGCTCTTCAGACCGGCGTACAAGGTCTCATCAGCTCTGGTTTCGTCAATGAAAACCATTTTGGGCCTTCTGCTTGGCGTCGTTCCCTCGCAAGAGGCACACAGTCGTCGAAAGGTACGAATGTGGATGCGTACTTCATCGGAAGGGATGATTATGTGGACGTAATTTTCGAGAACATCGGTCCCCCTTCCTGTACCAACCATTCAAAACACCATGATGACAAAGAAAAAACATGGCGCAATGCCGCGGATGCCTTACTGGAAAGATACTACAATTCGTCCGGTTCCTTCGAAATTGCCAAGGGCTACAAGATCGTATGTGTCATTGTGTTCGGTAAGTTTTCTTGATACTGTTGCATCTGGATCTTGCGCTTGGCATCGACTAACATATAATTTGATGATGCGCCTATTCTATTCCAGGTTATGATATTTCGATCTATACCGTCAGCATATTGGACAGGAATGAGTATCTAGTGCAGAAGGTATTCCAGGACAAGTATCATGTCCGTCGAGATGTATATCTTTCCAAGTTACTTGTGCATTTGAAGATTTGTCTTACAATTAAGGTATATTTATTGTTTACCGCTCTTACTTGCACTATCTTTGTTACATTATTGTTTCTGATCCTGAACTTTGTGACCTACAACACAGACTATTATGGAGGACAACTGGGATGTCTGTGTTGAGTTTGACAATTCCATCGAGTCTACTGTGAAGGAAGAACAAGCACATTTTAACATGAAAATTCATACCACTCCTATGAAGGCTCAAATCTCGCCTACGAAGAACAGAAGATTACCAATGTAAGTCGAGACTCTGCATCAATACCGCAAGGTCTTCAGCATGAAGAAGGAACTAGAGTCTTGTATTAGTAGTTATATCAACTCGTCATCAAATAAACTGATTACTCGATTAACGTGGCTCTGAGACCTTGATGGTGCTACGAAATGCATGAAAAGATTGCTATCACGATCCATTATAAATACCCTTAAGATACAAGAGTTGTTGGCATGAGTTTCAGTTCCGTGGTTGTGCATTTGACTTTGTTCTTTATCGCCTTTGTTCATACTTGCCCTTGATTATCCACAGAATTGGCACTGAGTGTTCATATACGCCATTATAGTCTTATTTAATTTAGGGCAATCACTTCGGATGGATTTCTATCCATCGAAACCTCCCTTATTGCTCCTGTAACACTTGTTCGTAGTACATGGGATTACTGGCGCCATGTCAAGCCACACAGACAGACGTTTTCTTAATGCGAGCAACGCTTGTATTCAAAATGTGGCTGGATTGAGTGAAACCAGCAGGAAGCTTTTAGAGCAACATGGAACCATAACCAAGCAATCTCCGTCTTTAGTCAAACATGGGGAGTCCAAACAGATTCTGACGACATCATCAGTGACATTCAAGCCTAGAGCAGCCCTCAGTCAGGCGGATTGCTGTCAAAATTCATCAACAGAGGCGCTCTTAGGGACAGTAGTTTTGAGTGAGGGGCTACCATCGGTAGCAGTGGTAAGGTCAATTAGATCGACCAAAGACTACCAGTTCAAATACAGAGTCGGTGTGCAATAAGTGAAGAGAGAGATGACCAAGAGAGGCAGGTAAAGAAGTTTGAGAGAAGCGGAAGAGAGGTGGCTAAGTAAAGCCAAGAAGCGAAGAAAGAAGTGATCAAGTCATTCAGCTTTACACAACATTATTGCAGCGGATCCACAATATGATACTTCTTGATCCAAAGCCTCATGAAACAAAAACAAAGTACATTAAGGATTATTTTCTTTTTCTACAATCAATGCAATGAGACAGGAGTGAACAAATGGCAATTACATGCTAATTAAACATTTAGCGATGATGGTGAAGAAGGTTCAGGAAGGTTAGATCTGGGTTTAGTGCTTTATTTTCTTTTGCCACCAATGTTAGACGAGGAGTGGATTTTTTTTTTTTTCTTCATTCGCAGTCAATTGTTGTGAGTTGTGTAATCAAATATGGCTTGACGGTGTGAAATATCTAATAAACATGGTGCAATGCTGCGATACTGTCTACCTTTTCTATCGCAATCCTAACAATCCTGACAATCCTGACGATCCTGGCAATCCTGGCAATCCTGACAATGCAGTTCCTCAAAGCAGTAAGACAGGCAAGACAATGTGTTTCTCGGGATAGTTTTGTTTAAGGTTGCGACTATGCACATCTACATCTCTGTGTCATAGTGCAGTAAAATATATTCACCCCACTCCGCCCACTCTCTGCTCTCTTTGTTGTCTTGCAATCTTACCAAAACAAGCAAACAAACAAACTCTGTTGGTATGAGAGCACAGACCACGCAGCAAAGAGCTGCAAACGAAAATAAAAATAAAAAGAACCAGGATGCTGTTGATTGTCAAAGGCAGATGGGATTGTAGCCAGATGGATGCTTGTTGGATATTTCAGAGGATGAAGAGAAATTAAATGGGTTTTCATTCAATAGCATTAGAGGGGAAATGGGACTGCACTTTGTTGAAAAAAGATGAAAAAACCTCCAAATTGCGAAGCGCTTTTCATACGGAAAAAAGGTCCCACAATCGATCGACCATGTCAAAGGTTGGTGACAGATGAAAAGAAAGCAAGCCACTAGGTCCTGACAACGTATAAAAAGGCCTCTCTTTCCTTTCTCTTTTGAATCTGTAACGGTGTAACGGCCTCCAAAGCGTTGAGTTAGTGCGCTCGAGAGTACTAGCCAATGTCCAACGGACTCCATTTGCAGCCTGCAGGACGCTGTAGGTTGGATGGCGGGTTGGGCCCTGCGACGGGCGTGTCGGTAGACTGCTCTAGGGTTTATGGACCGGGGGGCGCGCAACCAGACCACCTCCACGTGGTGCGCCCTGGGCTGTCTGCTTCGCGGCAGACAGGCGAAGAGTCTGGTGTCTTTTTGTTATTTATTTATGCACAGCTACTCATCAACACTCTACTGTCCATTATGGGAGTCAAAATGGAAATAGAAAAAAGATCTTTCTGGCATCGTCATGTTTATATGGCAATAGTGACTTCATAGTGAGAAAGCCGCAGCTTTTATTGTCCTTTCTCTAGAGTCCAAGTCTTTGTCGCAAGGCCAGCATGCTGTGCTTGCCGGGGATCGCCTTTTTCTGCCCACTTTCTTAGACCTGCAGAACTGTGCATCAAGCTCGTTCTTGTCCTGTCTTGTCTTGTCTCGTTTGCCTTGTCTTGGCAAGTGCGCCACCAAATTGAAACATGTGCATTCAAACCATCAAAGCAACAGCCTCTTGCAGAACAATCAAACTCTATTTCGACAACATGCAAAACATGCAACACATTCATCATGACATGCAACTTACTTCAGCGTACATTCATGACTTGGTCGAAAATACAACACGAGCAGCTTCCTCATTTCCCAACAGGCAAACAAGCTACCTCAGTAGTCCTTTTTGTATCCCCTTTAAGCATATGCAGTTCTACTCCCGATTCTAAATTAATCACTATAGTTTTAATTGATGAATTCCCAAGGGCCATTCGCTGACTACATGGCGAAACTACCCTCTCCTGTACAATATTCACCCTGTGCTATGGCTATGTAACAGCGCTCACTTTTTACTGCGTTCAGTACTCGCAGAGGAATAGAGGAACTACTGTGGTATATCGCAATCCTTTGACTGTACCCCAACTCGATGAAGCAATACGATCTCCGCTTGGCGAGTACACTACGCAGCGAACTCCCCATGTATGGTCTGTCAATATGTGAATCAATGCTCCTAGCCTTGTTGTATCCCAGATTGAAAATGCATCTTTGTATTATATGCTCCAGGAGGCGAAAAATCGGCTGTTTGGAGAGCTTATCAGTTGGTCGTAAAAGTGCATCATCCTTCCAGAGTCAAAATCTTTATCCATGTTAATGTGTTACCTACACCACCATTATCGGATATTGCAAACAAATATGGTTTTTTTTTTTCTCTATTTCAAATAATATTTTATGCGGGTGCAAAATCTTTTTAAATACCGTTACGGCTGTTACAGTGACCAAGAGCCTAGACGTTTGGTTGCAAACTTCATTAGCAAAGCAGTTTTAAAAAAAAAATTATTTTTTTACAATTATACACAGATTTTGAATGCATCTTTTTTTTTTTTTTTTAATTTTTTTTATTTTTATAGTGTCACTCCAGAGGTGGCAGCCAGACCAACACAGACACCATTGACACCATCGGTCCCATTGATGCTATTGATGTCATTCATACTACCGATACTAGACCCCCCACTTCTCATCTTGGCTGCATGACAACCCGTCTCTCGATGTCTCTCCAGATCCGCCACTCGACACTCTCCATTACAATACCGTACTTTCTTACAAACACACAATGGCATCAAGATTCGGGTCTGACCACAATGTCCACATTCAACAGCCTTCTTTTGATGTCCCGACATGGTCAGAGTCACCGCTGTCGGTGCTGAAGAAGATTTAGAAGAAGGAGTAGTAGTAGAACAATGACGATGGCGATGGTGACGATGTTGATGTTGATGTTGTTGATGAGAATGATAACTCTTGGGTCGTTGTTGTGACTTGGAATGATGGTGATAAGCATCCTTCACCTCCTTTGGCTGCGCCTCTGTTGGCTCTGTTGCCCTTGTTTTATGACGACCCAAGGTCAGACTCTTGCTACGATGCAACTTTGGATCTAGAGGAGTAGAAGGGGCCTCAGCAAGGGCCGTGGCCGGAATAGATGATTTCTTCTTTTCTTCTCCCAACTTGAAAAACCCAGATTTCCATACAGCAGCTGAAATACTAGAAATGGCGCCTGAGGCTCGCATCGAGAGCGTGCCCGAGTCAGAAGTGCTTGAGGAAAGGGATGATGGGCTAGAGATCCCTGGGTAAGACGTGGTGGCAGTTGAGGTTGACTCTGTAGAAGAATTGGTATAGGTGGAAGAAGCGTACAAAGCCGGTTCATTTGGCGATAATGGCTGAGGATGATGGTGTTTTTTGGATCCTTGGATCTCGGTTGGCTGTGCAACCTTGGCTTTTCTTTCTTGTTCTAGCTGTTCCTGTTGTCGTCGAAGTTGCTCCTGCTGCTCCTGATGCTCCTGCTGCATCTTTTTTTGAAGATCAAAACAGGTTTTTTTGTGGACCAATGCTTGCTGTTGGAGAACACTCAATAATCTCTTGTTTGCGGAGGTAGGAGTAGGAATTTCACTGCAGACACCATATGCTTGAGCACCGTAGTGGTACTCACCCTTTTGTTGATGAACCCATCCGAGTGTAAACATGATTCGTATCCGAAGAGCCCGGCACAAAACTTGGTCTTTTTCTCGCTCTTCTACAGATAAATCCTGGATTGCAGGATTGACAATGTTGCTATTATTGTTATTCTTCCTAATAGCGCCATCAACAGCAGCAGCCTTGATGTTATTTCGAGCCATGGGGTGAGTAGAAGCTCTTGCAGGTGGAGAGAGCTTTTGCTTCTGTTGACGATATCCAACTGATTGAGCGCGAACGAGTGGTACAGTCACAGCTGCATCATTGCCATCAGCAAGAACATCGTTCTCATCATCATTAACGTTCAAGAAGGAGAGGTCAATGCCTTGAGTAAGCAGCAAATCAGTTGGTGTGAAAGAAGAGTTGAAGGCTCCTGTATTTCCATTGTTGTGACCGCCATTTCCCGAAAGAGAAGAGGAGAACAAGGACTTTGATGCAGCCAATTCCTGTTTCCATGCTTCTGCCTCTTTGTTCAATCTACGCTCGATATTACGTAAAGTGCTCACAGCTTCGACCAAAACAGGCTCGTCAAGACCCAAGGCTCTTTTCTGGATCATCAAACATAACTTTTGGATCAGATCCTCAATCTCTGGGGTTGCTAGACCGATTCTCCTTGCTTCTTCTTCCTTCTCAAGCTCATCGTATTCTTCCTCCTCTTCCTCATTATCTTCTTCATGATTGTTACCATTGCACTCCTCACAGTCTTCACAGTCTTCACAATCCTCATCTTCGTTGTTGTCGCTATCTTCTTCTGTTGGTGATGTTGTAATGGCTAATTTGAAACTGTTTTGATTATCCAGGTGCGACATTGGGTTTCTGTATTCACTCTCAGCAGAGGTTGCAATCTCGATTGATCCTTTAGAAGATGGACTAGTGCGGATTGGTATAGAGCCTTGTTTTTTTTTACAAGTCGTCATTGCATGCTTTTGCTCTGTTCTGGTTGGTCGTCGAGGTTGAGCAAAGTATTCTTCTAGTTCATCATGATCATCTTGGATTTTAGATCGTCTTGACCGACTAGACTGATTGACAGTCAAAGACGCTAATGACGATGATGAGGATAATGACGATGCTAAAGACCATCGTCTAGCAGACCAGATTCGAAGTGCATGAAGTAAGATCTGAACAGCCTTGACGTCACTCTTGACTAGGCCGGGTACGTTCGAGGTCGAGGTATAGAGCGCATAGAGAGAGCCACAAGCCGGTAAGGAATGGTGCTTTTCTGCAGCTAGTTTATACAAAGTGAGCGCGGGCACATAACGATGAGAGATGTAATGTGATTGGGCCAAGAGAAGAATATCCTGGAGGGTTCTAGGTGGTTGTTGCTGATCATAGAGAGCAACGGAGGTGGAAAGTGAGGATGTGAGACAAGTGGGTGATTTTGCCAGCACGTTCAAAGAGGATGTGGATTGAGAGCGTTGTCGGACCATGTCCAAATCAGTTGCCTCAAAGAAAGAGGAGAAGGATTGTTGCCTTTGTAGCTTCTGTTGTTGTTGTTGTTGTTGTCGTTGCAGTTGAAGTTCTTGTGTAGCAAAGAGATTAAGTGCACTCCGAAGACTATCACTACTGCTGACACGTCTAGTTATAGGAGGGGGCAAGAACCGTTGAGAATAGACCGAGCAAAATGTGGTGCTAGTGGTTAAGCTGGCAGTAGAGGGCGAAGGACTTCTCGAAGGATGAGGAGAGATAGAAAAGCGTGGAGTGAGAAGAAATGGAGATGGAGTGGGAGCAGGTAGAGGAGTAAGAGTCGACACCGAGCCCTTGGGATTGCCGATAGGGTTATTCCGAGGAGGGCCTTGTGATAAAAGTGAGAGCCTGGGCGCAGGAGATGGGCACAGAGGGTTGTTTGAGGATGAAGAGGAATTTTGGGAGAGGGCTGAGGGAAGGTCGGACGAATTGATGGTTTCACACTTGCGGGTATAAGAGGTCCGAGGAGGGGGAGTGGAGAGGGTAGGACAAGTATGGATGATGGGGATGGAATGAGACTGAGACTGAAGTTGAGACTGAGGTTGAGACTGAGAAGAGGAAGAAACGAGGGTGATGTTGGATGGTCGAAAACAAGGAGAGGGAGAAGAAAGAGAAGAAGCGGGAGAGAATGAAGAAATAGGGGAGGAAGAAGTAGTGGAGGTGGAGGTGGAGGTGGAAGAGGTTGGAGAAGAAGATGAGGTAAGGAGGAATGGTGGTAGTAAAAAGGCCTGAGCTGTGGCCCAAAAGGGAAGAGCCGCAGGATTCGAAGGCGTGATCTGACGGTGGCAGTGGCAGTTGTTTTGGAGATTATTATAAAAAGGCTCTTGTGAATTATGTTGATTAGGGTGATGTAGATGTTGCATTGGCTCGTGTTGCTGTTGTTGCTCAGTCATGATCGATAGCTGAGATTGAAGTAACTGCTGGCATTGATCCTGAGGATTCTCCGTCGAGTGCTGAGTTGGATTCAATAACTGGGGAAGAGGGCCGTGGGGTGACTTTGTCTGAGAGAGATCCTATGCGCACGTACAATGTTTTATATTTGTTCGTTTTATTAATATTTTTATTTTTAAACAAATTCTTGGATAAAGAGAGAGAGAGAGATTGAGTGGTAAAATAAAAAAATAAAAAAAAGTTTAAAGGGAAGAGGCTAGGACTGTAAGGACTGTAAGGATAGGACTCCAGTCCGATCCAATTATCAAACAAACAATCGAATGGAATAAATATAACAGCACAGATTCAGCATTATAGATCACACGAGCAAAAAAAAAAAAAAAAAAAAAAAAAAGAAGAGTGGATGTTGAGCAAGGGTATGTGTAAAATGACGTTTTTGAACATTGAGGGAGGACAAGATGGAAAAATGGAAGGAGAAAGTGTACACATGCACATGCACGCAAACATCCAAAGCACAACAAATAATGCAAAATAACCAAAGGAAGTTTCATCCCATGTAGAACAGATCGTTTAACCACAGACTCTTCGCCTCTTGTCTTCCCATTCACTCTAAACCGTAAACGGTATCCTCCTTTTATTTTCATATCCACGGAAAGGGGTGATGAGGATTGTAAAGTTTCGATTGGGTGATCAAAGGATTGTTATATGTGCAGTTGAAGGATGGATCCAATGTGTTCGAGACTTCGAGACTGTTAATGGCGGGAATAGTAAAGTGAGTTTCTCTTTAAGTGTTTGAGACTGAAGGTGCTTTATCATCATATGTAGTTTGATTTGAAGAAGATTGTCCGCATTGCCATTGTCCAGATGTAGGTTTGAACAAATCAAATCAAAAAAGAGGTGGAGCCCAATCTCAAATGTTGTTATCCATCATGACAAATGCTCCCATATTAGGATTAAACGTGGCAGGAATGAGTCGGAATGTAAAAAATATACATGTAAAAGATATATTATACATATATATATATATATATATAAAGTGGATTGATGATACATTTATATTTTATCACTTTTTAATTTTATCTGCAGCTCTTTCGTCTTCCTTTCCATTTCTATCTGACCGAGAATTTGCTGGATAAGAAAGGAAACGAAACTTACTTGATTCTGCTCAGGATTTATACGAGAATGATTGGAATCATTGCTGTGGTGATTGATGCTCTCGTTGTTGTTGTTGTTATTGTTGTTATTAACATTAATATTACTATTATGACTAGTGTTATTATTACTATTGATGTTGATGTTGTTTTTGGTGAAAAGAAGATCCAAGGAACGAGATTTGCTGCACGCGACCTCATTTGTACTACTGAGAGGAATTGGCGTGATGCTTGTGCTGATATTGCTGTTGATATTCGTGCTCATGTTGATGGTGCTTTTATGATTGGTATGCCCATCACCATCGCCATCACCATCAGTGCTACCATCAGCATCAACATCAACAGCATCAACAATGCCATCGCCATGTACCTCTGATGTTATCTTGTGTACCTCTAAAGAACAGTCTGTGAGATGTTGTTGGTCCGTCAACACTCTTCTGGGCAAAAGAGGTTGCTGATGGTCAATGCATTGATGTTGTAGCATGCTTGCTAATATGCAATTAATATTAAATGATATTAGAAATAATAATAATAATAAAAAAAAAAAATTAATGGAAAAAAAAAAAAGGTGATTAAAAGAGGAAAAAGGTCAATCCGTTTCTTTATTCCTTCTTTTTATATGAGAGTAGCCATCCCCAAGACAACAAACATGTGCATGATGAGAGTAGAAAACAGGGTAGTAACAAAAAGACTATTCGAGTCATACAAAGATCCGTACAAAGGAAAGGAGAAGGGAGACACTCTAATGCAGTGCAGTGTATATGCATATGTTTAAAAAGGATAAACAAATTCCATGCAAAACTTCCCCTAAGTTTGCCACATCTAAACACATAAACATCCCCCCTCCCCTTCCTTCTCGACCCCCAGTGGAAATACCAGCCATTCATAAGGCTGAAAGATGAATTGATTCAGCATTCCAAGCTTTTCATAAAAAAGACTTGGTCTGCAGGAAGGAAAAAAAAAAAAAAAAAAAAAAAAAAAAAAGCGCGCATAAACAAACAAGGACCTGAGGACAGTCTAACCCACGTAATCAGCCCAAGGCGTTGATAGTAAAAAGTAAAAAGTAAAAAGTGAAAAGCGAAACTTTGTCCGGTCTCATAGGTTGAACAGAAAGTTGCAACGGATCATATTTCTTCCTACACTTGGATATACTCGTGGCGTCTTTTTTTTTTTTATTTTAGTTCTTTAAAGAGAGTTTTAGGGTCTGATTTAAAGATATTAAAGATCGAGGAAAGAATAACCCAAATCAAATGTAATGGATACAAGATGGAGTAAAAAGGTAGGGTGGACGACATGTAGCCCTATTACAGTGTTTACCCCCTATTTTTTACTTTTGCATTATGTATATACCTCTCTCTCGTTTTTTCCTTTTTCTGTCCCTGGCAAAGCACAAACACAATTCTTTCTTCTTTGCTTTTTGCTCCGCCCCTCTCCTGATCTGATCGAATCAAAATACCACGAAAACTAATTTTGGTAATTCTCTATTGCAAACACACCCCACAAGACCAAATTTTTTTTTTTTTTTTTTTGTGATGTGGATGGATGAATGTATTTACATGTTACATGTACATGATTGCATGGTTGTACAATCAATGTGTTTGCAAAGAGGGGCAAATGTGTGGATGGGAAGAATAAATAAAAATTGATCAGATCGAATTATAAGTGTGTATCAATCATGTCTGCCTTGTCTATGTCTATACTGAGCTATTTTTCTTTCTGAAAGGAAGAAAAAGCCGAGGGGGACTATCGATGAACCCTGACGCACATACCTTTTTTTTTTAAAAAAAAAAAAAAGAGAGCAATTACCAAGTAAAGAGAAGGTGTGGGGAAAGAGGGGGAGGATAGAAAAGTTTGGTCTGTTTATGAATAACGTGCTTGTGAATGCGGTGTGCCAAAAGAAATGAAGAAAACGTCCGTTGGTTTCTGTCCAATTCCTAAACTAAAATATGTAAAAAAGAATCCAAGTGTAAAAGAGAATGTGAATGTGAATGCAAATGCAAATGAGAATGGAGAGAGGTAAAGGATGCAAGCAGTTTGAAGGGATGAAAAGAATAAAGGGTAAAAAAAAAAAAAAAAAAAAAAAAAAGTCGGGAATATTGTTTCTAGTTCAGCATTGACTTTTGCATAATACGATGGCATGGTGGTCTTCCTTTTTTTTCCTTCGCCATGGACGTTTTACAACGTTCCTTGAATTGGATTGCTAATGTTCCAGGCTGCCCACGTAAGGCTGTTGTGCTAAATGACCTTCTCCTATCGATGACACACTAAACCGGCGGGGCGAAAGGAAAAAAAAAAAAAAATTCTCTTTGCTCATGTATCAAAACTGGACGCAGTAACTTGATTTGCCCAAACTTGTAATCAGCTCGCTATCGTCCGTATGATTGAACGTAGTGTTTGATGCAGCCACTCTAGTCAACACATCTTATACACACCCCTATTTTTTTTTTTTTTTTTTTTTTTTTTTTTTTCTTCAAAAGATTACTCGATCCAAGGTAATTTTATCTTTCATTGATTGGACAACATTCGCATTGGCCACTAAGACAAAAAAAAAAAAAAAAAAAAAAGGAAAAAAGGACAGAAGGTCCGATCGAACTGCAGAGTAATTCTAAAATGCACTCGTAATACCTCCATCGACCAATTTTCCTCTTCTTTTTTCTCGTTTACTGGACATGGCAACAATTGTTCATGTTCCTTATTCTTTTGACTCTCGTTGTACCATAAACCAAAAGCAAACAAATGCTGGAATCCAGTCGGGGCTAAAACAATGTTGTTAAATCACGTGGATAACAAGTTGTTTGTGTAAAAAAAATTACGCGCTCCATCTTTGGGTAGGAGAGCACATTGCTTTTCAACAGGAAAACCCAAGCATTGCTTTTCAATACAATTTGAACCCGCGCCTTTCAAGGCTTATCGTATATATCGCAAGCGTCTGGGAAGAATGCCTACCTATGTACTGCTGTGTAAGAGTTTAAATCCATGAGCAAATCGAGAACCGCCTCGAATCTGTATCGTATCGAGTTGGACGTGATATCCGGAAATGAATTAAATAAACAAAAATTTAAACAAATTGCACAAAAGTAAATTGGTTTGCCCAATACCGAGTTTTTTTTTTTTTTTTTTTTTTTTGCTTGTGAGTACTTCAGTACCATGAAGCAATAGCCATACTATATTAATAGAACAGCTACCCATCAAGGAATAAGCTGCTATGATCATTCATCATGGATTAAACTGTATTGTGGCGGGTCTAATGAGGACAGAGAGTTTAAACGTATTAGAGTGCCTTCACAAAGCCATACTTCACAAAATGCATGTCTCTCTAAATAAATAAATAAAAACTCTGTCAATTTCAATTATATAGTACAACAACGTGAACTAGTAGTAATCTATTTCTCTTTTTTCTGCTTTTCTTCTCTTTTCTTTTCTTTTCTTTTCTTCTTCTATGGATTCGTGATTGCCATCTTCTTGGCGTGTTGGTTTCGACGGTTATGATTAGCCTTGGATGCTTTCTGGCGCTCATTTTGGGCACGGTCACGCGGGTTGTCCTTACTTTTATTGTTGCTCTGACTACCTTGTCCTTGTCCTTGTTGTTTCTGATGCTGTGACTGTTGTTGTTGTTGTTGCTGGCCATTGCTGGGGCGTGCAGATGGGGACCCTGATGGCTGCTGAGAAGAAGGTTTTGATCCATGAGATCCTTTGTTCTGCTGCGGCTTCTTTTGCGAAAATTGTTGTTGCTGCTGTTGCTTCTGTGGTCTACCTTGGGTATCACTCTTCTCCACAAATGGAAGTCGACCTCCACGGCGCTTGTCAACTGGCTCCATTCCTTCAATCTCTTTCTGTCGACCATCAAACTCATACTTTTGTGCAATCTCTTCTTTACGAGGCTAAATTTTGTCATCAAAAGTAATAGACAAATAGACAATAGACAATAGGTAATGAGTAAGCGTAGAGTAGACTTTTTTTTTTTTTTTTTTTTTTTTTTTGTTTTAAAAAAAAAAAAGAAAAGAAAAGAAAAGCTTACATTGCGACCAAACATAATGGCCCAGCCTTCAAGCTGCTCATCACTCATCTTGGTCAAATTACGAAGCTCCTGTCTCTTCTTGGAGCGACGCGCCTCAGTACTGCGATTGAACACATCCTTCTGGCCCATGTACATGTTGATCAACGCTTCCTCATGCTCGATTGATGGATCAGCAGCCTGTAGAATTAGATACCAAATCAGAAATAATAGAGAGTTATATATCAGTATGGTATACACCTTTGCGACATTAGAGCTTGGGTCTGTCCCATCTCCAAAAGTATATACGCGCGCCTTTGTTTTCATTGTTCATTCTTACTATTGCGAGGCTGGGCTTAGGGACGCCTTCGTCAGTCTTGGCGTCAATATCATCGTCCACCAGTTTAAAGTCTGCACTAGTATTATTCAGACCCATCGAGTCGTACGTGTCATCATATTCATCATCGTACATCATATCCACAGCCTGAAGGATAGCGCTCTTGTGTTGATCAACAAAAGACTTGTCATCCAATATGATCTCGGCATCTTTTGGCCTAAATTCATGCAACATTAAGAAATCAATCGGGTACAACATGATCAGCTTACTGTTTCCTCTATTCAGGCTTGATACAGTCATAAAGCGAATGTAATAATAATCCTAGAGAGAACAAAATGCGCTGGAATTTTTTTTTTTTTTTTTTTTTTTTTTTTTTTTTTTGACTTACCCTTTCTTTCCACGCGAGACCTTGGATCTGTCAAGGACTTTTCCTGAAAACACGTCAAACTCATCTCCATCAAAGATGTTTCTACGCAAAGATAAAATGTCTTCCTGCACAGGAACTACAGAAGACTTAACAACTGGTATCGGTATCGGGGCTGATTCTACACGATGAGGCATGGATCTATAACAAGGATGTGATTGAATAAATGTCAACAGAAAGAAAAAGATGGAACTAAAATCGTGCGATCTCAAACTATAAGGCATTAAAAGGTGTTTATACACATACCTCGCTGTCGACCGATCCATAGTAGCCAGATCACTAGGAAGGTTTTCTTCTAAAAGTCGCATGGTCACAGTCTCAACATTATCTTTAAATGTGATAAGACATGCTTCCAGAAAGCCATCACCAAGGTCAGGGAACAAGTCTTGTAGCTGGGAAATTAACATAGTACGCTTAACATAGTCGTCTTCCTGATCAGTCGTCATAGGGGTGACATTAATCCTTGGAGTGCTATCATTTGACACTGTATTTGCACTGGATCGATTAAAGTCGTCATTGATGTACAGTCCTGACATTTCTCGAGCCATCTTTTCAGATTTTCGCATGTTGTGTTCATAAACATAGTTCTCCGTCGCCAGGTTGAAACGTCGGAGGTCGTTCAGTACTACGATCCAATGACCAAGTCGGTCATTTTCCCCCCTACATCTTTCCACATTGATGTCTGATAGTTTTTCAGAGATACTAAATTGAATCTCAAGATCCAGAATCGAAGGAGCATCGTACATAGGAGACATATCCTCCTGTAATGGTGATTGTTCATACAGATCAACAATGACTCCGCAAAGACTATCAGTCAATTCTGCAGTAGCACTTTCGTCGTCCGGTGATGACGTAGAAGTGACAAGATGTTGTTTATAGATACCATCCAATATGTTGTTGACAACAGAAAGCATCTTGATCCGCAAGAAATTGAGAACAGGGCGAGGGTTGATGACGCCTGCTGTTTGGTTATCAATTAATGTCTTGCTAAGAACAGGGAGGGTGTAGTTGTAACAGCCTGTTAAGCATTGTAAAAATGTAGGGTGCTGGAGCAATTCTATTGCTAAAGTAGGACTAACAGCAGAGACTGAGGAAAGGGCGTAGGCAATGTTGGATAATGCGCTCGTATACTGCATAATCTCTACAAACTTTTCTTCATCCATTTCCGATGGATAAGGTTCAGGTGATACTGAAGGGGATATTCCCTTGCCTTTGCCCTTTCCCTTGCCCTTTCCGGCAGCACTTCCACTGACGCCCTTTTCAAATCGTTTTTGTACTTTACGAATGATCTGAACCACTGTGCCTGTTGACGCCCTAAAATCGCCAATGAGATCGGGAATATTTTGGAGAAAAATGCTAACAAGTTTGGAGACGCCCTCTGGATCGGAGCTTCCATAGATCCCGGAAAGGTCCATGAGCACAGATGTAGAGATAATCCCTCGATCCAAAAGAGCTGATCCTGGACCGTATTTGATATCCTGATCTTGATCCTGAGCTTGATTTTGACCTTGACCTTGATCCTGATCCTGATCCGCAAGCAATCGAGCAGCAGCAGCAACTGCTTCAGGCGCGGTTATGGTGTCTGATAGTCGACGGTAGATCATATAGGTTCGACGAACAACCTCCTGTAGTTCCATGACCCAGATATCGTTCTTATTGCCACGAAAGCTCGCATATTCACCCAAGAATGAATTAAGGAAGTGAACGAGACTATCGTTCTTTAATAATTCAACCCAAAAGGTTTTGTTGTTGTGTTTGAGAATCCTGCTAAGGCTTTCGTTCCAATTATCGACTGCAATAGAAAAATCGGCCTCTGTCAACGCTGGATCGGTCAATGGCGTCACAAATGGTAGAATATCAGTCACTGGTGCCATGATTAAGAGCTTGAAAACAAAGGGAAAAAAAAAATACAAGTAATACAGTTGAATAAATTGGAGAAAATGAAGTAGCTAATTAGAATGATAGAATGAGAAAGATGAATGAAAAGAAAAAAAGATAAAAGAAAAAGGAGGCAAATAAAAAAAAAAAAAAAAGTTTTAAACCTTGGGTCGCGATGTCCCCATTGGAGCAATTTTTACATTCAGCTCCAACCGTAGCCTGCGGACGAAGTTCATGTGCACATGCACGTGCTGGAAGGCAGATGTGGCTTGCTCTTCTCTCACAGGCTGGGACTTGACATTTTGGTTAAATTTCTAAGTCGAAAACACCGCAGGAAAGGCTCTTTTTTTTTTGTCATTTTTTTTTAAGCAAAGTTTGCAGATCACAAGAAAATGGCCTACATGTGAAGCATGCTATTGTTTTTCTTGCTCTCATTTCACAACCTCATTTATTCATTACGAAATTTACCTCCCATCATTCTCATCTTAAAAAAAAAAAAAAGCTCCCTGTGGTGTAAATGACTTGGAAATAAAAAAAAAAATAAAAAAAAAGAGCCTTTCCTGTGGTGTGTTCAACTTAGAAATTTTTTAGACCTCCAGCCAAAATGTCACGTTTGGTCCCAGAGAAGTGTCTGCAGGAGCATGCCACGTTTGCCTTTCGGCGCGTGCATGTGCACATGAACTTCGCCCTCAGGCTTGCACAAAACCAATATTATTGAGTCCATTCTTAACGTCCAAATGCCAAGTTTTTTCTTTATTACTCTCAAGCAATGAACTAGACTTTATGGGGCAACTAATATAATTGCTGGGATATCTACTTGATCATCCTCCTCTTTTTCTTCATTGCCATCTTTTCTTTCTTTGCTGTCATTCTCCCCATCCTTCCTAAAGTTTGACGCGTCAAGGGTTTTCTCTAAAGCATAATTTTGCTTAGATATCACCAAGAAAGCACTGATACAAAAAATTATTGTTCGCGTCTGAACACTTACAATATGAGCAACAGCTTCTTGTTCTTGGAATGAGGTATTAGACATGCTCATAGTGGGATGAATGTAAGGTGAAGAGTGGATGTGCACACTTTCGATTGTGTGGTGAAAACAAGAGAGTTAAAGAGATGAATAGTGTTTGTGTATTTAAATAATACATGTTATGTCACACTTGGGGGCCAATTTAATCTTTAATCGCATGGCGTCTTGTGCAACAAGAAAAAAAAATTTCTCACACACACAGCATAGCCCAACCTTGAAATAAAGGAACAAATTTATCAATTGTCGCTCCTTTCTTTAACTTGCTTCACTTCATTTTTGCACTCTCCTCTTCCTTTTCTTCCTTTATCCTCTTTTCACTTTTTTCTTATTTCCCCCCAGTTTTGCTCCCTTCACATATCTTCTCCTCTTCCTTTTTCATTTATTCCAAGCTTTCATTCATTGCCTTTCCTTTCCTTTCCTTCCTTTTTTTTTTTTTTTTTTTCTTTTTTCTTTTTTTCTTTTTTTCTTTTTTTCTTTTCCTCCCTCATCTTCATCTCCACAGCTTACATTGTCACAATTTTGAACCATCCTGCTACTGACTTACCATACTTAACAATTTGATCAAACTTGTCCTGTTTTCTGTCCTCCGTCCATTTACACCCTTGTTTTTAAACAGTTTTGAAATCACAATGGGAAGCGGAACAACAACACCAAATGGTCCATCTAGACGTGGTTCGACTGAAAGAGAAAGAGAGGTTGAGAAAGAGCCAACCAACCTAAGGATTTATTGTATTGTTGGTGGAGAAGCAACGTCTTTTCCTGCAAATATCCCTTCTGATCGTTCAGTCGGCGAACTCAAGCAAGCCATCTATTCGCCTGCTAGATTTGGTGATATCCCACCGGAGAAGCTCACTCTCAAGCTCATCCCCGGCGGCACAACGAAGAAAGGATTGGAAACATTATCCGAAGAATCGCTTGTAGTGCTCGATGAACTTGAAGAACTCAGCACTTATTTTCCAAAAGGTGCAGCAAAAGGTCGCATTCACATCATTGTCAAGCTGCCGCCGCCAGGTATGTATTTAGCTCTTGATGGACTGATGGCTGTTGATATTTTTAATTGACGAAGCTTATTGTCATTCATGACGTCATTGATGTAATTCAAAACAGCTCTTTATGTTTGAGATGTATCATGGCTAAACTATCTAACCAGGGGCGGCTTTGGATTTCTTTATAAAAAGAATTTGAAAAGTCGCCCCATGGTTCGTGCCTATACTCTGACTCTCACTGTCCTCTCGCGAGTCTTTTTACTTGGGCTTATTTCGGCTCCCCACTGCCCTATCGCATACAAGTACTTTTATCAAGGCCCTATCTAACTATCCTCTTGTTTGTTTATTGCGTGGATTTAAACAGCCCCAAGAAGTCCAAAAAGGAGCCTAGAAGACATAGAAGACGGAGGTTCAGAAGGTGAGTTCATCCCGCTCATAGTTTTGATGATTCTTGAGGAAGTTTGTTTATTTCATACTCACGTCAGTCTCGCTATTCTTTTATGCTCAAAGAGCACTTTACAAAGCGCCTTCGCCCCTCGGAATCCCCAGAAGTTTATACTTTAGCCAATGGGCAGACAGTATCTTTACCCAAGTTCATGATAGATATGCTCAATGAGACCAGCCTCCAGCCGGAAAGTCGCTTGAATTTCTCATCACTGAAGGATGTTAAGGTAGGCGAAGAGGTCGAGATAAGAAGCCTTGGTCGTAGCCCAAAGTTCTTTGGATTAGCTAGTCAGAATCTCCTTGTTACCGAGCAGATGATGGAATTATGGGAAGCGATGACCGAGTCTAAGTTTCCGTTTACAAAATGTTTGTCTGGCCCCATGGGAGTCGGGAAGTCCTATATAACCTGGTTTCTTGCCGCTAAGGCATATGCTCACGGCTGGCAAGTTCTTTACATCCCTGATGCAAAGAACTTTTCTGTCTGTAGGGCGGAAGATGACGCATCAGCAATAATTTGTCAGATCTTCCTAGATCTCAATAAGGATATCTTGACTGCAGAAGAACTCTCCATCATGGCAAACCTTGAAAGCAGTGGATCACTTATTTCAACTATTGCTAGGCATATAATATGCTTATTCCAACGAGGACGTCAAAAGACTCTCTTCATCGTCGATGAGCATGGTTCTTTGTTTTATGGTGACAAAGCAGCAACAGATAGGTTTCCTGTCCTGTCTAATCTGGATAGCTTCAACACTTGGTTAACAAATGGTGGTGGAGTATGTGTTGTGTTTACGGGCACTGCGCATGGCAAGTTTGAAAGGACCATCCTCAGGGATCCAGACGAATATCTCGTTTATGTCGAACCTTTATCACAAGATACATTCGAAAAACTATTCAAAATTACCATTGCTCCCTTCGATTTGACATCTCAAAAGAGCCTCATGAGCCGCATGAACGCAATTATCGGGATTATCAACCGAGTGCCACGTGATTTGGTCAGATTCGCCAAATCAATTATGCTCATAAAAGGAGGACAGCTCACGGTGGAACAGATCGACGACGGTTTAGAAGCATACGACAGAAAATGCTTCGATTCCTATTCCAATGAAATATCGGCTCATTTGAACAAGCTCGAAGGAATCTGGAAGGAAATAACTATCCAAGCGCTGACAAAAATGTTCTTACCTGGACGTCAGGGCTCACAACCGGGAACTTTTGGATGGGAGTTCCTTGATACGGGGATGGTTTATCGGTCGACTAACGAGAGAAATGTGCCTGAATACCGTCCCATTAATTACCCTGCACAAAGAGCGATATTGAATTTATACAGAGTCATCCCATTGCCAGATTCTCTTCGAAGTGTACTTGCTTCTGGTAATTTTGATGGGAGCCAATTTCAAGAGGCCCTATTTCGGGAGCTTATTAGAGGATATTCTCATACATTCGAGTCAACAGATCTTGCAGGCGGAAACAAGATGGATACTATTTTCAACATCTCGGGATACGAGCTATTAGGAAAGCCACCAAGGATGCTTGGAACTGTAGAAGAAGATGGCAAAAGGATCCTGATAAACGGAGGCTCGTATGCACGATTCGATTTTATATTGGGCTACATGTTCATCCAAGTGTCGGTTAGTTCGTTCACGGTCCATAACGACCCAAATCGCTCAGCATGCATTGACAGGGCATTTTGGAAAAGGAAGACCACAGGCAAGAACCAGATTGAGGAATATTTGGATGTTGCATTTGGTGGTGTTCACCAAGCAACTATGACTGAAGAGCCTGCTGATGACAAGAACGACAATATAACCAGCAATAACAAGGGAAAGAGCAATAGGGGGAGAGGTAACAACCAGAGCGATGGCAAAGGAACCAATAACGGAGTTAAGAAAAGAAAGAAGGGAAATGATGAGGGTAGTGATAACAAGAATGGTGAAGGGAGCAGTAAGAAAAGAAAGACCGTCAAGAAGTTTGCGGTCACAAGAGATGGAAAGCCCTGCAATGACTTTCAAATTGTCTACATCTGTGGTGGAAATAAAGCTGATAAAAATGCAGAGCCTCCTAATCACACAGGCAAAGTCACCGAATATCCTCAAGTCAGACATATATGCTACGATGAACTCAAGTCGAAGTTATTTCGGGCTTATATGTCGTAGTCACCTAAATCAACTCGAAATTTTGGACAGTCAATAAAAGACTTGTATTATACATCTGCATCACAAAAGGCGCTATTTCAATCGCCATTGCCGATCCACTCAAGTATCCATTCATTCATTCATAGCTATGGGAGCTGTTCTGTTCAAAACTGTGAATCCGTTTCATTGCTCCACCTCGGTGAAATGTTTAGCCGGGGACGACTTTGGATTTCTTTATAAAAAGAATTTGAAAAGTCGCCCCCATGGTCCGTGCGCGCCATAGAGATCCTCGCTCACTTGTTAAGGCGACTGTTCGATGCTTGTTGGTTTTCCAAATCTGCTCTGATTTCACCGCAATCTAGCGGAATTGATTAGCATCCCTTGAATAACTGCCATCCAGAGGGACTACTTCGAATAGACAGTGTTGTTCAAAACAATAAAACTTGACTGAAAGTCTGCTAATCCTCAAATCATGAGGCAAATAATGCCTCTGAACGCTTCAATAGGATTATGGCGAGCTTTTGGGGTGCAGAAAAGACAAGATTGTTACTTTTGAGCAATGAAGGATATAGGATTTGTTCCTTGGAGGCACACCTTTTTGAAACCACGCTTGTTGCTAGTAAAAACACAAATGGTTCTCGTTTTCCGCATAATTTCAGCGCTTCCACAATCCAAGGGCTGTGATATAGCCATTAAATGCTACATGTTTGTCGAAGTATTGACACATCCCTTGCAAAAGTTCAGATGTATGCTAAGAATATTGTTTAAGGGACGTAGAGTAGTCAATAGCATGTGGCAGTGTTCAGGTGTTTATACAGTATCAGATGGGTTCACTAGGCTCGTCACCAGCCTGAGGACGAAGTTCATGTGCACATGCACAGGCTGGGACCAAACTTGACATTTTGGCTGGAGGTCTCTTTTTTTAAATTTGATGAAAAATTTCCAAGTCGAACACACCGCTAGGAAAGGCTTTTTTTTTTCTAAGTCATTTACACTAGAGAAAATAGCTTTTTTTTTTTTTTTTTTTTTTTTTTCAAGCAAAGTCCTACAGATCACAGGAAAATGGCCTACGTGTGAAGCATGCTACTATTTTTCTTGCTCTCATTTCACAATCTCATTTATTCATCCGGTTACCACTACGAAATATACCTATCATCATTCTCATCTTTAAAAAAAAAAAAAATAGAAAAACTAAGCTATTCCCTGTGGCGCAAATGACCAAGAAAAAAAAAAGAGCTCCCGCGGTGTTCGACTTGGGGAATTTTTTCAGAGAAGTGTCTGCAAGAGCAAGCCACATTTGCCTTTCAGGCAGTGACCTGTACTGGTGTACTTAACATACGTATAAATCGCAATTTCATTTGGTCATGATACCTTATATTTTTAATGATTGAATTGTTCTGGTGGCATTTCAATACGTGACGGACTTGCAACAATACTCGCAACAAGCGAGCCAATTGGCTGCCAATACACTCGAAAGTATTCAAAAAATATAAGGTATATATTTTACTATTTTACTATTTGGCAACCCGAGTTGTCACGCAAAAGAAAAAAAATTGAGAAAAATAATTAAGGGGGGGTTGTCAAATAGACTAATTCTAAATTTATTAGGTATCACGTGCACTGGCCATCGATTATATTGCACTACTACTTACGTATCATGCATTCAGCGTCCCAAGAAATGCACTGTATACCTAGGCACCTTTTTTTTCATCTTTAATGCTGATTGGCGCAAATGAGATCACGCCATGTAAGAAAAGGTTGATTTGTAATGTCAGGAATGAATGAGGATGAAGCTGACAAAAGGAAAGGTGAGAACAATAAATTGAAGTTCATTTTGCTTCTCATTCTTTCATTCCTCTTTAACTAATCTATCTCACAAAACCACGTCATTAGATCTACCCGCTTTCATATTACTTAAATTATGTCTTCCTCTAACAACACTGCTTCCTCTTCCACCAGCCAAGTTGCTGGCAAAAAACGCGCTCGTGAGGAATTGGAAAACGACAAAAGCGCAAGTCGCCAGACCTCACCTTCCCTAGAAGGTCCACCTGCTGCCCTAGCGTTCTACTATGTGTCATGGGAACGTCCCACCAAAAATATACACGAACTCCAGGAGCTCTTTCTTGAGGGTCCATTCTGTACTTTCAGGGAGCGGGAAGACAGTGAGCTTTATCAGGATGGCGATGAAGGGAGTCCTCGCAAGATCCTCTTTCTAGAGGGAGTGCTAAAACGCGATTTGTCCAGCAAACCCGTGACGCGTGGCATATTTGAGATTTTCGGGCTTCATGAACCATCGCTGATCAAGCAGCTGAAGCGTCGTGACCTCAGGCTGATCAAAAACACGGAATTGCAACGGTTAGAAGCGTTAGCTAGGGCCTCGCAACGTGCACCGGCTGCTGTCGTTTCAGTTGCAACAGAGACTGACCGTCCAGAGTCGACGCTAGAGATGTCAGAACGACAGCTCCGAACGGTTCTCACTGAACTGGAATCAGTTAATGTGGACTCGCCTCGTAGCAAGCTTTTGCAAGAAAAAGCAGCACTGTTGTTAGATGTGTATAGAACCTTTAAACCAGTTGCGGAATAAAGTGTTGTTTTCAAAAATATATATTATCATGAGTATAAAAAATTCGTACGGCGGTGCACTTTGGAAGAGTACATCAAAACCATAGCTTTTTATTTGCCCTTCTTCTTTTGGATAGACTTAAAGTACGCGTTTGAGGACCCAGCTTGCCTGATTGCAGTATCCATTGTCGTTTTTGCCTTTATAACTCTGTCGTTCAGTGTTGGTCCTTCAGTCTTCAGGACCTCAGCCAGAGTAGCAAAGATAATTCTTCGCTTGAGCATATACTGGTTCCTAAGATTAGGATTCCAGCCTTTGCGCCAGTCCTTTTGGAACCTGTTCAAACTCCAAATCGATGGCTTTGCCCCCTGGGCCGTAAACCATTCATCCCAAAGAGGAAAAAGAGGGGTGACCCTTGACAACATAGAGAAATTTGGGGCTGCAGCTCTGACTTGGTCAATTGGGAGCTGCAAGTAAGTCTCTGCAATCTTATCCGCTAAACATTCCAACTTCATTGTTTCCATGGCTTCATTTATCCCTCCATCTTCCTCTTGTTCCTGCACCTCGGGGTCTACTTGGTCTAGTTGCTCATTTTGGCCTGGTTGCCCGTCTTGGTCTGGTCGCTCATCCTGCTCTGGTTGCTGCTCCAAAGCATCCATCCCCCTTTGTTCAAATCCCCGCGGCTGCTCCTGGAGATGCTGCCTTGGAGGTATATGATGTATAAGGTCATTCAACTGTTGTTCTTGCTCTTTCGCTTGACGCTGCTCTTGTTGCGTCAGAATGCGATGCTCGTTCTCCATATCACTAGCTAAATGCCCAAAAGACCTGGCGGTTGTCTTCGTAAGGTCCGACATTACAGTTTGAAGCCCTTGTACAATGGTTATCATCTCACGATGCATATGACTGCATGTTCTAGACCAACCAGCATTACTATTCTCCGCTGTAGCTTGGAGTGCGCCCATAAAATCATTACGTACGTAATGATCCAAAGATGACACGCTCGATTTGATGGCTTGAAGCTCTTGATGGATGACTGGAGCATTGAAACGGAGACTGTCGTTTGTTGGTGATTGTGTCTTCTGCATGGCATCGTGAAGTCGCAAAGAAAACTCTTGGAACAGTTGCGACGAAAACACAGGGTTACTAGTGAAAACGTGGTGCTGGCTGTAGATACACAATGGATCGCCATTGCACGCCATCAGAGCAACTGCATCTTGTAAAATAACCTTGCGCAAGTGGGCTAGGATAAGCATGATTCGCATGGCTGGAATGTACTCAGCTGGATAAGGTACTGACTCATTGTCAGGACGATTCAGATCTTCGGGACGATCCATCATAACGTTCTCCATCCATCTGGCCCAATCGACATTGTCTGGAAACAGCTCCTCAATGAATGGAAAGATTTGCTTCTGTAATTCAACAGGCGGTATAACGGTGTTCCGTGGAAGCCAGAAATCCTCATTCTCGTGGAGAAATCCGGCCATTTTAAATGGTACAGTCTGCGCTACCGGACTAAGGTAATGCGTTACCAAGCGGCGATGGTTCCAATTACCATGTTGGGCAATATCTTCGATGCTAGCCCCATTGGCTTGCGCATGTTGCGCCCCATTGGCTTGCGCATGTTGCGCCCCAGCCTTACGGCCACTATGAGTAACCTTGGATGATGTGTAATGCGCTAGCTTCATCACCTCACTTAGAGATCTGAGTATGGCTATGCTATTGGTTAGGAAACAGAGTAAAAAAACTTCATGTAATGGCGTATTTGCATTTCTGATAATTTCACTTGCCTGTAGAGAGTCGCAGCATCCATCGCTTTGTATTTGTCAGAGGCATGTACAAGGTACTGGGATTTCCAGTCATGCATGCGGAAATTTGGAGTAGATTCTTTCGTCTGTTGTGTAAGGTAAAGGGGTATTTTAATCATGGATGAATATTAATAGACAGCTTATATGCTGAGTTAATCTTCAACAGCAACCCATAGAAGCAGCCAATACGAACCATCCACTGCTCGAATAGATAAAAAGCGAGGCATCCAACAGGGCAAATCTCTACGTCCTTGTTACGAATAAATACAGAATGGAGCGTATGATCATTGTTCATTATTCCTTGAGGGATTGCTATTACAATCCCAAGTGCGAACTGGTGTCCATTTCCAGCAGTCGCAAAGTGGTGGGGAAATAAGTGGCTCACTAAGGCATCTCGTATACTTTGTCCCCGAGTGATCATAAAATGATTAAATGCAAAACACAGACGATTACGCGCGCCAACTAGCTTCTGTGTCCTGGAGACAGCACTCAGATGCTTATAGCTCCTGCTCCACGAGATCTTCATAAATTTCTTGAACATAGATAGAGGATATCCCGCACCAACTGTCAGTTGCAGAACGTCCTGGGACGACGTTCTTTTGTGATGCCTGTAAATCAAGATAAGCCGGATAGAATAGTTGTAAGGCAGAGTTTTATGCAAGGCAGCTATAATAGAGTCACAATACCCACTATATTTTCTAAAACTTACTCCTTTCTATACCCGTCCAATAGCGCGATAACTTCAGGGACGCGTGTAGTACCTATCACATTTGCGGCCACGTTGTTATCCGAACACTGTTGAATGTAGAGATCTCGAATTCCTTTGAGATAAAACGCGATCGTTGGGTAAGCAGGATAATCGCCTTCATAGCTTTCTGTCTTGTGGACACGAGCGGGCAACACACTGAGATGAGGGTTCTCTTCATCTATTATGACTTTTGGAGCCAAGAGCTCGCGGACATACACTAGGACCTTTTCACGAGTGACCGTGTTATCGTCGCTGTACCTCTTGCGCTCGCACCATTCCTTGGGATGAATAGAATGAATTATAAGCTTTGAGCTATTTCTCCATATGGCATATATCCACCTTGTATCTAGTGACTAAGGAAATGCTTACGTTCCAATGTTTCTGATAAGCTTTATACTGCTCTTGAGTGGACCTTGCTTGATTATTTTTACGGACGGCCGAGGCTAATAGTATTGACTCTCTCTCAGACAGCGCGTTGCTAAGGTCATAGTCAGCCTGTGTAAGTGGTCGCTGTGGCCTATGCTGTTGTTGTGTAACGATGGGCGTTGAGCTAGCTGTTGAGGTAATCGTTGCAAGATCATCTGTTCCAGCTTCGAACATATCTATGGCAGGGCGCTTCCGTGTTCCTGACTTTTCTTTCAACTTCCTCTTTAGCGGCATTACTGGGCAATAGATACAGCATTCAGCATTGTAAGAAGAGTAAGAGGGTTGATGGTCTACCAAATTAATTTTCAAAATAAAAAAGTGGGAGAAATGATGCTGGTTACCTAATTCTCCATCCTGTTCATCCTGTTCATCCTGTTCATCCTGTTCATCCTGTTCATCCTGTTCATCCTGTTCATCCTGTTCATCCTGTTCATCCTGTTCATCCTGTTCATCCTGTTCATCCTGTTCATCCTGTTCATCCTGTTCATCCTGTTCATCCTGTTCATCCTGTTCATCCTGTTCATCCTGTTCATCCTGTTCATCCTGTTCATCCTGTTCATCCTGTTCATACAGCACTGCTTCGGGATCGACGGCCTCATTCATCGACTGTAACTCTGCACTTTGTTGAAGAATGGCTTCAATATCCTCTGCCTCTGGTTCAAAAGTAACGTTCATAATCTGTTTCTAGCTCTGCTGATATAAAAAAAAAAATAAAGAAAGAAGGCGTGAGACTGAGGCCATAGAGGGTCGGCGTACGGCTCTAAGCAAATGGGATACATAATGGGTCCTTTGCTCAGAAGCACTCCTACTCTCTTAGAGGGTGTTGGTATTGCTTTTTATTGAATCCATCTTTTTTTTTTTTTCTAAAGGGGTTACGGGGACAAGAGACAGGAACGCCGAGAAAGTAAATGAGTGAGTGGGAAGGAGAGCTTACTCGGCTTAGAAGGGTTTGGAAAGGTGTTGGGTGAAGCAATAAAGAAGGAAGAAAAGGAATGCATGAATGCATGAGACATATTTTTTTTTTTTCCCAGTATAGCCTGGGAGGTATTTGCAGAGGTTACAAGCAGGATTACAATTGGTGCAAAAACACAGTCACATATATACTTATTGAATACAAATTTTGTAATTTAAATTTTTAAGATTTCATTTTGTAATCCGATTACAGCAAACTACCGTTTCAGTACAGTACAGTACAGGTCACTGCTTTCAGCACGTACATGTGCACGTGAACTTCGTCCTCAGGCTGGGTGACGAGCTTTTGAACAAGTGTGGATTGCTTCCGTTACCCACAGCCAAATTTGGGCATGTCCATTTTGTTTTCTACAGACTTTGAGGAACCATCATGGCAGACTCATTTGCTCAGGACACTGGAAACAATGCGACATCAACAACTAATCCTGGCGCTACTACCATTGTCGGCGGCGCATCAACTGCATTAGGTACTGGTGTCAAGAAACCAGCCGCTACTTTGGGACGACCACCTGGTTCAACAAATGAACCTCGAAACAAGAGGAAGAAATACGTCTTTGGAAAAGAATGTAAAAAAATCATTTTATACTCTGTTCCTAGACAAGTGCAACAATCAATAAGCAATGCAAAAAAAAAAAAAAAAAAAAAAAAAAGAAAAAAAGAAAAGGTGCTAAATCTTGACTACCTCTTTTTTTTTTTTTTATTTTTTTTTTATACACATATACATCTGATCTTGTCTAGTGAAGCAACTCATGTACGGATTTGGAGATGTACCTAACCCAGCGAATGATGCTGTAGGCGTCTTGGAGGATATGTTGATTGAGTACTTGACTGACACTGTAAGGAAGATTATTGAAGTTGCAGGCAATAATAATTGATCAAGAGCACATCAATGTCAACTGACAGATGAAAGGATTTTTTTTTTTTTTTTTCTTTTGAACAATTTAGTGCACGCAGGCTGCAGCTGTGGCAGATAAGCGCGGAAAAGTAAATGTCGAAGACTTTAAATTTGTATTGCGCAAAGATTCTAAAAAACGAGCTCGTGTAGACGAACTGTTGTACATGAACGAGGATATTCGACGTGCTAAAAAGATTGCAGACATTCCAGAGTTGGACGGCACCAAAGGAGGTGCCAAGGATGCCCCAATCTAAAAAGAAAAAGAAAAAGAAAAAAAAAAAAAAAAAAAAAAAGCGCTGTCCTCCAACCTACCCCATACAAACATGTATTATATATAACTTTTTTTTTTTTTTTTTTTTTTTTTTCTTTTTTAGCTTAGAATTATTTGTACTTTTATTACCTCGTTCTTCTTTTATACATCAACAATATTTTGTTCCTCATAATCAATGACATGAAGAATAGATCAGGTGGTCACCCAAGCAAAGGTTCATGTTTATGTAATGTAATGAGCTCGTTCACTTTTATTCTGACATTTTAGAATGAATAATAATAAAAGTTGATCAGTATATAAATAAGTATTCAAACCCAAAGCCATATTAACTTTATATATACTTTTGAGTGAAAGAGGTCTCATTGTCCAAAAGTCAAGTTTGTGAGATGCCAAATTTTGTTACAACGCTGTAGGTCGACCAAAGACTACCGGTTTAAATACAGTGTGTGTAGCGAATGTAATTATGCACATATCATTTCATGCAGATCTCGCGATTAAAGGAATCGATAAGCAGTACTGAGATTAAAGAATAAAACAAAGGAGATATTTGATTAATCATCATAAAAAGAGAGAGTGCTGGTATATATATATATACGTCCTCTGCACGGGCAAAAAGGATACCGTTGGTATATATACATTATGGTTGGTAATGTAGCACAGACATTAACCACTGCTTCTTTCTTGCTTAATGCTTTTTGTGGTATACAATACTCCTAGATATGCGCCTCAATATAAAGCTTTGAAAAAAAAAAAAAAAAAAAAAAAGCTTATTGAAAAGAGTATGCTTCACATCTGGAGAGAGAGAGAGAAAGAGAAAGAGAGAGAGAACAGTAAAAGATTATTTGTCAGGGGGCATCATTTGATAACGGATGCAAATGAATGACATTCTTTACATGTTCCAAGTACATGTTCATGAATGTTATGCAAATGTACATGCATTCGCCCTCATCGATCACACAAGGCAAACGGTGGGGTCATTTATTTAAAGTATAAAATCCGATCATCTTCCCAGGATCACGACATCATCTACTGTACATGGACATGTACGATCTATTCAAGAAAAAAGAGACTTTTGGCTTTGGAAACAAGGCATTTTTGGCTCAACGCTCAACCAACGAGGGTTGTACAACGGGGGAAACAGATGGTCTTTAGAAAGAATTCTCTTGGTTCGAATGAAGCCATTATATATATATATATATATATGTAAACACATAACAAAAGCTTTTTTTTGTGTTTTAAACATTAGGGATAGACCATGTGCTACACTTTTTACTTTCTCCACTTTTCTTTACACATGTGCATGGATGCATTAAGCTCTCTCTCTCTGATTCTTCAAAAGTTCCACTACTAAAGACAAGTGTGGCAAAAAAAAAAAAAAAAAAAAAAAACATCTGCAATTAAACAGAGCAAATCGCTTTTTTTTTTCTCCTCTTTTTTTTTTTTTTTTTAATAATAATGACAAAAACAAAAAAAAAAAAAAAAAAAAAAAAGATGAATGGAGGCAAATAGAAAGAAAGAAAGAAAAGAAAAGAAAAAGGTCTCTTTGTTGTTATACTACTACTAATAGATAAAGAGATAAAAAGATAAAGATAAAAAAATAAAAATAAAAAACGAGATCGGTAGGCTTTCCTTGACAAGAAAAGGCATAGGAAGGGGAGAGAGAAAGAGGAGGGGTAACTGTTTTGTCTCTTTGTCCATCGGAAATGGGAAAAAGAGTAAAAGAAAAAGAAAAGAAAAAGGAAAATCGAAGAGGCTCCTTGGTATTATAGACGCGGACTAAATTTTTTTTTTTTTTTAGACATGCCAATGCTATTATGTTTTAGCTGTTTGTTTGCTTGTTGGTTGAATGTCGTCTTTGTCTGTTTGATTTGCCTCCTCTTCCTCCTTTCATTTTTTTTTTCTTTTCTTTTCTAACCACAAAAGACCTTGGCTTTGCCAACAACTACGCCATTGGTGTCGATAAAGCAGGGCATGACGCACACCTTGACCTTGCCTCCTTCCTTGCTCTTGTGAGCTGGAACCATCTTTTCTGGATCAAATTCGCTCTCACTCGGAATCACCTGTGCCATAATCTCCGCATTCTGGCTCCTCATTGTCAAACTGAGCTCGATCGCCTTTGTTACCAAATCAAGTACCTATGAACGCAATTTAAAAAAAATAAAAAATAAAAAAAAAAAAAAAGTGGAGCAATCAATATCCAATGCATAAAACTATAAACATGGGCGTTTTTTTTTTTTTTTTTTCTTCTCTCTCTCTTAATAGAAGAAAGAAAGAAAGAAAGAAAAAGAAAGAAAGAAAAAAAGAAAAAGAAAGAAAGTAAGAAAGAAAAAAAGAAAAAGAAAGAAAGAAAGAAATACCTTCTGCTGTCCTGTCCAGTTATTATATAAGCGCTCCAACTTTGTCTCGAATCCTCTAGCAATCCGTTTGGCCTCTTCAGCAGCATGTGCCTGTGCTACAGGTGCTTTTGCAGACATGAAGCAAAGTTGTTGACGGAACCGAACGGCCTGATCTGTAAAGTTGTTCTCGACCATCCATTTATGAATTGCTGCATATTCCTTTGCGAGGGTAAAGCCGACGTAGAAGGGTCCGTGAAAGACTTCTTCCAATAATGTGTCCATGATGTACTTTTCCAAAAACATGTTGAGGATATAAGGTTGGGTGTTTCCAAACTTGTACTTCTTCTTCACTAATTGTTGAGCCTGCTCCATATTCAGGTTCACAGCCCGATCACCCGAAGAGGATTTTGTCAATTGGAGGATTGCGGCCTGGAGCATCCGAACACGTTGTTCGATCGTCGAATGATCATCATCGGTCGCTCGAATCTGTCGGACATCATTTAGGTATTTGGATCGGAGATCATCCATTTCCTTGTCCCGTTTATGAACCAGTTCTTGAAGCTTCAATCGATCCTGTGTCACCTGAGTGAGGGACTGATGCAATTCTCGGTTCTCTTGTGACTTTTGAGTCAACGTTGTCCTCAATTGATTGACTTTGGCTTGAGATGATTCTTGTGATTTCTTCCAGCTCAGGATCTCGTCTTGTAACTTTCGGATATCGGTCGAAAGTTCTGTGGATGAACCGTTGTTCATGTTGATAGAGAGATTACCGCTGTTATTATTGCTGCCACTGCCGCTATTATTATTCCCATCCATATTAGTATTAAGATTTCCTGAAAGTTGAAGGGAACCACTTGTTAATGGTCCACTATTGTTTTCATATACTGTATTTCCTTGCTGCTGCTGCTGCTGCTGCTGTTGCTGTTGTTGTTGTTGCTGTTGCTGTTGCTGTTGCTGGTGATGATATACATCTAATTGACCATTGCTCTCATTATTATTACCATTGTTGATATTATGCTGATGTTGTTGTTGATGTTGCTGATACTGTTGTTGAAGTTGATGATGAGCAAGGAGTTGGTCATCAGGTACACCGCCAGCATAGCCACTGTCATAACCCTCCATTCCCATGACATTGACATTATTATTAGGTTGGTCTTGGTATGATGGGTATTGAAGTGCTTGAGACTGTAACATTGATTCATTAGTGTATGAGCCTGATGGCATGCCCTGCATCATTGGCTGTTGCTGCATCTGTTGTTGTTGTTGTTGAAGTGGGATCTGTTGGGGTTGTGATTGTTGTTGTTGTAAAGACGCGTTAAGAGCAATTGATTCAGGATCACCCAACTGTTGCTGTTGTTGCTGTTGTTGTTGCTGTTGCTGTTGCTGTTGCTGTTGGAGTGGTGGTGAATGTTGCTGTAATGGTGGTTGCTGTTGCTGGAAAAACTGCGGTTGTTGTTGCTGTTGTTGCTGATAAAACTGTTGTTGTTGTTGTTGTTGTTGCTGACCTGGTTGTTGTTGACCCGGTACTTGGAGAGGACCCTGATTAGCTGAAAGATTAGGAGCGACTGCAGAATTGGTCCGAGGAGGAATGGTGATACTACCGTTAACAGAGGATTGACGTTGGGCACGATATTGTTGAGAAGAACCAGAAGGAGGTGGGGTATTGGTAGTTATGTTTGTGGCAGGAGTAGAACCAGGCGCAGCCGGGTGAGGATGGGTATCGTCCTGCTTCTTTTTGGACCTGAAAAAATTCATTTGCCTGTAGGGTTGTTTTTATATTAAACGAACGGAAGGAAAGAAAAAGGGGAGATGGGGAGATGGATGGAGGAGGAAAGGTAAGTGAAGGAAGGGGCAGAAGGAGGCAAGAAAATAAGAAAAAAAAAAAAAAAAAAAAAAAAAAAAGGAAATTAGGAAAGAGGCGAGCAAAAAGAAAGAGAAAAAGAGATTATGACCTGAACACAAACAAAGTAAACGAAAATAGATAAAGACAGAGAGAGAGAAGAAAGGCAAGCGGAAGAAGAGAAAGAGAGCTGAATGGTGAATGGGCTGAAGAAAAAAAAAAAACAAAAAAACAAGAACAAACAACAAACAAGAAAAGAAAAAAAGAGGGCTGGGCTGTACGATTGTTAAAATGTAATAAAAAATAAAATAAAATTTCTACCAATGTTTGTAATCTTTGTGTGATCAAGGGTAGAAAAATAAAATATAAAGAGGCGACAATTGATAAAAATAAACATGTAATACAAAGGAAAAGAAAGGAAAGAAGAAGATAGAAAAGAAAAGAAGAAGAAAGGAAGCTCAATTGAAGGAATGATGAAACGGAAGAGAAGGGGAGCGATGTAATGTAAATACAATATGCAGATATGTTATATGATACCGTTGATAATGTAATGCTCTGAATGTTCTGAATGCTATACTCATGAATGCCATGGACGGTATCACAACAGGTACACATGCATACCTTCCATACACACACATACACAGTCTAATATCAGAGCAAGAACAAGGTAAAGGTAAAGGTAAAGGTAAAGGTGATGAGCAATAACAAATATTAATTAAACCTGAATGGAATCATGAACGCAATGTATACATGTGATGCTTAAAAAAAAAAACACAGCTGAAGATTGTCGCGTTTTAACAATGACAGGGAATGATGAAGGATGAGTCTCAATCGATTGAATGAGCAATAATAACAATAAGGATGTGAGAAGTGAGCGAGAGCCGATGTTATAGACTAAGAGGGTATTAGACCAAGTAGATTGAAAGATTAGACTAGATAGCAGAGGACCTTTACGATCAATTCCCTTATTCCTTTATTCCTTGTTCCTTGTTCCTTGTTCCTTTCTCCTTCCTAGTCCCCTTAAATCCACAGTTCAATCATGGACCCATCGCATAGAACATGACTATGCTTGCATTAAGAATTGTCAGCACAGAGGTGTGTCTAAAACTTATAAATGTATTTGATGAATCTATCTCATCATTAGAACGCCATTCCATGGACGTTATTTTATTTGCATCAACCTCCTTTGTGTAATGCATCCTCACATTGCAATGCAACAGATAACAAATATAAATGTATCATTGATAATATTTATATCTGTATATAAATATACCCATGAATGCAGAACATGAACAAAAATATGCATCCTTTTCCGTCAATGCTTTCAACAGATTTTAGAAACGAACCACATGCCATGTCATATGGGCAACGGACATGTCGACCCTTTCTTTCCCTTTCTTTTTCTTTTTTCTTTTTTCACGCGTCTTTAATCGTCATCGTCATCGAACAGCCACCACAAGTTTAAAAAAAGAGACCCTGCAGGACATGTCAATGATTAAGTAAAAAAAAAGCTGGCGATGACGGTTTTATCCCCATGATCGATTTACTGCCTGTTTACGTATGCGCCAAAAAGTAAAAAAACAAATAGCACCGCCACACTTTATTTTTGTCTCTTTTGAGTCTTTTCTATTGGGTGCACGTGCTACATCATTTATTCAAATAAAGAGGGTCTACCAGCATAGAGCATAAAAATGCCTTTCTACATAATTATCCTAGAAGTTCTTCAAGTTCAAACCCATTGGTGCTCTTTCTACTTTTGCCCACTTTTATACCTTGTTGTTTTATGCAATCTGTCTTGCTTTCTACCTTATTCTTATGCTCACCTCTCATACATATCCGCAGAAAATGAGTCAGACTGATTAAAATTCCTTCTTTTTTAGGCAATTGGCTGCCGCAGTCAAATGCAATAGACGCCTCTCTCCTTCTACTTCGCCTCGTTGTACAAAAAAAAAAAAAAAAAAAGCCCTGTGGGTCCAGTCCGACTACATGTCTCACTTACTCAATTGCATTGGGCAAAGCAACACATGTCCTCCAACTTCTATATAAACCCATTGACTTTTCTCCTCATATTCAACATCTAGCTTATCTGACATACAACTTTCTTTTTTTTAAAAAAATAAAATAAAAACAAGGACAAGAAATCCTACTTTCCTTCAATCCAACTTCCTCTTCCTTCACACAGATACTTTTAAAAAAGAACAACAACAACAACAACAACAACAATAACAAGCCATGGCTGTATCTTCTACTAACGCTTTCCCTCGGTCGATCTCAAGCAAAGGCAACATGAACTCTCCTTCATTCACCAGCCTAGCCTCTGCCATTGGCCCCAATACGACCCTATTCTCGGCTCTCACTTCCCTTTATCAAGCCGAGACCATGTCGTCTTCTTCCTCATCAAAGGTTTCACCCGTTTTATCGTCGTCATCATCCTCAACAACAGGAACCGTCGCCTCTGCCGCTGCCGCTGCTGCTTCGTCGGCTTCCATGTCTAATAACATTACCACTACCGCTGTTGCAACAGCTGCTGAGAATCCAGTATGCACTTCAGGATACAGATCCAAGCGCTTACAGGATCAGTCCTCTACAAATATCTCCCACAATGTCATCCTTAATTATGGCTCTGGGGACCGTGGAGCATTCATTGCTTCATTTGCCTCCATCTCCTCCTCTGCCCTCTCCACCTTCAGCCCATACAGCCTTCCTCAGCAGCGACCCCCAAAGTCGAAGGAACGTGGTCATGGCAAGGGATTCGAAACAACTCAGTCGTGCTCCGTCCCCTACTATGAAAAGCAGCACCAGCAGCAGCTTCAGCAGCAGCTTCAGCAGCACTCATCGTGCAAAGAGCGAGTTAGTGGGTTGGACAGAGTCGTCATGGCGTGCGCCATCATCTGGTAGAAAGTTTCGGTCGTCGTCACGAAAGAATTATTCTTCTTATAATTGCACGAACGTGTACCCACATGTTGAATCAACTATAGACTTGAATTATCAGTTCCAGTACCAGAAAGGTTATCATAATAATGAGGGCGTGAATTCCGATGGAGTTGAGGATGATAATGAGGATGGCAGTGAGGATGAGGATGAGGATAGAGACATGATGTTCATGGGGAGGATGTGTGTCGATACGCTCTACCAAACTGACTCGGCCACTTCAGAGACCGATAGCGACGATAGTGTTTGCGACTCTGATAGCGACGATCCCTCATCCTCATCGTCATCAACATCAACAACAATGATTGAGATGATGATGGATGATGAGCAGCTCTTGGTTGAGTTTGGAAGGAGGCCCCGAGTCTTTGACGATACCGAGACCATGGCGTTCTATATATCGCCCTTGGCGATCACACAGCTCTCAGTCGGACTATGGACCCGCTCCCGGCCTGCATGTGTGATCATCAACACCAGCATCCCACGACAGGTTCGATTTGATGATATGGATTGGTCCACTGATGCATTAAGGATGTTAAACACTCCCAATGCTGGTGGTAGTTCCTTATTGTCCGAGGTCTTATCAATCGAGATGTTGAATCGGTGTTTAGGTGCGACCCTTGCGAAGACTGAGATGGAGATCCGGTATCTCTTTGCGTACCAACCGATTACAGATTACACGATCACATTGCCGAACCTATCTCCTCGAATGCATGTGGGTGTCTCAGTGACGCGTGCATTCGCATTCAAGGGTGCATATAAAAGAGCGGATTGTCGTAAACTTCTGTGGAAGAAATTGACAGGGATCTTGGCCTCGACTAGGAATGTGATCGGAGAGCGATTCTTCAAACAGATCTTGCATGTCTGGGTCCCAAATGGTAAAGTCGCAAGGACAGTCCAGGCAACGTACAGGAGCTTACCAATAGAGGTCACCCGAAACACCGTAGTCATCATCTCTGTCGTCAATGCCAGATGGGTATTCAGCAACCGTCGCTGAGGCGGGTCTTCTAAGGCCCAGTATATTGTATATATCTATATTTCCTATGTATTAAAACCGAAAGAGTGAAACAGTGGCTGCCACAACTGACCGCCTTGTCTCTTTTTCGATAAAAAGAAAAGGTGTTTCTGTAGTTTCTGTGTAGTTTCTGTGTAGTTTGTTATAATATAATTTCCAGTTTGTACTACAGTTACAGCGGTTGATATTAAAAAAAGCTGTATATGAAGAAAGGATTGAAGCCATGCCATGTCTCAAATATCTTCAAGATATCTCTAGTTCTCAAAACTATTTCCTCTGTCACTACACTGGTCAAAAGGATAAACTAGAATTATTCCCTTTGGTTTGTGTCTACATCGTGTTCAGGCTCATTGATAAAATGGAGTGAACTTGTCTTGCTATTGACTTCAAAACTACTGATAGTTAGTTGATGAGGTGTGAGAGGTGCTTGATAAGAGATTAGTATGAATTGCATGTACCCGAGGTGCACATCACTTGACACTAGGAAACCGTCTCCTGGACGAGAAAGGGCAAAGCTCCAATACTTTTTGTTATCCAAAACGATTGAAAGATCTCAACCAAAGCGGTGTCTTCTTTTTTTACGACAAAGAGGAAGAGTTATTGCTTTGATGGCACTCAATGTTTGATGCAATTGCTTGTAGAGCGTTTGTCCTTGATCGTGAGTATTGCTCGTGTACAGACGCAAGACGAGTATTTTCGCAGTTCTCAACAATGAGAGTACAGATATTGAGTTCTCAGTGATATTTCCGTAGATTAAGAGCACATAGCACATCACTCAGATCAATTAGGTGCATATGGACAAGACACACATCTGCACGAAAGAACTGAAGATAAAAGCGCGTTTGTCGTGCCATGCTGGTCAAGTAAAAGACGAGTGTATATTATTCTCTTTTTAAGGTAATTAACCACCAAATAGCTCTGCACTCTATTCCTTATTCTCAATAGCACGCTGTTTATTGCTTCCCTTAGCCGCGAGGTCTACATGAAATAACATGTGCAAGTCTACATTCACTGCACATGCTGTATTGGAATCGGTAGTCATTGATCGATTGACTTGCTGCTGTCACTGTTGTCTGTAGTGCTCCCCCTCTCAATTTCTCTGTCCCCAGGGATGTCTCTACTGATAGGACTTGATGATCATCAGCTTGACTTGAGGCTGCTTTGGACTTGTCTGCCATTGATGATGCTGTCACAATCTGTTCAGATGCCTCACATACGACCAACGGATGGGATTGCTCTCTTATTGCTCCTCGTTGCATCAGAAGCTCTCTGTTGACTGCACTCAACCCAACTACACCTTGAATACACATGTCGCTAGCATTGAGAGCTGTCTGTTTAGTGCACCATTTAAGGCGATACTGATATTGATCGCCTTCTTTCGCAATCTGCCACATCCGAATTGAGCCATCCTCAGATCCTGTGGCTAGAAAGCAGCCCCCTTCAAAGGTATTCCATACAAGTGTGCCAACAGACCCACCTTCAGATGGGATTATAACTAAACACTCGCCTGTCTCTGCATCCCACATTCGCGCTGTCCTATCATGGCTGCTTGAGGCAATGTACTTCCCATTAGACGAATAAGCCATCTCTGTGATCCCCTTGGTGTGCCCTTTAAGCGTACACAAAACAGCTCCCGTTTCCATACCCACCACATTAATTTGTCCATCCTCACACGCATCAGCCATCCGTTGACTACATGGTGAAAATGCTCCTATTCTTGTATAGTAGCCAGGCATTGTATAACAAAGCTCACCCGTTTCTGCGTTCCGTACTTGCATCCCTTGAGAGTTATAATGGCGATAAACCAGTATTTTTTGACCATCAGCTGTGTATTGGATAGAGTTGTAGATCGCTTCTGTATTCTCTACTTCATAACAAAGGTCACCTGAATGAACTTTCCAGACTCTAAGAGCGCCAACCATATCATATGAAGCAAGATGGTGGCCATCAGGTGAAAATACTACACACTCTACAACTCTATTGTTGCCCTTTAGAGTGTAAATGGGCTCTCCTGTTTGTGTGTTCCATATTGTCACATCCCCATTGGAATAACCACAGGCAATTTGATGGTCAACAACAGGCGAGAAATCAAAGGTATAGATCTCATCGTCTTGCCTGTCCTGCAGCTCCAAGGTATGGACGACTTGGCCTGTTCGAGCATCCCAAAGGCAAACACGTGAATAACGATGGCGAGAAGCTATTAAGTGACCATCGGGTGAATACTTGATATTGCGCGTGGCTCCATCAAGGCTTTGTGAAATATGGATGGACTGTCCTGTGCTTGCATCCCACATACGCACTGTTTCATCACCACTGCACGAAGCTATCTGCAGCCCATCCGGCGAGCTCCTAACACCATAGACCTGCGCTGAATGGCCATGTGACTCATGATTAGATTGCTGTGATCGAGTATCCCAAAGGCGTATTGTTTTATCATGGCTGAAAGATGCAAGTTGATGGTCGTTTGGTGAGTATGCAACACATCTTATATGGTCATGGTGGCCATAAAAGGTATTTATGGACTGTCCCGATTTCGTGTCCCAAAGCTGTACTGTGTTGTCATTACTGCAAGTAGCTATCTGTTCTCCATTTGGCGAGTATTTTAGGTCTATGATACGATCGGGATGCGTAAGAGTATGCATGCACTTTCCTGTTTGCACATTCCATTGGTATACCGTACTCTCGGCAAATGAAGCAGCGAGCTTTCCACTAGGAGAATACTGAATGCCATCGACTAATCCGTCATACCCCAACTCGTACTTCTTTTGACCAAGTCCAACATCCCACACATGCAGATAAACACTAAGGAAATAGCGAGATATAATTTCCTGGCCACTAGGTGAATACAGAATTAGGTCAATTCTATCCCTACCGTCCAACCGCATCAGCTGCTGCCCCGATATCGCATCCCACAACCGTACTGTCTTGTCAAAGCTGCCGCTTGCAATCTGGAGTCCATCAGGAGAGTATGCCACGCTGGTCACCTTGTCTGTATGGCCCTCTAGCTTGTATTTGAGTACCCCTGCTTGGGTGTCCCACACTCGCACTAACTCATCTGTGCTAGCTGAAGCAAGATGATTCCCGCTTGGTGAGTATACTGCACATATTACTTGCTCCTTATGTTCCTCCAATCGGTGAACCAATGTTCCTGAGTTTGTATCCCAAATTGAAACTGCAGTTTGGGAAGCGCCCCAGATGGCAATATATCGACTGTCTGGCGAGTATATAAACCTCACGAAAGCCCAATTGCTCTCCAGAGTCGAAAGCATCCCCCATGTTGATGTATCATAGATAACAATTGGAGTGTTACCTGAGTCATCTTCGATAACAGCAGCGAGCGTCTTGCCATCAGGCGAGTATGACCCTTCCCATACTTTGCTTCCAACTTCGAGCAGTGGCCATTCTCCAAACTGTACTCCTGCCATCTTTGCTCCGCTTAGGTCTGCTTCACGAAGCCAACACTTCTGTAAGTTGACCTTCCTCAGATCTGCTCCTTGTAGCTGAGCACACTCAAATATACCTTGGCTGAGATCTGCTCCTGGGATCTGGATGCCTCTTAAGTCTGCTTCGATAAATGACTCGCCTGCTCGGATCAAGATTGTCATCGCATTGGCTGCTGCTATCCGCCACTTGCTATCGCTCTTAGAGAGCTCCACATATGTGTACAACTGCTGTTTGAACATCGGTTCGAGAAGGACACGGTCCTCTAAGAACTGAAGGATAGCTGGCTCACCTACGAAGCTTCTCCATACTAATGGTGACGTCTCATCAATCTCCACCACTTCCACTCCCTGCTCGTGCTCCTTGGTGTCCATGGCTTCGAAGCTAAACACTGAACTAATGCTCTGTCGACGAGAAGCTGCTGTTGCCTCCCTTGCTGCTTCATCGATTGCAGAAGTACTCATCGCTTTCTGAGGCTCAAACATCGCTCGTACCAAACTGTACTCTAGGAGGGACCGGTGCATAAACCGGTGCTGGTTGCCTGTACGAGTAAGTGGCGAAGCCTCACGTAGAAGCTTCGTTTCATTCTCTTTGCTGAAGTACGCTTCTTTCCATGTATCTTTGTCCTTGAATGGTGAGTAGTCTATTACTGGGTTGCCGTCTTGATGCTTGTAGATTGCTGTGGCTAGCTCGGTAAGATATCTGATCCCATTCTGTGCAAACCCTTCATCTAATAGCTTGTGATACATCCTTCTGTCTTCCAGTCCTAATACATCGCTTAGTCGCTTCTTGCCTCGCTCGAGCCACTGCTCAACGAACTGGTCATACAGTGTGACGCGTTTGATCTTGGTGTTGGAGATTCCTTGATCTGGATCCACCATTCGTGGGAGTACCTCTAGCGACATCGATAGCATGAATGGGTTCTTCACAAGTTCTTGTAGACTAGGGACCTGTTTGAGTGCTCGTCGGTAGTCCTCCACATGCCACAGTGGACCCATGACGTCGACATATTGTTCGATATAGTCATCGATCTGAGTCTCAGAGAATGGCATGATCACAGCCTCTTCAAACAATCCAGCATCTGCTTGGTGATTGCGGTCCATAGGCTGGAACCGATCTCGGTAGTCCAGTCCAAGATACTCACTGCGGCAGCTAATCACCATTTGAGCTTTCCATTCTCCAGGCCTATTCAGCCGGTTGGAGACATACAGATTGGTAGTCTGCATGCTCTCATCATATCCATCACAGATCAGGATGAATGGCCGACTCTTCTTCAGCTCTTTGATTTCAGGCTCCATGAAATCGTAGTCTCGCAGTTGCTTTGCAACCAGATCCTTCTCTGGCTTATCGATGGCTGGGAGATTGATAAACAATGGAATCCGACCATGTCTATTCTGATATGTCTCCCAGAGTGTGCGCTCCAGAGTGCGGTTGAATGTGGACTTGCCTGCTCCTGAATCTCCTTGGACAAGTAGCACTTTCTGGTCGCTGTCCAGGAACTCTTTCGCCTTACCCATTAGTAAGAACAACTTGTCATCGCTTGCTTGAGCACTTGCTTTGGCATAGTGCTGGATGTAGAACTCCTGGCTGTTTCCAACCTCCATCCGCTGTCTCTTTAGCCGCCGTAGGCTGTTTTCAACACTGGGTCTATTTTGTGCACGGTCAAGCAAATGTGAAGGTGTAGATGGAGGATGTGTGATGCTGAAGGGATGCCGGGTCGTTGGCCCTTGAAGGTAATTCCTATATAGCTCTTGTTTCTTGATGTCTCCATATTCCACTAGACCATCCAAGAGAGTGTCTGCAGCTGGAAAGAGAAGGAATAAGAGTATGTGTATGGAGTGAGTAGATAAATCATCATATGCTGAGTGCCGCCAACATCCAAACATACAGTATCAACAGAAAAAGAGAAAAAAGAATGCACCTTGTAGGCCACCCGGGGGTAATGAGGATAGATCCCTAAGGATACTTATGATCCACTGCTTGATATGTGCATGATTACCCCACTCCTGGTCATTCTTGTATATCTCTCCTAGGAATGTGATGGCATCCTGCCGAGTATCCATACCCCAGTGCGTATCAGCTGCAATCTGTCCCAGCCTCTGACATAGTCCCCATTGAAATGCTGCATCATTCCGACAGGATAGTTCGCACACAAGAATCTTGAACTTGGTGAACTCGCCTCTTTGGATTAGCGCATCGGCTCCGCGCAGCGCTGGATACCATGCTGACTTGTGACTAAAGCTGAGTCCTTCTTCCATACACTGTCTGAATGTCGATCCACTCTCACAGAGTGATGTTGTATTTTCATATACCCCTAAGCTTATGTCAATAGCTTCTGTCACAGAAGGAAGCTCTTTCTGGATGCTGCTTATCTCATCCATGAAGGCATTCAGATCTAAGTCTTTGACAGCACTCACTACTCCAAACACTCCTCGGAGCACTGCTGATGTCCTCCGAAGCATGGCTTGCATTGTTGATTCATCATCTGGGATATATTGCAGGGCTTGGAAGGCATAAGCTGCTTGATAGACTAGTTGAGAATCTGAGCTGTCTTTAAGTCCCTGGAGGTATGCTGCAAGTGGTTCATGGAGTTGTTCTCGCTTTAGGTCCTTAACTTGGGTGCTGACCATGGCATCGAGGACATGTGAGACTGTAGCAGACAGCTGATAAAGATGATCGGTGGACTGACCATGTGTGCCCTGTAAGCGGGAACTGAGGGTGTTGAGGATTGTGATAAGGTCATCGGAGTCAAGGTGTTCAGGAGGAGCGCGCTGCACCAACTGAGCCAATCCTTCCAACAAATGAGTCTCCAACATAATGTTCTGACTGATTCCATTGACTAAAGCCATGAGCAGTGCTCTGAACTGGACTTGATCAAGAACTGGAGCCAGAGTCACAACTTCAGCGACAGATATCTCGGTTTTGAGCTCATCGCCGATGAGCATTTCAATCACATCTGATGCCAGTTTACCTAGTCGTTCATATTCATCTTGATCGCTCAGTATGGCCTGGCACCATTTCTTCTCGTCGTCATTGAGATCATCTGTTTTGATAGAAGCTAGTGATAGCAGAGATAAGCAATACACAAGCTGATGGATGTCATTCAAATGAGACTCAGGCTCTGGTAAGCCGTATCTGATGACTGTTGGAGGTTCATCTTGGTTAAAAACGTCCTTTGGAATAGTTGCAATGACTTGCACTGTTTTAACCGTTCTAATTAATCTACTGTTAATAGGCCCGCTGCTTTCTTGCTTGCTGCTGTTGCTGTTGCTGTTATTGCTATCATTGTTGTCGCTTCCTTGGATATATCCCCATTTTTCGGCTTTCTTGTTACGTCTTTGAGCGACATCTGAGTGACCTAGCTGTTCAAATAAACGCCCAAGCTCATGATAGGCCGAGGCTATGCTTTTGCGTAACCTTAGGTCTTCATTGGAAGCTGAAGAGGTTGAAGATATTGAGGCGAGTGACTTTCTCATGGGTTTGTGGATTCGAGACAGCACAGAGTCAGCATCGAGACATAGCTCCATCACTATGTCGCTGCTATTGTCGTCTATAGTGCGAGCGCCCTTTATGTAGAAATCAAAGAGTTTCAGGGCTTGTGCTGGCAAGAGTACACTTCGTGGTGGAGTATCTGTATTGCCAAACATGGACTATTGTTCGCCCTTTTTATTTTTATTTCTATTTGATTGTAATCTATTCATTTCAAAGAAAATGTGGTTTTTGTTTGAAAGCGTGTGTTAGTAGTGAGCTTCATAAGTGAGTGAACGTCTTTTGTAAGTTCCAAGGAGGTGGTGGAGGCATGTACCTTACTCGAGAATTCGAGTTTTTTTTTTAAAAAAATAAGAAAGAAAAATCAGCTGGGGAGTTGTGTGATGTTGTATGTGGCGAAGTAATGAAGAAAGAAAAGGAAGAAAAGAGAGAAGGGAGCATGACAAGTGAGCATTATAAAATGCGGGTTTACTTCGCCTTGTTTTCCCCCTTAATAGATATCCTTCAACTTCAACTTCAACTTCAAGGGCGCCTTCTTTTAAATGTCTCTCTAGTTTCACTTTGTTTTCTTGCAAACAGTTGCGTGCTAAGCCCTGTCAAGTTTTTTTTTTTTTTTTTTTTTTTTTTTTTTTCCCTCAAAGGCAAAAGTGATGGTTTAATCCACTGGAAGAGGACTTAAACTTGGATTACCTGGATGTCAACGATTGTATCACTAGAGTCTGTTTAGATGTCTCATGTATGGCTAATGTGAGAGACTACTCATCTATTACTTCTCATAGCTCCGCAAGCTTCTTGTTGGCTTCACTCGACCCACCTAGGCCGTGATACGTGTGTTGCAAGCAATAAGAGTCGTTTGCTTGGCGCTCCACTTCAGTTGACGCTGATATTGATCGTACTTCTTCACAATAAGCCACGTCCGAATGGAAACAGCTTGGGACCCTGCGACCAGAAGTGGCCTTCTTCAGAGACATTCCGTACAAACACTCTAATATGTCCCCCTCCAGATAGGATTTTAACCAAGCATTGGCTTGTCTTCGGATCCCACATTCGCACTATCATGTCTTTACTACTTGAGGCAATATACTTTCCATCAGTGATCCAATTCTTTGTGCTTCTTACTAGCAGAAAATGGCCGGTTATTGGCTTCTTATCGACCATATGAGGTCACAGTTATGGTGCATAGAAGCAATACCGGTATTCTGATCTACTCAATGCATTTTTTTTTTTACACTTTACTTGATAAGGCAAATACGGACGTTTCAATCCAGCGCTATTAATATGCACTTGACAGACTTATCAATCTTTGTTGTTCTCGTGGCGTCTATGCCATCTGATTTATCTAGCTAACTACAACTCTACAGACGTAGTCTATATGATAGTTAAAGAGCGATATTCGTCGCTCTGATCACCCTCACATTCGGACTTTTACAATTCGAGTTCCATGCAGTGTTTTGTTTTAGCATTCAAAAGTCACATATAGACGCGCTTTCCTAAAGCTTTGCATTCATCCTGATACCTGTCATGTTCTCCCAAGCAAGCAATCCTTTCCCAGCTAACAGGCATGCAGCCTTCGCGCTTTGCATTTCAGCACTCGAATATATTTGATCTACCGTTATGTGTATGACTCCACCTTATTCAATATTGCCACCAAAGAGGCAAGCACGTCAGATGTACTCACTAAAACAGTATCCGAAGTGAGCAAGAACACATTATTATGATGTTACAATAGTTACGAAGGATCCGAATAAAACTGTAACCATACTTTTATCCCAAAAAGATATCGAGCAGCATCAAAGATTCTTGAAATTAAACTATGCTGGGAAATACATTGCCTTGATGTGCTTGGAAATACAATGTTACATAGACAGTAGCCTTGCATTGCTTTGTCTGTGACAGAGTAATAAACTTTATATACACGTTCTTTTTTTCTTTTCTCTTGGAAATGGAGGAAGGAGAAGGTTGGGTGTTTTTCTTTTTTTTGACACGTTGACAATTACAAAGAAATGGTTGGGTCATTACTTCTATGAGTTCCATGGGTTCCTTGGTTCATGGACTAAGAAATGGAGGAGTATTATAAAAAAAAGAATAGAATGCAATCAACAACAGAAAAAAAAAAAAAAAAAAAAAAAAAAAAGTCGTTTCGATTGATTGATTGATTGATTGATTGTGTAATTTTGCGACCCTCCCGCGTGTTCATTCTTTCGCTTTTATGCTTTTTAACGTTCACTTTTACACTTTTTCTTTCTCACACCTTTTGCTTCCTCTCACCCTTTTCTCTCACTCTTTTCTCTCACTCTTTTCTCTCACTCTTTTCTCTCACTCTTTCCTCTCACTCTTTCCTTCTTTCTTTATTCCTCACGACCTTTTCTTTTTCCACGCACTCTTTTCCTCTTTTCCTCTTTTCTTATTCCGCACAGGGACAATTCCTCTGTCAACTTTACTCTTTCACCCTCTCGTTTAATTCTTTTTTAAATTTATTTGCCTTCACGATGGCCTTCAGTGCCAAGCCTTTCTACCTCTTCCTTACTGTCTTCTTATTTTCACAGATTATGACTGCACTATGGCCTAAACAATATCTACATTCGACAGGCCTTTCATCATCAATACCATCATCATGGTTATGGAAACGAAGCATTGATCCTGGCTCTGATATCCAGGTACCATTCTTTTTCTTCTTTCTTTCTTTTTTCTTTCTGTCCTTCTTTTTTGTTGTCCTTACTCTCTTTACAACACAACACAGCCATCGTCGTCTTTACTATACCACCATAGCACTCTAACAGTATTAACCTTTTCCTTTTTATTATCATTATTACTACTACTACTATTACCATGAATCAAGTGCGAGGATGTTTGGTCGCATGCTGACAGATGCAACTTTGTAAAAGAGTACTGCGCCGATTATTCTGCAGGTCTGATCAATTACCTGCACTTCTTTTTCTGTGATCTGAGCACAGCCCCTGTCATGGCCATCATTATCCTGGTAATTAAAGGAATATCCAACTCCTTTTCCCTTTTCTCGTTTCCCTTTCAATGGGTTTCAATGGAGAAGGAAGAATAATGTCTAACTTTCATTATTTTTTTTTTTTCTTCTATTCTCCTTTCAAGTCTGTGTGGATGGTATTCTTGTTTGGATTTGTAGGCGTGGCAGCATCAGATTTCTTTTGTAAGAAAAAGGGGCATTGACAGCATTGATGAGTATCTATGAATTCTTCTTTTTTTTTTTTTTTGTTCAATCTCCCACCAAGATGTCCATTGTTATTCTTACTTTCTTTCTTCCTTTCTTGCAACAACAACAACAATAATAATAATAATAATAACTCTTAGGTCCAAATCTGAGTACAATTGCCAAGCAACTCCACCTTTCCGAAAGCATGGTAAGCTCTAGTTCCCCAAAAGATAACCAAGAAATAATTCAAATCATGTCCTGTCATCATTTCTTTCTTTGTTTGTTTGTTTGTTTTCAATCTCGTCATTTCCATCATTCTTTGGGCTTTGGGCATTTTTTTTTTTTAACGCACAGACAACACACACTAATATTCAAGGATTTTTTTTTTTTACTTCTTCTTCTACTTTTCTTTATTAGACTGGAGTTACCTTCTTGGCCTTTGGCAATGGTTCACCTGATGTCTTTAGCACCTTCTCGGCCATTGGTGCAGGAAGCGGGTCATTAGCCATTGGCGAACTTGTTGGTAATGAGGAAAAGAAATGAAATGAAATGAAAAAGAAAAGAAAAGAAATGAAAAAAAAGAAAAAGAAAAAGAAAAAGAAAAAGAAAAAGAAAAATGCATGCATATTGCTGACGTGAGATTAAAGATTGAATCTAGATCATTTTTTTTTTTCATTTGCGTGTAACGGCATTAGTCTATTTCCATTTGTCTATTACCTATCCCTCTTTCCCACCTTCCTCGATTTTCCATGCGATACACGATAAGCTGACTACTTCTTTTTTTTTTTATTTATTTATTTATTTCCATAAAAACAGGTGCAGCATCCTTTATCACATCAGTAGTCGTAGGATCAATGGCAATCATCAAACCTTTTAAAATCAGTCGGGCACCATTCTTACGGGATGTCAGTTTCTTCACAGGATGTGTTGCATTCACATTGTTTGCAGTAATGGATGGCGAAGTCACACTTGTGGAGAGTTTACTGCTAGTAGTCTACTACGTTATCTATGTGGCCTTTGTGGTCATCGGTAATTGGTGGCATCAACGTGTCAAGACTGAACGAGAACTGGAACAGCGTGCTAGAAATATATACGGCGATGAAGAGGATGATGATAGCCACTATGAGGATAATAATTATAATGATATGGAAGAGGACGATATCTATGATCTCAATGCCAGGATCAATGATGAAGAGCAGGCTCTTCTTCCTGGAGGACAGAAGCGAGGAAGATCAAGAACAGAATCAAGTAATGACTTTTTTTATTTTTTTTTTTATTTTTTTTTTTTATCAAAGATTTATTCCCTTACCTTTATTTTATCCGCTTATTCGCTTCAATCTAGGACCTCCAAATATCATAACGGAATTGTTGACAGGACCGTACGATGCATACGAGGATGAAGATCATGATGACGGGTATATTTCTTCCGGGCGGTTATCTACCATTGATCCATATGAATCAAACAAGACGCTGGATAATTCTTATGGAACCCGTGATGTTAACTCTACTCGAACTCATCATCTCTCTGATAATAATAATAATAATAATAATAATAATAATGAACATTGCAGTGGAGGCGTCCAAGACTCGATTTCCTTACGTCCTTCAGGCCCATCTGCGCTGAGGCGTAGACCATCATTACTCTCTGCTATGGAGGTGAGTTCTACGAAATGAATAAATATTTATCCATCCATGACCTTGAATTTTTTTTTTTTTTTTTTTTTTTTTTTTTTACTAAATGAACGTCTCCTTTCATGCGATGGTGTCAAGTTCAATGAAGTAGTTCGGTCATTAACACTTTCAGGGTCGCGAGGACACGTCCTATCATATGATCCAAGCTACTATGGCTCAAACTCACCAAGACCAAATAGGCCTCGTCGGAGCCATTCTACACGTTCTGTACCTGACCGGCGCAGCAGCACCAACAGCCATCATGAGGATTATTACCGGAATCATGGACCCCGATCAGCCTCACCGCATGGAGCCTCTTCAGGTGATCCTTTGACTGTAGGCGGGAATACAAGCAGGGACTATGAGCATAGACATGGGCGTGGACATAGTCATACATATGGAAGTAGACTAGAGGTTGAAGATGCAATCCGTAGCCTCAACAGTTTAAATACATCACCCAGAGCAGTAGATCCGGAAGAGGAGACGTTCGATCCCCACTTTGAGCAGGCTTTACTTCGACAGTCTCTGATCCTTCCCGACCATCACGATCCTGCGAACCAACACCTCGGTCATATCCACCATCACCAACAACAACAGCCTTCTAGCCCTGGTACGACTGGCTCCACGACAGTTGTTTCAGCCGGCTCACCTGTTGTGGCGATGACTCAACCACTATTCCAGGGAGTGGAGCCCGAACTTGCTCTTACAAGGAAACAAGAGCTGATGGAGATTCTAGAGTCGATCAAAACCATCTATTTCCCTACGCTTTTGGGATGGGAAGAGAAGAGCCACTTCCTACGATTTTTGGCAGTGACCTCGATTCCGATGGTACTTCTTTTGACATTGACATTACCAGTGGTTGAGCTATGTGAAGATGGAGATGAAGACGATGAAGAGTCTATCGAAGAAGAGCAGCAACAGCAGCAAGGACAAAATGGTCAAAGTAATAACCACCATCATGAGGACACGGAATCTGTTATGCGACCTCCAAAGATTACGATTGGAGATGGTAAAGAGGATATACGCCATCATGAGTATGATGGATGGAGTCGTACAGCAACGACAGTGCAAATGCTATTGGCGCCTATTTTCATTACCTTGGTTGTCGCTAGTAAGTCCAAGGTCTATATATATATATATATCTTTTATTGAATAAGGACGTAATGTTTTTAAACACTTTTATTTTCCTTTTATTCTTTTATTATTATTATTATAATTATTTTTTTTTTTTTGCAGGTGCTGCTGAGGAAGGCTATATTGCGATCCCAATATCATTGGTATTAGGAGCAGGATTATCGTTTGTGGTCCATCGATTCAGTACAGAAGAGGACCCACCACGATTCTACGGAGCACTCTGTTTTGTTGGATTCTTGGTGGCGATCACTTGGATCTTTTTGGTAGCAAATGAAGTAGTTGGGATCTTGCAGGCCTTCGGCATGATCTTTGGTGTGAGCGATGCTATCCTTGGTCTCACTATTTTCGCAATGGTAAAAAAAAAAAAAAAAAAAAAAAAAAAACAGTAAAATAGTAACAACAGAACAAAACAGTGGTTTAGACAAACCATCACGTGCTTTACTCATAATAACTAATTTTCATTTATTTTTTTTTTTACACTCAACTTGAACAGGGCAATAGCTTGGGTGATCTGGTTGCTAATATCACGATTGCAAAAATGGGTTTCCCACGGATGGCCTTTTCCGCGTGTTTTGGTGGACCATTGTTAAGTATGTGACTCTAGTTTTCTTTTTTGAAGAAGAAGAACTGGTTGCCTTTATTTTTTTTTTTTTTTTACTTTTACTTACTGATGATCTCGATTTCATTTCTTCCTCCGTTCTGATGTGTATTTGTGTATAGATATGTTGTTGGGAGTGGGCATCAGTGGAACATACACAACATTGAAGACGGGTGAATCCATTCCATTGAAGGTATCACCGACACTGTTTGTGTCCTTGATCGGTGTGCTATTGACATTAACAGCGGCGATATTGATCGTGCCGAGGAACGGCTACATGATGACGCGTTCATGGGGTTGGTTCTTGCTCATCAGTTACATGATTTGCACGACTACCAATGTTATCATTGAGGTCACCATCAGTAACAAAGGCGACCATTAAGAAACAGAGATATTTATCTTCCTCTCTTATCAATGTAATACCTCGCCATCACTTTTTTTTTTTTTCCCTTTTTTGTTCCGCCTAACAGATAACATGCAACATTACAACATTGGTTTCAATCTTCTTTCACACATATATCTTTGTATATAACAATTGTAAACTTTCCCGTTTTTGTTTATAATCATCATCTCTATCGTCTTTTTTTCTTTTTTTTTTTTTTCTTTTTTTTTTTTTTTTTTGACAATGTAATATTTTGTATAAAGAACGCATAAAAAAAAAAAAAAAAAAAAAAGAGAGATAAGGGAGATAGGATATTTATTTAGTTTTTCAAATATCAAATGTCAAATGTCAAATATCAAATACCAAAAAAAAAAAATAAATAAATAAATAAATAAAAAGAAATGCAGAACTCCTCGTGAAAAAACAAAGTGCTTCCAAAGTATCTGAAGCGCAGTTCAAGCAACTGAAGCGCAGTTCAAGTCATTTCAGGCCGCAGCAGCCTATGTATCCCAAACTTTTGAATCTTTCAGGCTTTATATATTCATTCATATCATGCCATATACCACAACAACTACAAAAAGAGAAAAAAGAGAAAAAGAAAAAGAAAAAAGAAAAAGTGGAATATTATTCATCTTTCTGTTGCATGGCATTTATACAATTAGTGTAACAATGCTAAAGGATATTTTTCAAAAAAAAATAAAAAATTGTTTGATTCTGCTCTTGCATGCCATGTGTGTGCATGTTATGTATAAATGTATACGTTTGTACAAATGTATATATAATTCTGCAGTTCTGTAATGTTCTTTTATTTAATTTAATCTTTCCAGCTTTCCCGCGCAATTTGTCCCGCCAAAAAAATTTTTTTTTTTTTTTTTTAAAGAAGAAAGCAAAAGTCAAGCTGTAAAAAAAAAAAAAAAAAAAGAAAAAGAATCCTTGTCGACAATGGCGGGAATGAATATGCGCTGAAAAAAGAAAAAAAAAGTTTTTCTTTCTTCTTTTTCCTTGGTTGTGTAGTGTTGTCCCGGTAGAATGGTAATCATCTTTCACCTTTGTGCAAAATGGATTTTATTTCAAATCCCAGGAAAGTATAACTAAAATATATATTTATATTTGTATTTATATTTACATTTGTATACCAACCGTAAACAGCAAATACCGATCCGACCCATCCAAACCATATCTCGTATAACATGTATATCTCATATCCTATATATCCTACTGTCCTACCTAAATCCAATGTCCTCCTGTCCTATATCCTATATCCTATATCCTATATCCTATATCCCATTTGTCCGGACTTTCCCCCTCCTATTCTTTTTCGTGAACGAATGTCAGGAACTGCTCATGTTAGTTGGACAAGAAGAAAAGGAGGAGGAGAGGTTCCCCCATTATTGCAGTACGAATTTAAAGATGGCTTGTAGTTATCTGTTACGTAACTGCTTCTTTTATGATATATATACATATTCACTTCTGCGCTTTGCTTGTTTGTATGCCTGCATGCTTGCATGCTTGCTAAGGTGCCAATATGCACATATTCATATTCATATGTCATGATAATCAAAAAGAGGGAGTGGAAGAGAGGGGGGGGGGTGTGGGAAAGGATTACATATTACAAATATATATGTATATATTGATTTATTTATTTATTTATTAGGATTGATAAAGAATAAGTAAGAGTCAACATGTATAAAATGTAAACATGGTCTGTAAATATGATACACACGTATACAAGAAAAAAAAAAAAAAAAAAAAAAAAACGCGGCAAACATAAACAAATATGTTTCGGGGATTTTATGTTTAAAGTTGACACCAAAAGAGTGTGGAGGAAAAAGAGGATGGAGGAAAGGAAATAAGAAGGGAAAGGAAAAAAAAAAAAAAAAAAAAAAAAAGGCGGCGGATGTTATTTATAATACTAATACATGCATTATATAATATAAAAAAAAAAACAAAGTAAAGATATAACAAGCAACCCGCCATTTTATTTTTTATTTTTTTTTGTTGTTTCTTGGTTCTGGGACAATGTTGACGGACAAGTCGAAATGCGCTTTCCACCTTCGTTACGTTGTTATATACATTCAGCTATTTCCAAAGACAATGGAATGTGTTGGTCGTCTCTTTTGAGTTTAGCTGTCCAATAAAAATGAAGAGTAATTAAAAAATAAAATAAAATAAAAAACAAATCTAGCTGGGATCCCCCCAGGTCATGGAAGACCCTGAATTTGTGGTATACACTCTCATGTTATTAAGAGATGGGCTTATGAAGGGGAAGGGGAAGGGGAAGGAGCAGAAGGGAGGAGGATGGGTGACCAAAGGGGGCCCAAAGGAGGCCCAAAAGGGGTGAAAGTCGCGAAATGGGGGGAGGGGGGGAGGGAGAAGAGGAATGTAAAAGGAGATGATAGGGAGGTACATGTAAATCCTTTGCCATTTGTGGGCCATAACACAGAGTTCTTGAGAATAAAATAAACAAGGTAAAATAAAATAAAACTGGAAAATAAATAAAGTATGAAATACAAAATAAAATAAAACTGACTTTTTATTTTGTTTTATTTTTAAACATATATATTTATTTATTTCCTGCCCTGGTTTGCACGTTTCAAATGGTGGCAAATGTGCATGTTTTACTTTACTGACATAGCCATTGACCCCCGAAAAACTGTGAATATTTATGTTTACACTAATTTTTTCTTTTGGACGTGTTACAACTGACCCCATGAACCAAAAACGCGATTCATTTCTGCTTAGTGATATTGCGGCCGAATTTTTTTTTTTTTTTTTTTTTTTTTTTTGTTGACCTAGTAACATTACGACCGAATAGCCGGAAAGAGGAGCCGAGGTCAAGGGGGAAGGAAAAAAAAAAAAAAAAAAAAAAAAAATGAGAAGAGCATAAGGTATGAAGCATGAGGGATGAGGCATGTGGTATGTTGCCTGAATCATGAGCATTGAACTTGGATGCTCTTAAAACAAGCCTAGGGCAAAAAAAAATAAAAAATAAAAAAGCAAGGGTACTCTACAAAAGGTATACGCGTTAACAAAGGTAGTAAACAAGCAGTAAACAAGCAGTAAACAAGTATACACCAGATGGATATGAATAAGCCATACCCAGTTAACTGTATAAATGCATGAATAGCATGAATAGCATGAATAGCATGAATAGCATGATAGCATGAACAACAAATGAATGACCAGAGGGGAAAAGGCAAATGAGATTATATACTTTACATTTTGGAATGAATGGTGGGGACATGGCATGACCCTCCACTCCTCTTCATCTTACGCGTTACCCTCTAGTCGGGTTGAGACCATGTCCGTATGGTCTCACGACTTTTTTACTTGCACCTTGAGACCTAAATAATAATAATAATAATAATAATAATAATAAAACAAATCAACAAAAACCAAAAAATGATCGGTAAGCAGTATTTTCTCTCTTTCTATCTAGTCATCAACCCTTCTATCCTTCTATCCTTCTATCTATCTATCTATATATCCATATATCCATCTATATCCATCTATCTCTATCGATCTCTCTCTGTCTCTCTCTGTCTGTCTGTCTCTTCCTGTTGGTCCTGCTATGTCTTCAAAGTTGTTGTTGGCGCTGTTGCTATTGTTATTGGCACTGTTATTATGGCTGTTGTTGTTGTGGTTGCTGTTGCAGATATTTTTTGTTTTTCTTCCTGCCATTTAGCATGACAACTTTCCCTCCTTTTTTTTTTTTTTTTTTTTTTTTTTTTTCCTATGCTCCTATGCTAATTCTGCTGTTTTTTGCATTCCCTCCTTTTGGTTTGGTGATTTATTTCCCTCCAAAACTTTCTTTTTTTCAAAAAGCGTTTATGCGTTTAAAAAAAAAAAAAAAAAAAAAAAATGAGCGTTGAGCATTAAAGGATCTATAATTTCTCTGACCAGAATAGTGTACACTGTACTTGTACTTGTACTGTATGCACAAAGAAAGTACAAAGAAAGACGCATTAGGTAGACATGAACAGGCTTTTATTTATTTATTTATTTATTTATTTTCTTTACTATAACCTTCTACTAGTCTTTTACTAAACAAACTATAGAAACATGTATAATAAAATAACAAAAATAAAAAATAAAAAAATGTAGAAAGAGCATAGAAAAACAAAAAGAGAGAAAGAGCAAAGGAGCGGAAACGAGGTCTATACAATGTGGACTGATGCAGGGGTATCAGTTGACTAGAAGAGACTAGAGTCTAGAGACTAGGGTTGATAAAACCGGAGTGAGGCCCCTCGATTCCAAACTGGTTTTTTTTTTTATTTTTTTATTTTTTTGTTTTCATCACCCCAGAGCTTGATGTCAATGATCGGAGCATTGAGTATCCTTTACTTTACTTTACATGTACAGTTACAGTACATAGAGTGCATGTATGAATGTATAGTAGTCGATCACTGTTTTTCTCTCTTTTTTTTTTTTTTTTTTTTTCTTTTCTTTCTTTTTCCTTGTGAGCGCGTAAAAAAAACTAATAAAAAAATAGAGATATCAATTGGCTTTCTCTACTCGTATACTCTATGAATTATATATACCATGCAATGATTTGCAATTGATCGCTCATTTCATTCAGCACTCACACACTCACACACTCACTTACACCGCCCGCTCACCATCTTTGGCAATTTTTTTTTTTTTTTTTTTTTTTTAAAAAAAAAAAAAGATGAGAATAAATGCTCTTCTTTATGACCCGGTCCATGAGAATGTGTCAGGTTGTTGGCAGAGAATGAATAAGAAATAAAAGATGGAATAAAGAAAAAAGAATGGGAACTGCAAAAGAAGTACCGGCGCTGCGGATAAACTAAAAACTGCTTGTAGAGCAATTATGGCATTTCAAACACCTCTCTTCCCTGGTGATAAATATATATATATAAATAAAATAAGAAAAGGAAAGGACTATGCATAAAGAAGGCTTTTGTTGTTTTTGTTTTGTTTTTTTTCTTTTATTTTCTTTTATTTTTATACTATTTGTGAATGTTGTTGACACGTTGGTTGACAACCTTCTGTGTGAAGCTTTGCACGTACAGTAGACACAATTTGCCCAGTGCCCCCAATGCATGGCATATAAACCAATGC